TTCCTGTTTGCCCAGACAAAGACAAGCAGACGTAGCTGCTGATAAAAAAGCTTCTCACCAGGTCCTCATCCTCAATTAGAATAAAAAACACTTTAAAAAACCCCCATCTGGTCGTTTCCCTCCCCCGGTTTTCCTTTTAAGAGACAAAACCAACTTCCAGACATGTTTTACTGGTAATGGTTTACACCATAGACCTCCATAATTGTCCAAAAACAGATGAAACGGTAGTGTTGACCTGCCAAACTAATTCTACATTCCACTTTTTACTCCCTGTGCCATGATGTTGTGTGTTTATGGTATCCAAGTTGGCTACGATGCCACAGAGTCAAGTCACGCTATTATTTGAACTCTTCCTCCCATAGAGAAATTCTCATGTGTGAAATCAGTTCACGCAATCTTTTTTCTTTTCCAGGAGATACACTAACATGAGGAGCAACTCGGGTCCAGTCCCCATGTGCAAGGCCTAAAAGAATTCATCCCACGTGGTATGTATTTGCATTCTAACATTGTCTTTGTAGTTTTTAAAAACCTAACGACTTTTATTTTCTGTGTCACTGTGCCGATTTAATTTATGACACAAACTCCAAAGCATATCCTTTGAAATTACAGACTGTAATGCAGCCTAATGGGCAAAATGAGGGGGTGAATGCTTTCACAAGACACTCGGCGCTGTCCTGCTGCTGTAAAACACTCGTGACAAATGTAATATTTGCCTCTATGTGTATTCATGCTGCTTAAAACAGCGACTTGCCTGTCTTTTTTTTCTGAATCGCAGCATAATTTAAAAGATTTGAATAATTTATACAAGCCTGTGAGGCCCAGTGCCAAAGACAGAGTAAAAAACGCAGGAAAGTGCTGAGAGATACAGTAATGCTTTCCTGGGGTTTTTGTCTCCAGTGAGAGTTTGTTGACAGCGAGGAAAAAGTGATACCTTCTATCTGGAGAATCCTTATTCCTATCCTCCACTCCGAGAAAGTCATTTGAATTAAAGCTGACATTAAACATTTAAAGCACGCCACAAAAGCGTTCCTCCAGAAGGATTGTGAGTAATCATGAAAACAGGCATTCATCCTCACTCTGTCCTCTGAATGATGTGGAAGTTGACCCATTTCTGTCGGCCAGTCTTTGTGCCGCTGTTTAACAGCAGATTAGCAACGAGAGGTTTGTCATGGGAAGATAAAATACTTTCCCTCCACTCATTCCTTACTCCGCTAGCAGGAATGACAGCTTTAACAAAAGCCAAGACACTAATTTATCTCCTCTATATGACCGCGATGCAAATGAGGAAAATGAAAGCAAGCAATCAAGTCCCCTAATTGGGTTTGCGCTATTTCAACTTGTTAAGGGGGCCTCTGTCGAGATTAAAAGGAAGGTCAATTCCTCATTGTGACAGTTGCTGTATTCATTTCACAGAGAGTAACAAAAGGATCCATGAAGAGCTGGAGAGAGAGACGGTGCACCGGAGGCCTCCCCGTGATGAGAGACCATCATCACGGCATCTTGTTGATCTCAGGTATCACATCCATTGCGGCGGGACACAGCAGAACGGTGCAAAACGGGTGTATTTGCTTTTTGAAGTCCTTTTGACGTCAAATAGCTCTGTCGTGAAATTTCTTTTTTCAATAGCATTTCTGAGCAAAGCACACGACCGTGTTAGCTTTATTTCAAAACGCAACAATGCGAGGACACGTTTCCCACTCCGAAAAGACCCGAGCGACCGGAAAAAAGACGCCGATGGACGCAAATTCCAAGTCGACCCCCACGAACAGGGCCCGCCGCTCCTGGAAACCCAGTGAACTATTGGATATAATAGGCCCGACCCGTACTCCTCTTGGCTACGTTGCAGCGAACACACTTGACGGATAGCATGAGGGAACGGCTGTCATCAGATTTTAATTAAAATGCCTCCGCATGCACTTTCTTTTCCAATTCAAACAAGTGAAAGCTGCACAGACAAGGCAACTGCTCCCGTGAGTTCATTTGGGTTTATCTGGGGACCACATCGCACATAGCGAGAGGCTGAATGACTGACTACTAATTTTCTTTCTTTCTTTTTTTTCAAACCATACACACTGTATTAAAAAAAAACAGAGTTTGACTTTGGTGTGCTAATAGAAAAATCCACAGGGTGATGTTTGTGTTATCATTCCTTTAAAGAGGGCAAACAAACAGCAGCGGCCTGCCGGGGAGGTTATGAAGTTCGGCGAGAGGCACGGAACCCGGGTGGCCACAAAATCTGCAGCGGGGCGTTTGTCTTGGCTTCCCTGAGAGAGGCAACTCGGATTGTTGATGTTCAGCATGAGTCAGCCACTCCCTCGTGTCACATTAATGGTTTATTTACCGGCGCGCGGGACCAGAGAATTAGAATAAAAATCAGATTATGCGTCCCCACGCTTTAAGCTGCGCATTCAATTACAACAGTGGGTTGTTGTTTTTTTTGCTGCATAGCCATACATCAAAAAGCAAAAGAGTGGGAGTGCAACCTGTCATGTTGGCTGGCTCTGTTCTGTGACTATGTTTCTCTTTCCTCTCAGGTGGTGGTGGTGGTGGTGGTGGTGGGGGGGGGGCAGACAAAAACCTGCTAAAGCTCTGCAAACCAAACAAGATGCACTTAATCTTCCTTGTGTTTGCTTTACTCAAGAGAGGGACGGGCTTTGTCCGGCGCTAAAGTGCCAGGATGTTGATCCCGGCCAGCTCGTGAACCCTGACCTCTCGTCCGTCTTTCATTTCAACAGGTTTCGCATGCCGAGCCGAATGATAAAAACACACTCCTCTACGCCGGTCGGCAACATATCAAACCTCCCCGTAAACGTGCTGCCTGCGAGGTTCAGCCGGAGTTCACGCTATTAGTATTACAGACCTTTCTGGCTCTCAGATCTCGCGCAGATCAAAAGGGCTTTGTGAGGTATGCCACCATCAGGCAATTAATGCCTGCGAGAACAGCTGCTCAGCCTGGAAGGTCGCGACTAAGCACTTTTCACAGCTAAACGCCTCTTTCTTTGCACCGGCCTGGTCCGACTTTTTTTTTTGTTGCTAATTATGTAGCTCTTTTGGGGAGGGTTTTGTAACTCACACCGCAAACATTACGCAACAGCTGTCAAAGAAGTGACCTTGAACTGCCCGGGCCAAATCAAACACGTCGGGCCTCGGCAAAGAGGGATCGACACAAATCTTGGGCACATTAGTGGCTCCTGGACACGGCCTGGGAGACTGGAGGGAGGCTCGCAAAAATCCCGCTGCAGTTAAGCACTCACCTGCCCTCTTACGATGTGGAATGACCTTCTATTCCTGTTAGGGATGAGGTGCAAGTAAACTTTGGGAATGTTAATGGTTCTTTAAGCAGCTGAACGGGACATTTTATCAACAGGCTGCCTGGCAACAAGTCAGTAAAAAAAAACTAAAACAGGATCCACTCTCTGATAGAAAGATTGGTGGCAGAGTAATAGAATTTTTGTGGTACAACTTCAAAACAATGTTCTTTGGGGCTTAATCTGATGAGTTGGAGAATCTAGAGAGATCCCTGTTAGCAAACAGGCCACATGGATATCAACATTGGATTCCTGTTACCTTCGGGCCATCCGTGGGCACAGAAACACTTCAATCAACTAAGTGGATGACTTCACTCGCTATACATTTTTTTTAAATCTCATGTATCTTAAAAAAAATGTTATGTTAAGTGAAACACCCCCTTTAAAACTTCACTCACTAAAATCACATGTGGACGAAGGCAGGAAGCACCTGCTGCATTGGAACTGAGGAAAACTCAAATTAAATAAAACTTCACGATGCACAGCGGCAACAAGTGAACTCGATCCAGAAATGCTGCCGTCTTCCATGGGACACAAGTCAGTCTAAAACGAAAGCCATGCAAAGCAGAAAACTACAAAAAGTGTGTTTAGAAATCACATGTGCCGTCTCCTCCGGGCCGCCTGGCGTGTTATCAGCGATAAGTTCACCAGCCTGCATCTCTAATAGTTTGAGAGGGTGCTCGGTGCCTATGGACCTGGCAGGCGGCGCACCTGGAAAGCTGCCATCGCTGCTGTATTTACGGGTTTTATGGCAGAATACGCTCCATGAAACCTTGGCATGTTTCAGTAACATGGCCTCATAGTACAAATACCCAGGTGATGGACTGCCCGCAGCGAGTCCATCAGCTTCCACCGACTGCAAACATTTGGTTCACCGTAAACTGCAACCGACAATGCAAAAGGCCCAGGGCTGATGAGCAGACAGAGTCCAGAAGCAGACAGGAGTGGGAATACGTCCCAAATGTCCATCATCTGGTGTCCTCAGGTCCCAGACCTGTGCAAAAATGTCCATTTTCCAACTTTTTTTTTTTTTTTTTGCCGTTTGGAATTGAGGCTACAAGACACTCAAATGGGGAGTGATGTTTTACCATGCTGTTAGCATACTTGAAAAGGCACTCCAACAGACAGGGCGATGTCAATTTTATTGGTCAGAACACATGCCAAATACTGACAACATAAATTTAATCCATGCCCCCTCAAAGAACCTGATTAAAGGATCATTCAGAAATCAGTCTTAGCACACTGAATATGCCCACAGAATAACTTCAAGTGAATTACAGCCAGCCTTAAAAATTAAAGCAAAGATTTCTGCACCTCTAACCATTGATGGATTGATACAACGCCGCCACCTAGTGGGGAGTGAAAAAAAACAGAAAACAGGAAAAATCTGCTATGATGCAGTTTGAATAAAAAAAAAAAGTAGAAGAAAATAAACACTAATGCTTATAATACAATGACACATTCCGAGCTCGAGGCATATTTCAAACGCAGCTTGATAAGGCACATGAACTGTTAACTGTGAAGTATTGTAAAGTTTAGCAGTCATGCCACAGAGACACCCAGTCGTGGTGCTCGGACGCCACATAGATTTAACTAAATGTATAGCTCAAACGCATTACCTGTTTCTCTTCATTTGTTTGAGTCAAAATCTCAGAGGACAAAATGTACATGTTTTTTCCTGCGTCTCTCTTAGCCATGAGTCCCCGCTTGTGCGCCGTATCCCAGTCGACTGGTGAACTTTTCCCTATCGATGTTCTTGTGTTCTGGGATGTGTCTGAAAGTGCAGTCGTCCCTCATGCAGCCGGTCGTCCTCCAGAAAAAGCACTCCTTCTTGTACGCACTGAGTCCAGCGTGGACTTTAAATGGAAACCGCACGGTGAGGGGCGCCCCGTCCACCATCATTCCCTGAAGAGAAAGCCAAAGATTTTATCGTCGGTCGATCTGTTATTTCTTGAGCAACGGACTTACAGTTTGAGCCAAACAGCAGAATTTCCCAAATATCTTTTCCAAGTATCCCGATATTCTTAGTATATTTGTGTCCATACATTGAAGGATTACAAAAAAATAACTGAACCCAGACAAAATGTTGACGCTGTGATATCATGTTTGGTGGAAACATGAATCAACAATGCTTTAAATTTTTTCTAACCATGCTCTTTAAAAAAAAAAAAAAAAAAAAAAAAGATACATAGGCCACAGGCAGGGATGATCAACTTAATATAGTTGGTTGAAATGTCAAACAAGCCCGAGAAGCCAGAAAAGCCCTAACTACACAGTCACCATGTAGAACTGGTACCTACATTGAGGCACTGGATGGCTCTCTCACGGTCCTCGTTCCTGCTGTAGTTGACGAACGCACTCTGTTGCTCCAGCAGCATCTTGATGCTGTAGACCGTCCCGGCCCTGAGAGACAAACGCTGACGGTGTGAGTGTGTGAGGGCTGAGCCGATCCAGCATTCCTCAATGGGGATCCATTTAATGCATACTTCCAGTTCGGGCTCAGTTAAAGAAATGCCAATAGAAACAGACTCTGATTGATTTTTTTTTTTTATTAGCTGTCTGATATAAACCGGCAGAACTGTCTTTGATTTTACAAACTTGAAAAGGAGGCTATAGTTAAGTTTTAAATGGCTGCATTTAAGGAGTGTTTCTTTTATAGGGATTATTTCACCAACCTTTCTTACAGTCATGGATGATGTTTTCTGAAACCTCTATGGCTTATTTATTTCTAAGCAGAGATACAAAGAACTGCCTGAGGTTGCCATAAGGTCAACATACAGAGACAAGGGACACACTTTCAGTGGTATGGACCTTAAGTATAAAGTGATGGTATTTTCTTCACTTTTTTAAAAATAAATTGGTCATTTTCCCCCTATGCTTTATTTACCAGGATAAATAAAATAAATATATATTCAAAATATTCCCAGATATTTTTAGTATTTGGAAAATGGCCAAAATAAAGGCATTTGAATTTCACACGAGTAAAAAAATAAATAAAATATATATATATATCATTTTTTATTTTTTTTAATGCAGGAACTCCTGATCTGTAACTTTATCAGTATATCCAACGCCTCATCTCAGCTGTAAAAAGCAGAATATGATACCTCACCTGCTGAAGAGCTCGTGGAGTTTGACGTAGGTCATGGTGGGGTCCAGTGTCCCCACCCACACAGGGAAGAGTTCCCTAAAAAACAAAAAGAGAACTCATTCATATTGACGCTTTCCTTCGTCTGTGGATAAAATGAAGCAGGAAACAAATAAAAACCCTGGAGTGTAATCTAATGCAGCTTCTGATCAACATCAACTAGAAATAACAGCTCACATATAAAAAAAAAAAACAACAACAAAAAAACATGAATGTTGCAGGACTGACATTTAAGACGGTAAAAACTTTCCTTTATAAAATTTCTGACCAAATCCTGGTCAAACAGGCTCAACTAAACATAAACTCACGGCTTGGGTGGCCTCATGGAGAGAGGGGTGGGTGAATGAGAACTGGCTCTGCTTTGGCCCGACGCGCCCTCCATCCTGACCTGATGCGCTCGGGAGCGGCTCATTTGTCGGACGACCCAGTCTCTCTCGTCTTCCCCATCCTCCCGCTCCAGCGGCTGCTCGACTCCATCCCAGGTGGCGGCGCCTACTGAGGACGGGGGGAAAAAAACCGTCATTCTGTTTATAGAGCCCAGACGAGCGCTCCGTCCTTTCGCCTGCGGAGGGAGTCTGTGTGTTTACCTCCGGCCCCCGAGCCGTCGTCAATAACAAACAGAGCCTCCACAGCCTCCTCCAGCGTGCCGTGGGTTTTTAAGGCCTCCGTGCACTGTGCCCAGGAGAACCCCATCTCCTGGGATCAGAAAGAAGCCAACGCAAAGCCTTTTAAAAATTGACGGGACTCAGACGGCTGGACTCAGACGGCTCGTGGCCGGCCTCCTTCTCACCATGAGGTGCAGCGTCTGCGCTCGTTTCAGCTCCTGCGCCGCCTCGGCGCTGGCGCTGTCCAGCCTCAGCACCTCCCTGTAGATCAGCGAGGCCTCGTAGTACCTCTGGGGAGGAGACGCGTTTAGAGAGGGCGGCGCGGCAGAGGTTGTCGTTTGAAACCACGGAGCGGGAGACGAACGGCGGAGAATAGTTTGGTCAGGGGGGAGGGGCCTACCTACCTTGAGTCCACACAGGGCCTTCCCTTTCCGGAACAGACCCTTTATCCAGTTGGGCTCCATGGAGAGCGCCAGGTCGGCGTCCCTGAGCGCGTTTTCGAACTGCTGCAGGCGCTCGTAGCAGAGCGACCGGTTCCCAAACAACCTGAAACACCGGGGCGTTAATGGCTGCTGGCGCCGGGTGATCGGGCTCGGTGCCACGCGGGCCCGCGTGCTCTTACTTGAATTCCTTTGGGTTGTATTGGATGGCGCCGGTGAAGAACTTCACTGCCATCTGGTACTTTCCCGAGGCGGCCAGACGGTTCCCCGCACCTGAGGAGAGACAGAGGACGGGCCCGGCCCTTAAGTCCGGCTGTGTTTAGGCTGCATGGAAGCATCTAAAATGGAAGCGTCGCTCACCGGCCAGCTGTATGCTTCTTTTTGCTAACTCCTCCGCAGTGGCGTCCCCAGTTTTCTGTTGAGAGTAATCACATTTGGTGTCAGAGACCGAGCCACACAAATGAAAAAACACACAAAAACAAAAAAAACAGGACATTTTGCTTATGTTCTCCAGCCAGAAATTAAATCCAGAGCTTTTTAAGAAGTATTTTAGTATCTAATTTAAGTATTTTAATCAGTTATTGGGCGTCTTGGTGATCCTCACCTCATCACTGGCACTCTGTCCCCTCTTCTCTGGATCCTCGGGCATCTGGGGTACTCTCGGCTTTTCTTCTTCGGGTTGCTCGTCCTCAACTTTAGTTCTGTCCTCTTTTATAACTTCTTCAGGTTTCTGGTCACACGCCTCCTCAGGCATCGGGTTTTCTTTGTGTTGCTCGTCCTCAGCTTTAGTTCTGTCCTCTTTTATGACTTCTTCAGGTTTCTGGTCACACGCCTCCTCAGGAATCGGTTCAGCAGAAGCAGCATGTGAATTATTTAATTGCAAACCCTTTGGAGGATCAGACAAAGAATTCCTGTTTTTATTTTTTTCTTTGTCTCAAAATTAACATTTAATTACTGTTGACAGCTGCATTCATGTGAAAATCCCCACAAACCTTTTGCTGAATACCCTCGTGATTATTTAACGTGCCGAGGTCTTCTTCTTTATCATTTTCCGCGTGTTGGTCACATCCAGCTCCGTCAGTTGCCGTTTGTGATACAACAGATTGAGAAGACTCTTTTGCTTCTGAATTACTGTCAATTATGAGAGCCTGTTCCTGACTCTCTGAATTGCACTTGTCTTGCTCCTCCTCCTCTTTTTGTCCCTGCTCCTTGTTTTCATCCTGGCATGAAGAAAAACTAATCTTCATTGCAGCTTTAAAAACAGTAGAATCTGAGTTTTTTCAGGCTATAACAAAGACCAACAACTAAATTTGACTTACAGGTAAATCCGTTTTAACCACGTTCTCCTTTTCGAGTCGTTTCTTCTCTTTTTTACGCTGTAACAAAACAAAAACATCTTGAGCAGCTGTCAGGGAATGAATATTTGGAATCTTAATCCCAACACTTGTGCTGACCATTTTTTTCCGCTTGTTCCTCTCAGTTTTCTCCTTACGCGGACCTTCTTGTTGCACCAATTCTTTTGCCATTTTATCAGCCTCCTAGAGGAAAAAAATAAATGTAACTGTACACATACAAATTTGATGATATTTATTTCATAAATAAGTTCTAAATCTTATTCGGCACAGTCATTGCTTTTGTTTTCACTTATTGAAAAGTGAAACCAATCGTTACCTCCTCAGTGAGCTGCTTTATCTGTGGATGTGGCTCTAAAGGCCTGTGGGCAGAGTCATCGTCCTCCTCCTCCTCATCATCATCATCATCTGAATATTTGAGGTCTTTCTCGATGGCTGCAAGCGAATTTAAACCTGAAAACATAAAGGAGACCAGAGCAGAGGGAATTTTTATTCAAGCATATGAAATGTAGGACAACATTCACACTTTTGGAGGTCCAGATGATCAAGACATTTAAAAGAATGGTTGAATCTATAACATAAGGAAATATCTTCTCTCAGGTAGATTTGAGAGTTTCTACTCTCCTTTTAAACTGAGATGACTCAACACTACATTTGTATTAGAAGAAACAATCCATGTTTTCCTGTCCAAATTTTAGCTCCTCACGTCCCTGCCTTTATTATATGGGGAAATAAAGCAATTCAATGACAGATTTAGAGTTTCACAAACCAACCTGATGCACTCAGATTTCTTATGAGCAACAACACTGTAAACACCTTATTGAAAAGAGGAAATCTTTTTACATGCTGAGGTTGTGAGGTGTAAATCAGACTTTGGACACTGTGCTCATGATATGAACTCTATGCTTTTCCGTGGGGAGGTTTTTAAGTTATAAGAAAAAGAAAAAAAGAAAAGACTATCTGACACAGAAGATGCACAAGATAAAAGCCTTACCGAAAATAGCAGGTGCAAACATTTCCATAAAGGAACTACGTCCATTTATGTAATCCACAATCGTTTCCTTAAAAGTAGAAGTGATCAGTTATTAAAAAATCATCTCTCCATATACACAATTAAAAAAAATTGACTTTGAAATGTTTATTTAAAAATAAAGTAAAAATAAAGAAAAAAACAAATAACTCTGGCAGCAAGTTATACGTCATTTATTTATAGTAACAGCTCAATGTCATCAACAGTAAACAAAGTGCTATCCTTCTTCTGGATTCGGCTAACTTGGCAAGGCTGTCAAAAGCAACACACAAACCCAATTGCCAAATACAAGAGACTTGTTCCACAACAATGACATAGTCACAATATGACGTTATTGAATCATACTCACGTGTGTTTGCATTAGTGTCGGGTTTTCTAGAACTCTGGGTGTTATGCGGCTACCTGGCAGGTTAGAAAAAGTGATAGAAACGTTAAAATATGACCCAAGCACGCGGTTGAATACTTAAATACAAGAAGACGTCAATATTTAATCAGAATTGATGCTATTTAAAAAAAACAACAACACAGATACTGTAACCTGAGAGCTAACTGGCAGATGGGAATAGTACGATTCACAGTAAACGAAACTCGCACACTAAAGTGTCCTAATAATATTATCTTACGTTTAACAATTGCTTTCTTTCCTGACATGTTGTCAATATATTCCTCAGCCCTCGTGTACAGAAAGGATTTTCTTTGAGCGAGTTTCGTGCCAGCTGCTACAACAATATTGCAGAGGAGAGCCTATCCTGATGTACACGAGTCGCCTTTTCTCCTATCGCTTCTGCTTCCTGCTTCTTCGTGTGCTGCCCATATTTCTTCTTCTTTGGTATTTTCATGTAGACGTTGGTATTGTTGTTGCATAACTGCCGTCCTCTGCTGTTAGCTTTCAATTCCTGTTGAGAAATGTATTTTTCATTTAAAAGAAGCAGTTTGTATGCATTTAGTTTTTACTTCATTTTTTTCTTTAGTTTAAAAGCTAGTGGAACTCAGGATTTTTTCGGTGTTGCTAAAAAATTAAGTTTACACCGGACATTCCGAAATATGAGATAGTCCGGGTATTTCACTGTCTGCCAGATCTGGAATTAAAATGATAAAGCTCCACAGACTAAAAACAAGTTAGTTGACGAGACGAAAATAAGGGTGTTAGAAAGTTTTAAATGCTGAGATGACTCCCCGACTGTGAAAACATTTCAATATAAACCCAGAATGAGGGGAAATTTTGGAGGTGCTTTATGTACATAGAGGTAGAACACATGGTCATTAGCATAGTCAAAATATATGTTCTATTTTCTGTTCATCTTGCAGCATTTCCGGTTGTTTTCATTGCATTACCTAGCAACGCTCATTGAATACATGGTAGAGGAAGCGCGCTCTCTTTGGTGGACTGTCACGATAACACATGGAGCCTCCAGAGGTCATTTTTACCTTCAAACTTAAATCTTGATGTAAAGAAAAAAAGAGGCTTTCAGTTTTCGCTGCATTTTCTCATCATTATTTTATCTGGAAGTCTGGGTAAAGTTTTATCGGCTATGTTCGATGGTAGTAGCTAAATGCTAACAGCTGCTAGCTTGTGAGCTAAATACTGCCTCACCCACTTTTTAAACGAATATCTACCTCGACAAAATATTGCTTATCTGATAGTGATGATAACTGAACGTTTGACTTGACACCACTACAACGGAAGTTAGCAATGGTTGTTACATGGTTGGTTTTAAGTCCGGAGCCTGGCTGATAGTAACCTGTTGCATTCAGCTAGCATTTAGTTTTGCTCTATTGTCTTCTGACAGTTAGGAATTACATCTTTGAAAATGACCCCGGGTTTTCCATAGGCCAAACTGCAGAAAACTACAATAGCTGCTTTGTCCAGATACGAAGTGCATAAAAAAGAGCTGCACGATACACAGTAAAAAATATTGATAATATGGATTTATGGTTTAATTGGCCTTTTCTACAACAGCTGCATTACTTGTAATCGGATTGCTTGTCAAACCCAAAATATATGTGTTCATGTTGTACTTATACTTAGATTAATATTGATATATTTAGATTAAATTGACTATTTTTAAATTTCTCTGAACAATGATTTGATAACACTACAGCCAATAGTAATTATAATGACGGTGCAAACAGTGTTGAAAATACTTATTTTTTATGCACCATTCAATTTGTTCTTATATTGACTGATTACTAAAATACCTCTCAACTTTGAGTCAGAACTTGACAATTAATCTGATTTGGCATTTTTAACCTGTTTTTTCTGGTTAAACACTATATTTTGTAATCTTCTGATAATAATTGTTTACCCGCTGTTAGTTGTTGACTACAATGTTGCTATGTAAAAACAAAATGGATTTGTAAATATGTCCAAACACAAAGGCTAATATACTGATTAACAAAAATGTATTGTGTTCGGGTCAGAAAAATCTAAAAGTTCCATAATTTGATTATGAGGACTTTCAGGCTTGATAAAGTGGTGCCAGAAAATAACACGTACCTACTTTGTTTGTTACCTCTGCCTACAGAGATCGGCAGCATCTTCTCATAAGGAAGGCGATGAAGATGCCAGAGATACATCCATAAACCCAAAAGGAGCCCGGGGCCATAGCGACGCAACTCGAGGTCGGGGGCAGTCCAGTCTAGAAATCGAAGCGGTTAATCCTTTGCAGCTTGGTATGTGAATAGAAAATGAAAAAATACAGTGCATGCTGAAGCCAGACCTACCCTATGGGAGTAATATTCAGTGTTTTGTGTACTGTCAGAGTTTCAGGACAGTAACCTGTCTCCAGCTCTTTCCTTGTTGCCTTCAACCTCTGGAGTGGAACACAACTTCACTGAATGCTCTTTATTCCAACAAAGTGAAACAGAATTTGTGCCTCTGAGGTAAAAAAAAAAAAAAAAGTTTATTCGGTTGATATGTTTGTCATTTCTGCCTCTAATACCCTGATCTGGGTCATAAGCTATTAGCAGAAGAATGATCTTTTTTTTACTTTTTAAAGGGCTTATCCTGATGTCTCTGTGGCTTCAGAGAGGTTCCACTTTGCACCCCAGGACTGGACCGCTCACTCCTCTGAGCGTGGCTCACTGTCCCAGCATCCTCTTTCTCAGGCAACCATCCTCTCTGAGGAGGATGCTATCAGCTACTGCTCTCTTTCAGAGCGTAGTTTGTTACTAGGGAACAAAGGCAAAGAAGATCAAATGGATAACCCCCCTGTGACATCAAATACTTACGAGGAACAGGGAGTCCAGTCTGTAGGAGGGACGAACCCTACAGACAAGCTGGTTTGTGAGGCAGCTGAAGATGAGACTTTCTTTCTGAGAAAGGATGTTCCTGCCCAGCATCTGCTGAAGCTCTTGCAGAAAGAAGTAGGCATGCCAAGCAGTACCAGCAGTGCTGTTTCCTCTGTGTCAGAGACCTCTCTGAACACAGCGTCTTCCGCTGTTGAATCTAAGATCACCAAAGTTAGCAAGCTTATCATTACTGACCGGAGCATGGTTAAAAGTGCTGGCGGTCCAGTTGAAACACATCTTGCTCAGCAACAGACAGCACGACCTGAGAGCGTTTCTGACCCTGACCAGTCAGGCGCGTGGTCATCTGGGACTGCTAACGTCACCCTGGGTCCCCGCAGCACTCAGCCTGATGATAGCAGTGAACTGTTGCACAGGGAGCTGCTGTCTGAAGTGGAGAGACTCAGCAGCCTCGAAGCTGGAGCAGAAAACACGCCACGAATAAACCCCACGCCACCAGATCCGTCGGCCACCCCGGCTCTCAAAGAGATGTCAGAGGGCAAGCCGAGTTTGGTGGGAGCAAATCTGGGTGGCGGGCCTTGGACGGGGCCATTTTCAGCCGGCGTGGAACGGGTCCACAGAGAGCAAGAGCTCTGGTCATCTGGCAATCAAACGGGGATCGACGGGTCCTACCTGGGTTTCCTCCCACAGTCTCAGTCCACCCCGGGGGTTTTCATGGTCCCACCCAAATCTGGCGTCAAAGCCAAATTAGGACAACTTTCAGCTATAGAATCTGATAAAGAGAATCAATCCAACTCAGGAGCTGCTTCCCAGTCAGCTGTCCCCATGACCGATACCCGCCGCTCAGAAATAGCCGGCAGGTGCCAAGAAGAGACTCTGCAGACGTCCGCACAAGTTCAGTCACTTCCAACCCTCAATTATATGCAGAAAGTAGATGCTTGGAGGGCAAATCAGAGTCCCAGGGGCCCTCCGTTGTTTGACAGCCTTACACTTCAAGGATTTTCCAGCATGCCCCCAAAAAAGAAAGCTTTTGATGCCCCATCTGACACTCGGAATCGTGTCCTTACTCAGCACTCGCAGCAGCCTCCAGTTTTAGGTGCTTCCAATCCAAACATCGACCAGGGCTCCTCCACAGCAGCCGCTGGCTCCTCTTCTTCTAAAAGAGGAGAGGCAGTGGGAGGTGGTCCGTGCGACAAGCCCGACAGGGGCCCTGCACCATCGCCAGCCCGTGGCTCGTCGTTTGGAAAGTCACAGTCAGTCTCCTCCCTCAGTACAGTGGTCGCCTCGGCCCGCCAACATCAGCAGACCGTAACCCCTCCAGAGCCACAAGAGGCTGCGAGTCAGGAGAGAGCGCCTCCCCATCCCGGAGCCAAGCCCTCACCTCTGACAGGCCTCGGCCACTTCAGCGACACGTCTCACGATCAAGACGTGACTCCTTCAAGCTCCCAAGACAGTTACAGTGGAGTCAAGGTTGGGCTTTCGGTGGGAGCTTCTTCGGTCGTCAGCCTGGAGCTGGATCATTACACCCCTAACTGGCCAACAAAACCCCCAGCACTCCCACCAGATCTCAACATTGATGAACGAATTCCGGTAATTCCCCTCAAACATTTTCTATCCAACCTCTCTGAACGAATGAACGAACACCTCAGCTACTGAATCACTGCAAATCGTCATTGTTCCAGAACAGCGCCAGTGTCATAAACGTGCTCTGTTTTTGTTTTTCCTGCAGTTGTATCTGCGGAATTTGGGCATAGACCAGTCTCCTTCTTCCATCCTGACTCCATTTGCTCCTAGAGGACCTATCCGAGAGCCTGAATTCTCTCCCACTGATTTCTGCACGGTCAAAGGATCTACTGGAACCCCCACAAAGAGCACTCAGCCCTCCGAGGGTATTGAACTCTAAACTTACATTTAAAACAGAAAAGATGCAGAAAATACAGAGGTTACAGTCCTTTAAAATAAAAAAAATCCATTAGGATTATTTGGCTGGAGAAAAAGCTAAATATATGACATTACTACAGCGTGCAAAGAGGTTCCTGTTCACTTAAAACTGACGTTATTGTGAAAATGTGCCATTTTCAGGAGGCAGCCCCCATAAAGCGGAGTTCTCCCGGTCCAGCATTCTGTCAGTGGACTCCAGTGTATCGGCGCCACTTAGCCTGGACAGCCTCGGCCCAGCTGCCCAGGCCCGGGTGAGAGCAGCCCCGCCGGACACACGGAGCGCCCTCTCCTCCACGCGACGGCAGCCGGAGCCCAGCGACAGGAGCCAGGACGGGCACTCCGACCCGCCTCTGCCAAGCAGCCGTGCCGCGGAAGATTCTTTGGTTAGCAGCACCACCTTATCGGAGATCCGCAAAGTACTGTCTCACGCTGACAACCTGGTGTCCACGGGGTCCTCGGCGGGACCGAGTTGTCACTCCGACGAGGATTTATTCCTCTCGCTGCCGACGAAAGCGTCCACCTCCGCAGACCCCAGAAGCTACACCTCGCTGCGCTGGGCCAGGTCCCAACCAGACCCGGCGCAGAGCCCCCTCGGCCGAGAGGCCTCTGATCACTCCCCCTCGCAGCCTACGCCGGCTCCACCCACTGCCACCGTCCCCTCCCAATCGGCCCGCCGGACAGAGCCCGAAGGCTGCAGCGCCGCGCCGCCCGACAAAGTCCCGGCCCAGCCGCCCCCATCAGCCCCCCCGACTCCGGCAGACGGAGGGGGGGCCCCGGAGGAGGGAGAGAGGCCGACTACCAGGGTCCCCGCCCAGAGCGGCCCGTCCTCGCCCATCCCGGAGGAAGCCGACCCGGAGGACGCTGACCCGGGAGCGGTGAGCGACGGGAGCAGCGAGAGCTCGCTGGCGGTCAGGGTGGCCAGGCTGCTGCAGAGTGGATCTCCATCCACCATGGTGTCCAGCACAGACCAGGAGGAAAGTAAAGCCAGAGGTAAAACGAAAAAGAAAAGAAAAAGACATTTCTCTCAACAGCTGTCATCTCAAAACTGAGCTGGTTTCAGCCTTCAGACGTCTCTGACCGAAGCCGCGCTCCGTTGTTTCAGAGTGGATCAAGCTGAAGATTTCGGGACAGCAGTGTGAGCCTCTGGAGCTGGACATCGAAGACAGAAGGCGGATCGAGGAGATCAAGAAGGAGCTGCTGTTAAGAAACCCTATGAAGGTAATCCCACTAGCAAGACCTCTTTACACGTGGGAGGCCGTATCAAGAGGCCGGAGGCCAGATTAGGCGGACTTGTGTTTTAAGTGAATGTTTGTTGCACTTCTTTCTTGTAAATGTGAACATATTTCGTATCTCTCATTTGGGTGTCAGCCTTCTGCCTCTGGACAGTGTAGGTCTCATATTCAAGGTAACCGGTGTGTTGCGAGGCGTGGTGTGTCAACAAGTGCATGAGAACGCAAAGTATGGCTTTCTTTGCGAGAATGTGCATGTCGTGTTTTTTTTTTAAATGACTACAGTAGAACCTCTACTTACGAATTTAATTCGTTCCAGGACCTGCGTCGTATGTTAAAATATTCCTATGTTGGTTCAAATATTCTCATTAGAATACACTGTAATTCGTATAATTCGTTCCACAGCCCCAAAAGCTACGATAACTCCTTAATAAATACTGCAGATAATTACACATAGCAATAAAAAAAAAAAGCATTATATAAGAGAGATGTAAAAATAAATAAATTCTAAAGAAATCATTAATAAAAAGGGGTTTTTATTGGCAATTTACCTTAGAGAAGGCAGGACGTAGCCTAACTTTAACTTCCACAACAAAAACTTTAGACTAGCAAATTATTTCTTTTTATAAAATTTGTATTCTTTTACTTTTTTTTTTTATTTCTATGAGTTCAACGTCATATTGACGTCAGTATGTTGGAAATTTCGTACGTTTAGGCAATAGTATATAGAGGATCTACCGTATTATTATTTTACTTTCTGCTTCCAGAGCCAGGGAAGCACGGACACAGAGAGCAGCGCCGTGTCCTTCGTCAGAGTGGACAGAGAGCAGGAGCCGGCTCGGTCCAGCCGGACGGGCTCCCTCCTCAGCGACGCCAGCAGCCGGCGGGGCGGCGCCGCCGGCCCCCCGGACTCTGACCGGCAGCTACGGAAGACACTCCACTCTGATCTGGAGGCTGCCGTGTGTGAGATCGCAGCTCGAGAAGGAGTGCTGCTCCCTGCCAGGCGGCCTCCGGCCCCCCCCGCGTCCATCTCGCCCTCGCCCTCCTCCGCTCCGTCCTCCAGCCCAGCCCTGGAGCCGCTCCACCTGACGGAGCTCTCCACGGGGAGACCCCTCGTAGCCGATGCCCCGCCCACCTCTTATCTGGATGGAGGATGTGGGACCGGATTAACAGCACCAGCGGCCACGGAACCGCCGCCTGTGTGTGGACAGAGTGGTAGTTTCCATCCAGGCGATCAAAGCGGGGCGTCTCAGTCTGTTTCGGGGAGGCAGATGAGGGAGGACACAGCGGGCGGTGGGCGTGAAGCACCGCCCCCACTCGTACAAAGTACAGATGAAGAAGATGAGAACGTGAAAACTACGGGCTCCTTCAAACATCTGGAAAACTTCCCTGTCCAGAGCACACCCGCTCGGGCCTTTGCTCCCTCCTCTGTCGGGACAGGCCACGCCTCCCGCGCCCGCCTGCCTCAGTCCCTCCAAACCGCTCGCCACACCAGCTCCCCCGCCGTCTCGCTGCCACCTCGCGGAGCCGCCGCCCTCCCCGGAGACTCCTCCTCAGCCGCCAGCAGCCCGGACGAAGGCGTGGGCTCGTGCAGCCCGGCCGAGTGGTGCGACACCAGAGAGCGCGCCGGGCGGGGGGCGTTTAAAGCCGTTAGAGCCACGCAGCCCGTCGCACCGCCCCACAAAACCGAGGCACCGCCACCATCACTCTACACAGCTGCCCCCGGTAAACCTTTAAAGAGAAAACCTTTATGTGATCAGAGTTTTCTGCGGGGTTTAATACTTTTATGGTACAGCTTAGCAGGCAACAAGAAGCCTTTAGGACGAGAGGGAAATGAATACAGTCGTGGATTTGAGGCTAAATGTGTTAGTAATGGCAGGTTTCATGTCCCACATCAGCCCCCGTGCTGCTGCCCTACAAACCTCGTGGCAGCGAGGAGCTCTTCTACGTCCCTCAGAGAAAAGCTGACATCTCCTCCACAGTACCGTCGGACACCACCATGGAGAGCTCCCACACAGGTACCGCAGCCTCACATTTAAACACATCAGCCCTCCGTTTCCTTATAAAAGACGATTGATTAAACATCTCCCTGCGTGTTGACCGGGTCTCGGTTATCCCGAGATGGGAAAAGGAGCTGAATCGCAGATTGATCTTAAGGAAAACAAAAAAAAAAAGCTGAAAAGAAATGAAAGAAGAGGGTAGTTCAGGGGAGCGGACTGTGAATGTGTTTTACCCGGTCCCTGAGGGGGGGGAGCCAGCTGCTCCTTTGTAACCTACACCAGGCAGCGCATGAATTATTCATGTTCGGGGGCAGAGCCGAACAAAGGCAGAGCCGGGGCCCCGCTGGCTGGAAATATCTTTCTCTTTCTCGAAAAGAGGCTTTGGTGGTAAAAAGCTGCGGAATCCTTTCCAGGCTCGGACGACGCCGTGCCCCCACGCTTCAGCAGCGAGGTCCTCGGGCACCAGGACCCGGGGCTGGACCGCGGGGTCACATTCAGGCACACAGACGGCATCTACAGCAAGAGGCTGAGAACCAGCACCCTGAGAATGCAAGGTAAGCCGCCGCCTCGCTCTCCGGCCCAGAGGCCCTCAGGTGCGTCGGCACTTATCTGACCGCAGATCCCTCTGCAGCAGCAGAAAGGAGCTGGACGACAGGAGCGCCCCCCCCCCAGCAGCCAGAAAGTCTCCACCATAGACCAGGGGACGAGCCCCATCCGGCCCCTCCAGAGAGAGCAAACTCAGCCGGACGCTGAGCGGTACCAGCCGCTCCGTGAGGCGGAAAGGGGGCAAACGCCTGTCCCCCGGACCCGGGGGGAGCCGGACCGGGAGGCGGCCAGCGGCAGCCTGGACGGGCTGTGGCAGAAGTTCTGCGGTCAGTGGGAGGAGGAGGAGTCCCGTCCGAGCGACGCCTCACTGCTGGAGCGGCTGGAACGCCTGTCCCGCCTCCTTCACGGCACCAAGGCGCCGCAGGCCGGGGGGGGCGGCGGACGGAGAAGGAGGACGGAGGCTGGGGAGAACTCGCCATTGGAGGGCGGCGGGTCGGAGGACCTGACGGCCTCGTCCGGCTCCATGTCCACCGTCGACACCGCGCGGCTGGTCCGGGCCTTCGGAGCCCACAAAGTCCAGCCCCTGACCAGCGGCTCCAGCCTCAGTAAGCTGTACAGCACCATCAGCAAGCAGAGAGAGGACAGAGAGGGCCGGAGGGGAAGAAACAAAGACCCCCCCCGCGCCGCAACGCCGTCAGAGAGCTCTGCCACCGACCACTGGGTAGCGTACTTTTCATCTTTTCTAAAGTTTATAAAGTTTTGTAAAGCGCACTATTGCACCCCCTCAGTGACAGCATCTCTGTAAAGTCAGATCCGGGGGGTTAATCAGAGCTTGTCCTCAGGTCGCCCCCGAGTCGGCGTCATCATCCAGCACCCACACTCTGCTGTCAGACCGCGGGCCGTCCAGGCTGCTGGCTGCCAAAAAAGCCGTTCGGCTGGTCAGCAAAAGCATCCAGACCGGTGAGCCGAGCACAACACGTTCACGAGATTTAGTAGTTATTGTAGGTATTTATGATTGGAAGCTTTATTTCTACTCATTTGTCACAGTTCAGGTTATTTTGTGTTTGTTTTTTTAAAGGAAATAAATGATTATTTCTGCTTATGTTGTTAAAGGATTTGATTATTATCTTTCTTGAAGGTGAGCTGGAGATTGTTTGTAACGGGACGCGGCGACACACCAGAGACGTGGGGACCACCTTCCCCTCGCCGGGTGGGAGCGGGCGGTCCGGGCCCGCCTCCTCGTCCTCGTCCAGCACGCCGAGGGGAGAAACGGGGCGGAGGAGCCCTTCCAAGTCTCTGGGCGTCCAAAAGCAGAGGAAGAACAAGAGGAGCCCCTCCAAGCCTTTCCCTGAAGGTAGAGTGAAGGGAAATTAGGGAGGGGGGGGGTTACGTTATAAAAGGCTAGACGAATCTGCGTTTTCTTCCAGGTGTCTCGTGGTTCATCTCTGTCGAAAACTTGAGGTCAGAGGCCAAGAAGGAGAACCGGCCAGAGCAGCCGTCCTCTTGGAAGCCCACCACCTCTTGGTTTGAGCCGTACAGCAGGGCCAGCCCGTGGAGGGAGCCGCTCAGACAGAGGCAAGTCCACGAGGAAACCAGCCCACGCTCCACTTTAAACGCCGAAGCTGAAGCGCATCAGCACCACAGAAGCAAAACCCAGGCCTCCGCGCCGCCCCGCGTCTCCCTGCAGGTCTGTGCCACGCTTCTCCTCATCTGCTCTCACCAGCAAAAAGATTTGACCGTCGTCTCGTTTTAACGGTTTAATAGAAAAAAGAAATCTGCTCTCCCAAAATGCCACAGGAGGCTCTGGAGATGCGCCGGCCCGAGTTTATCTGGCGGTCCAAGCAGAGGATGAGGAGCCTGGCTCTGCAGATGGAGGAGAGGAGGCTGCAGGCCGCCTTCAGCCGGGAGGGAGACGCTCCGTGGCACCAGGCGGGGGGGCGGCCGAGGCCTGCAGGCATCCCGCTGCAGAGAGCAGGGGTGCCGAGGAGGGCTGTTCCCAGGAAGGAGATGATCCAGAGGTCCAAACAGTAAGATTGGTGTTTTCTGTCACTCACCGGCATGTTTTGTCAGATAAATGCTAATTTTGTCGTTGTTTGAGTCTCGTTATTTGCTTACCAAGCGATGCATCTGAAATGAGATCAGGGCCCAGTACGTGAACTCTAAAACTACGGCAAGCACCGTCAGTCAGTTGGATAACGATGACCGTAATGATGACATTATCTGCTTTCCCCGTTTCAGAATATACGAGAGTCTACCAGAGGTGCAAAGAAAGAAAGAACAGGAGAGAAGGAAAGCCGAGTATCGGTCCTACAGACTGAATGCCCAGCTCTACAACCAGGTGCAGGAATTTTTCTTCATCCATTCCATCTTTGAACCCCCCCCCAATTCAGAAGAAGCTGCTATTTGTACCTTCAGCACAGCTCTCTGTAGCGCTCTGCTTTCCCAGCAGGTCAGTGAACTCTAGCACAAATTCTTTTTTTTATTTTGTGTCTTTCAGAGGGTCAGAAACCGGGTTCTGGGCAGAAGATCAGCCTGGGAGTGATCTAACAGACGCATGGAGCTTTTTTATTTTTATTGTAGATATTATCAGCTGACTGTTACTATTCCCACACTGAGCCAAACATTTTTTAAGCTTTTTAATTTATTTTAAGACAAACTTTTATCCCGGTTAAAGATAATGTTGAAAAGCAAAATTGGATTTGAGTTGCTGCATCACAAGCGTTTTTTATATGAAAATAAACTACATTTCTACAGCTTTAAAGATGCTTTGCGGTGTTTGAGAGAAAAAAGAACAGAGAATGAGATACACCGGCTTATAGTGGTTTTATTGATCAGTGATAGGTTTTGCGACAAACAGGAAACCACACCAGGAAAAGACAAGCTGGACAACACAGTGGGTACGTAAGAAGTGTGCATTATTCCTCATCTGCGCACACTATGCCCGCTAAACGAATAAATAGTTTCAAGTTAATGGCAGTCCAGTGCAAACATAATCGGCCTGCGAAGTAACAAGACAAAATAAGCTGCTTAAAATGCGAGGAGAAACAAAGCTTCTTTGGCAAAGATGTAGTTTTGTTTTTTTTAAAAGGTTCCGAGGAAACCAATCAGAACTAAGGCCCGGTGACGGAGCTCTGCCGCTTTGAGGCCGCAGGGCGCCGACGTCTCAGTGCTCTCCGGCGCGACGCAACACAAGGCATGTACACCACGGTAAATAATTGAAGCTGCTGTGTTGAAAGAAAACTAAAATGCGAGTAAAATAAATAAAAATAAGAGCGGTGAGTCCACGCGGCCTCTCTTAAAGTGTTCTAAGTCTCGAAACATGCACTAAACCCCTCGGGGTGGTTCGGTCACATGACCCCTCGTGCGAGACGCCGTGTCTGTGAAATGTGCAAGCTCACATCCGAGCAACGTCAGGCAGTCCTTCCCCTTTGGAGGTGTAATACGTTAGCATATAACACTGTTACGCTTGATGAAACGTTAACTTGGGTGGTGGTTCTTCTGTGCAGCTGAACGGGCAAACATGCAGATGAATTCAACGGCTAAAAGCGGCGTCTCGGTCGCTGTGAAAACTGCGTGAGCGTATATTCTCCTACTCCCTGATAAATAATCTGCAGGCCTCATTTAAAATATCCCATTTATATAAATACTCCAACGTAATAAGCTACATTTTATCTGGCCTAAAACTAATAAGAATCACCAAAGCACCCGTGGAGGAGCTTAAATCAGAGAGTGATCAGCGCCGTGGACAGTTACAGTGTTTGAAAACTGTTTCTAAATGAATAAATTAATTACGGCTTTTTATACCCACACGAGACAGTCAGACCAGGTGTGTGGCTTCTAACTACACAGCTGCTTTTAGATGAAGGAAGTGTCCAGATTGTGATCCTATGACGCATGGAGTACCTCCTGGTGTGAGTTATTTTGCGGTGTGGCGGGGGGTGCGTTTAGGCCTGCAGCAGGCGGTGAACTCTCTGCAGCTGAGTCTGGGACAGCACCAGGCGGTGGACCTGCTCCTGACCCCGGGGGCACGGCAGCTTGACCCGGCCTACCAGCGTGGTGTCGCCATGCTTCTCCTCCTTCGCCTGAAACAAAACAACAAAATAACCATTTATCTATTCCTGAAGAAGGGGAAAGTCTCCCAGAGCCTCAAAGATGTCAGGTTTTTATTACCTTTTTAAACTTGAGGAAATGAAATACACATTGTGTTCTTTTTTCCAATAAAAATATTTTGAAGGAAAAGTAGCATGTGATGCAAATGGAAAAAGACTGCACACGTGTCTCTGCATTGTCCAAACATGCAGAAGTCTAAGGGAGAACTCCTGACCCCTCCTACCTTTACAAACGAGGTTGAGGGGAAAGTTGCAAAGTCGGATGTGACTCGGGCTCCGGGCTGCTGGTTGACAACGTGCTCGGCGACCTCATCCTGACGGGAAAAACGCAGACGCAAACGATGGATGACTTGGTAACACGTACAGGAACAAATCGAGAGGTTTAAGACGGCCTCGCTGTGAGCACTGCTCCTACCTTCAGCCGGTCCAGAGTCTCTCTCAGAGACTGGAGACGGGCTGTCTGTTCCAGCAGCTGAGCACCTGGAGTCACTGCAGGGTAAAGAAATATATACATACATTTAGAAAAGCACTACATACAAATCTAATTCGTTCCGGGACCTACTTCGTATGTACAAATATTCCTATGTTGGTTCAGATATTCCCATTAGAATACACTGTAGTCCATATAATTTGTTCCACAGCCCCAAAAGCTACGATAACTCCTGAATGAATACTGCAGATAATGACACATAGCAATAAGACAATTGCATTATATAAGAGAGATATAAAAATAAATTAATTTTAAAGAAATAATCAATAAAATGTATATGATTTTCTACTAGAGACTGGCGAACGTAGGTGTAGGCGATGATTGAGATACAAGACATACCGTAACTTACTTTCACTATGTGAACTTTAAACTAACTTAACTTATTTATCTATTTATTTTTATAATGTTCTCTGATCTCGACGTGTCAGATAAAAACTTGAATATGCGATAGAATTTCACTTTGGATGTTGGAAATTTCATATGTTTTAGCAATCGTAAGCAGAGGTTCTACTGTATAGCAAACTATCAAATGAGATAAGTAAGCACTTTTCACTGGGTCACATATCTACCTAAATTTATCTCGACAGGTTATTCTCACAGGTAAGACTAACTTTAGTTCAGACTAAACCGTAAGGAGAGTGCTGTGCTGCCATCCAGAACACAGTATGTGAGGGGCGGTGGGTGTGGGGGGGGGGCTCGCTCACCCGGCGACTTCCCAGTGATGTCCACCACCTTGACGTTGGCACTCATCTGCAGCAGAGTCTCCAGCAGCTGGTCAGTCTTGCGGTAGAGGGCGCTGGAGAGCACCTCAGGCCGCCCCTCCTTGGAGGGGAGTTTGGTCACGCGCAGGGGGGGCAGAGAGGCCAGCTGCGCACGCATCCTCTCCGCCTGATGCGTTTGAAACCATCCACAAGACATGTCTGAGACGCCCATCAATGATGGGGGAAGGTTTATCTAGTCCCCGACTCTCACCTTCAGCCTGTTGTTCTCGTTCTTCAGGTGTTTGATGCAGAGTCTTTGAGCTTCGATCTGCTGAGTCAGCAGGGGAGAGTCGATCACCTGGAGGCCGGAGCCGGAGCCCCCTCCGGAAATCATGGTGGCTGCGGGCGATAAAGGGGCGGACATCGTCAGCACCCGGCCTCATCCGCTATTTTATTTAAACTGACTAATTCCTCCATCATGTGCAGAGTATGCACCCTCCCGTTACCTTTTCCATTTCTAAAGTCTCTGCGTGCGTACGACTCTAAGTTATCTCATAGTTTTTACTCCCCAGCCGACCCACAGAACACCTTAACACTGGGAGGAGCCCTGATCAGCGGTCAGTTTTGTCCATGCCGGAAAGAGATGATGTGAAATTGTGGGGGTAAAAAAAAATACAGAAAAATAAAAGACATGACCAAGACTTGTTTATACAAAAGCAACTGTTGGGTGTGTGGTTGAATTCTCCCTATAGGACCTGAATGAGCAGCGGTTTTAAAAACAACTTCTATTAACACTTGTGTGGTGTATTTTAACAGGCATAAAGATGACCCTCCGTAAAATCAGGCAGGAAACAATCCCAGAGACCCTGAACATAAACATGCAGGCATGCGGGATTCCAACAGAGATCACTACAAACAGGCGGATACCTTTTTGTTCCTCTGCAGGAGACGAGTGTAAATAAGGAGAGATAAATAGAGAGATTAAACAGAAGGAAGAAAAAAACAAGAACCACTGCTTGTTAAAAGGAGGAATTGGGCTGGAGGTGAAAACGGAGACCAAATAACGTTAGAACGGGATCATTTAGAGGCCGCCGTGGCTGATTGGACGGCTGGCGGTGGAGGTGCGATGGCGGCGTTTCGCTGGCGCTCACCTCCGGCTATCCCCGTGACGATGGAGGCGATTCCTGACGGGCCGCTTCCCCTCAGCCCGTCGGCGCCCATCTTGGACTGGCTGTTGATCCTCTGCTTCAGCTCCGCCTTCTCCGACTCCAGCTGGTCGATGTCCGCCTGCAGGGCGTCCATCGTCTCCTCAAACTCCCTGCAGAGAGGGCGGGACGCCGTCACAGGCCGGCTGCCACGCTAGCTGTCGCCGCCGGGCAGCGGCTGAAGGCTTTTTCTTACTTCTCTTTCTTCTTCAGCAGAGTCTGGGCCTCGTCAAGTCGAGTCTGGATCTTCTCCACGCGTTCGTCGGCGTCTTTGGACGAGCTGTCCAGCTTCTTCTCTAGAAGACTGAGACGAACGTTGGCCTCACTCAGCTCCTCTCCCTGAAAAACAAAACAAATACTCGCATGTCACACGGTTGGTTATCCCCTGTGGACTGACTTTTCAGCTGAGACGCTAGAGGACTCCCTACCTTGATCTTTAGAGACTTCTTTAGCTCTTTGATGACCGTCTCCCGGTCCTCCAGCTTCATGCCAAGTCCTTCTGCGTCTGTGATTTCTGCTCGAAGAGCCGCCGCACGCACCTCCACTGGTGGGGGATTCTGAGGGATGACCGAGCAGGATCAGGCGGGAACTTTTGGACTTCCAAAACACCCAGAGGTGTCCCAACCAGGAAGTTCTCCCCACAGGGTTACCTTGTTTTGAGGCTTATCCGAGTCATACTCTCCCTCCTGCATGGCTGTAGCCATCTTGTTCATGGTTGCTATGACGATGCTGCAGGACTGTCGCAAATACTCGTACGGATTGGCCCCCTGCGATCCATAGATCTGAGAATGCCAGTCATTTAAATGATTTTAATTGCCAAAGCCCACTGGGCAGTGGAATGGAGTCACGATGGATAGAAAGGTAATCACAGAGAATGAAATCATAAAATAGACACCAGGCGTCAGAGTTGAATGAGTGAATGAATGAGACGTTGGGGAACGAGTAACTGGTTCTAGTTCTGTCCGGTTGTCAGTGTACACACCTGCTCTCCGGCTTTGAACGCTACGTCTTCCAGTTTGACGGATGAAAGCCCTTCCTGCTCGCCGAGGGGGGACACCATTTGAGCTCCGGCCGCCGCCACCTCCTGCAGCACGGCCACCACCCATGTGAGGTGCTTTCTGCAGTCTGAGAGGGTGTCGCATACCTGGTGGAGGGAAATCGGCAAAAAAAAGCCCATGAGCGGCAGAGGAAACGGTGGCACGTGACACCGTGGGACGCCTTTACGCGGCGAGCTACCTGCGGCCCAAAGCTGAGCGCCGCTGGGATGCCCGGCGCGTCGGTGCCGGGCATTCGGCGCCGGATCTTTTTGCAGAACTGCCGGATGTCGCTGCAGGACGTCTCCAGGTCCTTCAGCAGCACGGCAAAGTCGGCCTTCTCCTGACCCGTGTGGAGGAACGCCCGCAGGCGGCCCACCTCCACGGCCATGCAGTCCAGGGCGCTCTGCGTGAACTGGAGACCAACAGGGCAGGCGATGAGGCAGCTGGGGGGGGGGGGGGGGGGGGGGGGGGGGGGATGTTGGTTTGTGCCCCTTAGGTGTGTGTGGACTCACCCTGATGTGGTCAGCCAGCTGAGTGGTGCAGTCCTCGTTTTGATCTGCTAGATGGATGCTGTACAGGTGCTGGAGAAGGGAGCATGTGTTTAACGTTACACATTTAGTTATTTCCTATGTGAAGATGGGGGAAAGGCTTCAATGAAGTCTTAACTGCATGCGTGCTTGTACCTGATAGTACTTGATGGCCTTGGTGAGTGGCTCCACGTTGACCGTCTCGTCCAGTTGGTCCTTGTGCAACAGGTCGATGAGGAAGTCCAGCGAGCGTTCGTGGACGCTCATCTCAGGGTACAGAGAGCCGATCTTCTTGTAGACCTCCACGCCGCACTGGCCGAGAGCTCTGACGGAAGAAAGAAAAAAAAAAGGAAGCCGTAACCCCATTTGTAGCAGTGAAACGCGCCGGCCAGCTCTCCCGACTTGGGGGCGTGCGGCCAGACTCACTGCTCGTATTTGTGGAGCGTGGCCTGCAGCAGGCTGAGCGAGTAGACCAGGCCCCCGGCAAAACTCAGCTGTTCCCCCACAGCTCCCTTCAGGCCAGCTCGCTCCACGCAGTTTTCGTTCAGGTCGAACTTTTCCTGGGCCTGTTTGCTGATCAGTTCCGCCTAGAAACAATAACGATCATTTAAAAAATACATATAAAAAAAAACAGGCCACCAAATTGGCTGCGAAGTTGAGTTTGTAACTGTATCCCAAAATGTTCTTGTGACAGCAAACTAGAAAAAAAAAACTCAAGCCTGTAGGTCGAGGTTTACCTTGCAGATGAGCCTGGGCATGAGCAGCAGCACCAGGATGCAGTCGTGATCTCCGCCGTGACGCAGGAAGGACTCGGGCATGAAGGAGGTCAGAAGGGAGACGTGTCTGTTGGCCTGGCCCACCTCCATCTTCCTCAGCTCCATCTCGATGGCCTGGGAACAACACAAGCTGAGCCGTTTAGATCTCATGCTGTAGATGTTCTGACAAATGCCCCCAGTGAAAACTTTCATCCGAACCCCAAAGAAATCTAAGAGGGCATCGGAAACGACCGCACTGCTGGCAGCTATCTTAACAACGAGACAGAAGCTGTCTGACCTTGGCGTAGGCCTTTGTCTCTGCGAACTTGATCTTAAAATCGAACATCTCCGCTGGCGGCTGCTGCTGCAGCTCTGCCGAGGCTTCCTGCTGACTGGTCAGCTCCCTGTTCACCTCCTGCAGTGGGCACCAGAGGCATCGGGGGGGGGGGTCAGGAGCGTCTGCAGCCAAGCTGTTTTCCGTTAGAAAAGCGGGAACGAGAGCACCGGCGCAGACCTGCAGGTGAGCGGTGAGCTCGCGGTACTTCTTGATCGTCTGCTGGTAATCCGCCACAGTCTCCTGGGCCGCTTCCACTCTCTTCTCGGCCTCTCGGACTCTGGCGGCTCCCAGGTCCAACATCTCTCTCAGCTCCAGCTCCGTCTCTCTGGCGTTCTCCTGCAGCTCGTCATTCATCTCGTTTATGGCTTCCTACAGGACGGAGGCAGTCAGCAAATACAGTCAGTTACTGCGGCAATCTAATATTCAAATTCTGTTGGAAAGCGATTTTTATTGATTCATATTTGGTGTGGAAACGACTCAATATTTTTGTGCAGTCTGTATTAGTTTGTTTGAAGCCATGGAAAGTTAAAAGGTTTTGGCAATTGAAAATGTCACTTGGTTCTTATTAGATCATAAAGTTAAATCACTACATCCTCAGTCTGTGGTCAGCGCCAAACAAGGTACCCTGATTTTATACCTGCAGCACAAGATCCCAGATCACCAGCCTTCCACCACCATGCTTGACAGCTGGTATGAAGTGCTGTGCATTATGAACAAACATCTCTTTGTCTCTTTTGTCCACCGGAAGTTGTTCCAGAAGGCTTTTGGTTTGTTCAAATGTAATTTTTTGTAAACCTATGCTGTGCAGCTATGTTCCTTCTCTAGTTTTTTTTTTGTTGCATTGATTAATGAGGTCTGTTTTTTTTTTTCTTTTTGCATAGTAGTCTGACAATAGGTTGAACTTGCCAGGATTTCCATCCTGACCATACCGCTAACTGTCACTTGTGAATGATCTTTCCAAGGAACACCGCCTTAAGGACCATCAGTCATGTATAAACAGGATAAACCTAACTACCTTATTCAGTAACATGAAAAGTTTTTTCAGTTTTCTCACATGATAATTTATGCCTGTGGACTTTAATCTACTTCCAACAGCAGAGGGCGCTGTAAACGTATCCATGACCGTCTAAATAATGACATGAGTCAGCAAACACTACCACATCAATTTTCCCTGACACCTGCTCTATAAATCTAGCCACTGAGCAGGCCTGCTGCGGCGTAATGCATTACAGGATAAAACACCAGCCTCCAGCCGAAGACTCTCTTAAATGAGCTGAGCTCCCTTGCCTGCGTTCGCTTTGAGGGACCTCAAGGAGGTCGAGTCGCGCTCACCAGATCGGTGACGGTTTCTCTGAGCTCCCTGACTTTTTCCTCCAGGTCCAGGTTCCTCTCCGTCAGAGTCTCCACCATCTCCTCTGCCCCCAAAGCAGCATCCACCTGCAACAGAACAATGAGTCTGAGGGGGGTGGGGGTGGCGTTGCTTTTTGGTGACGTCCGAACCAGAAAGCAGCGGGGCCGGCGGCTCACGCGTCCATGGGCGTTCTGACCTGCTCTTTCAGCTCATCGATGGTCTTCTCTGCCGCCGTCATCTCCTCCTGCAGCTTTTCCTTCTGAGCTCTCAGAGAATCCAGCTCCGTGTTCTTCTTCTCCATCTGCCTCTGCAGCTTGAGGTGCTCTTGCTTCTCTGAGGCGGACAGGTCGCGCATCCTGACACAGGGCGGGGTGACAGTGGTTAATCAAAGGCGGGGTGCGGACACGCTCAACAAAGGTAATGGCGCGCTTCCGTTTCGAGGACTACCTGACCAGCGCCTCCTTAAGCCTGCCGTTCTGCTCTTCCAGCTGCTTCACGTGATAGCTGGAGGCGGCGCCATCCGAACCTGAGACGAACCCAAAAACACAGCTCAGCTCTGCAATCTGATGTCAGACAGTTAGGAATGGTGTGTTGACACATTTGTAGGCGAGACAAGAAAGCAAAAATAGACATAAAAGTCAGATCTTAGTTACTAAGAAACTGCAGAACAAATGCCAGCACAGTTATGGCGCTCAGCACCTTTCTCCTCTATCTCATGCTTGAGGATCTCCAGGTCCATGGTGAGTTCATCCACTTTCTCCTTCAGAGAGTCCACCTCCAGCTGCAGAGACTCCGCCCTCTCCTCGGCCATCTCTTTATCCAGGGTCGCCATCTCGATCGCGTCAGCCGTGTCTGACATCTCCTCCATGTAATGCTCCTTTGCTTCCTGGGCTTCTTTGGCCTCCTATTCATCCAGAGAAATCATCTTTTTGACTTTTATGAATCTGCATCATCGTGTCGGCTGAAGATACACACGCTTTATTTTCACATTACTATTATTTGGGTATTTTTCCAAACACTGGACTATTTTTTTCTGTCTGGCTGCTTTCGCTGTCTGTAATTCAGCATGGAAGATTTCTTCCTTCCTGCCGCCATTTGTGTGGGGGAAACATCCAGCCCATCATGGAGCAGCCTCCCCATCTTACTTCCGTCTGGAGCTCCTTACCCTCTTTGCTTCTTTCAGCTGTTTCTGCAGCTCGGCCTGCTGCTCCTGCATCTTGGTCTTCCACTCCTGGAGCTGCTCCAGCTGGATCTTGTGCTTCTCCAGCTCCTTCAGCTTTGCTTTGTCCTCGGTCCGCTTCATCTTCAGCGTCTCCAGCTTCTCCTCCAGGTCCTTCACCTGGGCCCGCAGCGCTTCCTCCTCCTGGATTGCAGAAGGAGGAGGGCAAGGACAGTTGTTCACCGTGCCCTTTTTGGTTGTCAGATTTCAGGTTTTTACGACGTGAACCTTGCTGAAAAACCAATCCATCAGGGAAAAGAAACACGCGCGCATTTTGTCATGCTCAGAATGTGTGGGCACATAATCATCAGCACACGCCGCTATTCCAGCAGAAAACATCCCAATTAAAGACTTCACACCAATGACAGCTCGTTAAAATGTTAGTGGCAGAAAAACAACACTCCAGTTTTTTTTTTAGTGCAGAAAACACACATCACACCACATCCCAGCACCTGTGTCTCCGTTATGACATCCTCCTGGGGGGGGAGTAAGACGCAAATAACACCAATTATTCACACCACGAAGAGCAAACTGAAGCCGAGGTTTACCAAATGGTACAGATTTAAACTCCAGCATTTATATACAAATCAAAGTATATGTTGCTCATGAGGATCCAACCTGTTTTATACTCAGGGTGAGGAAGATTAAAATCTTTTTCTTCCTTTTTTTTTATCCATCCGGACTATTTTTGGCCAATGACAGAGAAAATCCAGAGAAATTGATCAAATGATCATTTTCACATATTTTGATTGGATGTAACTCAAGTCCGACCACTTCCTGAGTTTCCACAGGTTTATCCAAATAAACTAAAGATATAACATCTGGCAGAATAAATGGCTGAAAATGACAGTGAAAATGCTAATAGCAAAAATTCTGATAACCAGTAGCATTGCTTTTCAAGAATACAGGTGGAGCCCCTTACTTTTCAGCTTTGCAAATCAGTGCTCTGGTGCCTCCTTTTCCTTAAATTCTAAAGAAAAATGTACATTTTTTCCCCCATATTTTCTTATGTGAAAAAACAATGACTCATAATAACCGACAGTCCGGATAACAAGATCATTAAAGAGTGAGAGCTCTGTAGAAGAGGCACTGCCTCTCTTCACTGGTCTATTAACACAAAAAACTGGTGCAAAATTTAAAATAACTTGTTTCTTGATAAAGCTGGTAAGCCCTCTGGGTCATTGTGTGCGTATTTGTCAAAAAATCTGTTTTAAATAGGCTGACATGAAGAACACAATTTGATCCACATGAGGATTATGTGATATGACTGGTGCCTGTCCACCTGCCACTGGGAAAGAAGCAAAGAAGCATTACCATCCTGAAAAATGGCCTCCTCATTCCCAAGCCTACTTTTAAATTAAGGAATTAGATACAATTGGATACCAATTTCATCATCCCTCGACACGTTTACTGCCGAGGTAATGAAGGTCTTTTACCAGAAGCCTGATTTTTACATTTCATTCTCACTAAAGTAAAAAAGAAAAAGGCATTCTTCAAAACTATTCTCTCATTTAAACTTGTCTATTTAAAAAAAAAAATGTTTTTTTACAAATCTAAATTAAAAGCTGTGTGTTCCTCTAATTGTTTTCTTTTCATCTTTTTTTTCTAATTTCTGTCATTTCCTTGTCACATTGAATGAAAAACAACAGCTTCGCTCACCACCCGGTCAAGTGTCGCTTCTACTTACTGACCTTACTGGGCATAGGGGGAGGCGGGTTTCCGGGGGAGTGGAGGGTGGGGATAACGGGGGCCGCCAGGGGGGTCTGGGCTGGCGTGCTGGGCTCGCTGCTGCTCATCTCTCCGGCCGACGCCGAAGCTGAGCCGGACGCGGGCCCCTTCCCTCCGGCCGGCCGGCTGGGCTGCTGCAAGAACCGAGACGGACAGAGTAAACAAAACGGCCTCACTTTGGATCAATATACATTCAATCTGCATCAACGTGCCACAGAAAGATCCCAGTGTTGGATATTTTGAAGGAAACGTTGACGGTAACTATGAGATTCCTGCTCGCCAACAGTCACCGTGTTTCTTCCCACGAGTGCATCTTGATTCTATTAAACTTACTTGTGTGCCTTTAGGCTGAGGATGTCTTTGAGGCTGGATTCTGTTTTTCCATCCACTAACAAAATCATATATTCTTTCTGAGAACTTGAATGATAACAACAAATGCATTTTGAGATCATTTGGGATGATTTCAATTGTCTTTTATTGTGCTATTTTAGAAAAAAAATCATAAACCTTACAAGAATAATCTAAAATGTTTGGGAATACATGGCTTTATATTAACATAGTGATGGAATCTATTAACTTAGATGGCATATGAATGTGATTTTGTTTTTAAGCGCAACCTATATGATCATCTGAGTAGGTGATACAATTGGAAACGGTTAACAGCTTCATGTTAATGTTCAGGGTGAAAAGAAACTGAATGTCTGTGAACAAATGGAGTCCCTCAACAATGAGCCTCAACTAAAAAGAAAACTTTTTTTACTTTTAATAGTTGAAAAAATGTATATATAACATGAACAAATTAAATTGATATTAGTGTTAAAATGGGTTAGAAAACACACACACTGTTGAACAACGTGAAAATAACAGCCACACATGCTAGCCCTGGTGATGTTGAAGACTGGGCTCACCTTGGGCCTTCTGGCCGTGGTCTGAAGAGCAGAGGGAGGAGACGATAAGAGCAAGGAGGGGAAGTGAGAAGAGGTTGAAGGGCAGAAGGAGAGGAGGGAAGGAGGGAAGGGAAGGAAACAAACAGCCGGGGTTAGAGATTCAAGGCAAAGTTCACATTAAACTCGAAATCACAACAGGGGAAAAAAAAAGGTTGAGGATGAAGCTTATGGGAAAGTCTTCCACTTTACTGACTTGTACAACCCCAAATCCTCCCCGGGTGTCATGTAACAACCACACGCAGATCAATAATCTGCTGTTTCTAATGATCTCTTTGACCTCGTTGATCTCAACCCTTCCTCCTGAGCAAACAACAACAACAACAATCACAAGACGGACACAAGCGACTGGTACCAGCACGGCCACCTCAATGACCACTTTGTGCCTCCGTTCGCCTCCGAGTCCGATTCAGCAGTCCACTTTCTTTTACACTGTGCTGAGAGAACAGCTCGTTATCCTGATACTTCAACATCCCAGACTGACATGTGACACACGCAGGCTGGGTATGAGAAAGCACTGGTACAGCAGACCTGGGTTTCACTGCTTCATCATACACTTCCTGAATTTAAGCGAAACAGCTAAACAACCACAGTGCCTCCTCAAACATCTTTTTCTTGATATCACAACTTAAATTTGGGCTGTGACTAACCATTACTTTGAATATGAATCAGCTTGTAGGTAACTATTCTAACAATGCTCATTTCTTTCTGTCTGACCAACAGTCCAAAATAACACAGATTCAATTTTCAATTGCAAAATTCTGTACATTTCCATCCGACCGATCCTTAAAAAGCAGCTCCATTTCAACCAAATAAATCCACACTAGTAATAAATTCTCATATGTGCAATATCCAATTATGTACAGCTAACAATGGAAAACACTGCTAACCTTCTGCTATGGCACCATCTCACTTTTGTTTGCGATTCGGCCTAAATTACATAGTTTTTTTTTCAGTGACGGTTTTCAGAAACAGTGGCATATTTGGCAAATGCTCTGTAAAGCACTGATGCCAATAGATTATCAAAGAGAACTACTTAACCTTTGGAGGATCCCAATACATGATTAGAAGAACCAGATGAAATGTGCATTATTGTAATACAAGTCTAAGATCATTAGTCTGTCCTTCCATTTTAACCCCCTCTGTGTACCATAATGAAACAAGACACAGGATGGCTCATCTCTGGTTTTGCGCAGAACCTCTCCGTCCCCTTCCTGTTAAACCAATTTGTCCTCCTGCACTTTGAACTTCGACATTTCACTTTCCACCTAAGGCTTGGGCACGGCCGTCGCCTCGGCTGGTGATGGCGCCTCATCGGATTAGAGACGAACCATTCAGCAGAATTCGCCCTGGCTATCAGCTGTGCCCACTAAGAGCTGACAGTCTTCTTCAAGGCTGCCATTAAACACCGGGAAAAAGCTTGGCAGAAATGAAAGGCATCTATTTGCAAAGTCTGCGAGGGAGCAAAACAGTTTGTGCGTTGTGGAGAAGGCGTGGAATCGGAGTGATGAAGGGAAAAGCTTGCACCGTAACTGAAATATGACACAACTGGACTCATGCTCGGGCTTGACCACACTCTGCAAAAAGCCACCGACTGCGAGGGGGGTGAATAAAACCGGACCATCCAAAGGAAAGCCAGCTCCGCCGAGCAGCAGGTGCACCACTTTCAAATGTCAGAGAGAGTAAGGGCCGACCCCGGCATAAAAGGATGGAACTTCCAAGCGTGACCTTTACAGCGGCCGCAGCACCAACACAACAAATGGATGATGACAACAAGAAACACAGCAACATCCCAACAGTTTAAGAGGAGGAGGTGAAGTTCTGTACCTTCCGGAGAGCAGGAGTCTGCCTCATCATATTTGTGAGAGAGGGAGACACAAGCACACGCACACAAAAAAAAAAAAAAAAAAAGACAGGAAAGAGATATAAACAGGCAAAGATCCACAGAGACGGGGGTTCAAGGCGGACAGGCGGAGAGCTGGAGCCGAACGGTCAGGCAGGCAGCAGCTCGGGCCGGGAAGCTGCAGTGGTGCAAATGGCCGCAGCGATTTATTCCCCGGCTCCCCCTCCCTGCCTCCGTCTGTCCTTTCCTCCTGCTATCGTCCTCCTTTATGTCCTCTTTCTCTGCTTCTCTCATAATCCGGCGCCTTGCTAGAGCTCTGATTTGGACCGTGGCATCCCGCTGCCTGCTACACCGGGAGACGCCTCTGCTCGCCTAACCTCTTCCCTCCCTCTCCTCCCTCTCCTCTTCCCCCGATTGTGATTCGTCAGCCCGGCCGGTGCCTCGCTCCGGCATTACATCACTGCGCGCCCTCCCCGCCTCGGCGCCGCTCACCCACTCGTCGCCACCCCGAGCACAGACAGCCGAGGGGGGGGTGGGGGGGGAGCAGTGGTCGGAGACAGACAGAGAGAGGAGAGCGGAGCTTTGACACGGAGGAGGGTGGTGCTGTGGAAGGAGGCGAGAGGGGGGGAAATGCTCAGCAACGCCGATGTGAGCCTCTCGTCTCCTGGCAACGTCGGCAGATCCTCCAGTGGGCTTATTAAAATGAAAAAAACAAAGGGGGACCCTACACCTGATTTGCTTCCAAATAAAAAGGCAAAGCAATTTTTTTAAAATCGTTTTACAGCTTTTTCATTTATTAATTAAGACTTATTCAACGTGTCCTTCCCCGGGTCTAAAAGCATATCAGAAATACCTGCCTGAGAATGTCCCTCCTCCTAAAGCAGCAGCTCACTTCACATAACAGACATGTCTTTATCTAGTCCCCTCTCTGTGTCAGCGGGCATTTCTTTCAACCTCTGAGTGTGAAAAGCTTCTAGCGCCTCTGACATGGACCTTTGTGTGTTGTGTGCACTCTAAGCACAGTTTCCTAAAAAATATTTTTAAAAATGTATAGCCCCTACTTTCAATTCTATTTAAATCATTCTATTTTGGAAATTTTAAATCTAAATCTCTCTACACTTTTCACGTTTCTAAATCCATTCTTTATATAATTGTCGATTATTTTAACCTTTTAATTAATGATGTGACTGCACTGCTGGTTGTTCCATGTATAATAATAATAAATAATAAATAAATAATAAACCTTTATTGGATTTAATTGTCTACTTGTCAGAGATTGTTCTTCTGTTTAATATTCATTCAACTCTAAGGCTAAAAGGCTGAAAAAGAAGGTAGCCAACTTACTTCTGAGTCATTTTATAATGTTATGGAAATAAATCCAAGGGAGATGTGATTCATACAGATGTTATCTGAATGCCAAGCAACAGGGACCTTTAAAAAAGGTCATCTTAAACCATAACATTTGTAGAGATGATAGAGCCCAGCACTGCTTATTGCACATCTTATCAGAAAGGGTGGGATTGGTGCCACCTGTTTAAAGCCACATCACAGGCTGGAGGACTGTGACTGAACAAGGACGAAAGGTTACAATGGCTTATTCGATTTATCTGCCATTTGTTTGATTTTAATATTCTTATTTTCGACATGTTAGAATTCAGAGGTCTACAACTAAACCACCACGGGTCTAAATGGTAAAAAAGATCTAAAATGGTTTTACATGGAGGTGAATTCAAGTCACAGGCTGAATTAACACTAACTGTCAAAGGAGCTTTTAGTCTAGAGAGTGAGCTAATTGGTCAACCGGTTCACACAGCTAAAAAGCTGTTGGAGCAGCTATCATAATATCTCCCTCAGCTCCGCTGATCCCCTTCAGTGGCCCGACAGCAAGGCAGGCTGTAAAAGGATTCGTTCACTGGGGAGATTCTGATTAGCTGAGAGCTTTGAATCAGGGATAAGAGGAAAAAAACACAGCAGCAGGATTACTCTCAGTCGGAAGTGGAAGAAAAACTGTTTGTGCATATCCATTACTGAGTAGCTGAGGGGAACTCGGTCCTCTTCAAATATTAAACATATTTTGTCTGTAATCCTCTCTCTTCCTGTCAAATATGCAGACTAAATGATGCTCTCACAGTCATGGAGGAAAAAGAGGCTGGAAGACAGAGAGGATGACTGGACCTGAGGGGTATCAGGTTCCTGCTTTCCAAGCACAAAGCGAGGATCGTTGCCTCTGATTAGGGCGAGGCAGCCTCCACAGCAGAAAGGGAGATAGACCTACAGCCCCGGAAGTGTTAAGAACACACCCCGAGGCACCACCCGCCTAAATGGGCTGGGTATTTCCACACCTATGCTTCTTTACTATAATTATTAAAGACGTACACGTCACCCACTTCCACATATCTCTGCACCCCAAGCTCTGCCCAGGACGCTTAAGCCTCCCTGTTTTCGAAGTCTCTGAAAAAAATTCAGAGAGGAGACGCAGTGCTGGAGGTGATCAAATAAAACCGAGCTGACGGGAAATCCATAATCGGCGGCTCACTTCACCTGGGTCACTGTCTGACATTTTCTGCACGGCGCAGCAGAAGATGGCCTTCGTGTATGAGTCAGAGGAGGCTGACCTGTAAAGAGCACCGAGCTGTCAGCGCAGATCTTATGACGGCTCCACAGCTCAATCAACAGTGGACGGGATCCTTATCATCAGCACTAACCACTAAAAAGCACACAACTACCAGTTGGAAACCTCCACGGCCCAAATCCTTAAAAACCTTAAACCTTAATGTCAGAGCTAAGTGTGTGGCTTGACAAGGTGATGACATCGTCATCACAGATGGATACCAATTAATTACTGTCACCTATTACTTTCTCATTATTTTTTTAACAAAAAAAACATTCAAAAATTACAGGAGTACCATGCCTTGTATCAAATAGAAACCATGATGTGGAGCCACCTTTAAAACTATTATCTCTCACATCGTTGTGGAGGAAATTTGATCAAATCTTTTTGGTAGAAGTCGCCTGGGCCTGTGCTTTTGGAACAGCACTCTTAAGGTCCCACCACAGGATTCAGGTCAGTTTGAGATCTGGGCCACATGGCTGACAAACAGGTTCATATTTAACTCTGAAATACTTTTCTATTCAGAGGTGCTCGTGTTGGACTAAATTCCTTTAAGATGTCCAGGTCCTAAGGCTGCAGAGCAAGCCCCCATCACTACATCTCCACCGCCGTGTTTGACAGCTGTCATGAGGTGTTTGCGCTGACGAACACCTTTTTTTAAAAACATTCTGGTCTCATCTGTCCAGTGGACATTAATATGATGTGACTTTGCAGACTCCAACTGGGTTTCCTGCGCCCCTTTAACACGACACCTGCTCATTAGTCTTTTTCTCATTGTACTGTCACAAACATTTAACATGCTCACTGAGGCCTGTAGTCTGTAGCTGCCGGGTTTCATCATTGTTTCATCATCGTATTATATAATCGAAGCTTCTGACATTGGGGTGAACCTGAAGGCGACATCCACACCCGGGAAGACAAACAGCTGTGCTGTTTTCCACTTGTGAATACTCGTTGTCCCTGAGGAACAATGGGATTGAAATCCTTGTGTATTTGATCAGCAACAGTTTTTTGTGCAACTTATCTTTTTTGTCCTTATGGGATCAGAAAGGGGGGGATTTTTTCCCAATAAAGTGCTTCTGCATTTTCTTTTGGTTTTTGTCTAGTAAATAAAGATAGGGTGTAAAAATTCTTGAAACTTAATCCAACAAATGGTTAAATGGCAAGATTATAATTTTCATCATGTTCTGTTACATAAAACGTTAGACTGAAAGATTGTACACTCTCTTTTTGAAAAGAGTCTTAAATGTATCTAAAAGGGAGCAAAAAAAGACTATAATTCCACCCAAAAGGAGGCACTAAAAGGCATGTGTCAAAAAATATTCATTTGCATTCCCAAAAATGTTCAACCTGCCTTAAGAGACGATTCAGTAGATTTTCTCTATTCTGTAGTTTAACACTAAGCAGAACATCAACAGGCAGATTATCTTAAAAAATCTGCTAAACTGCTTCCAGCAAAAGAAATACGACAGTAAAAGAGAAGCAGGACTTGCTGAACATCTTAGCAGGTCGAAGCTGAAATGCTTAAATGTACATAAAGCAGACGCAGCGAACACGCCGTGTTCCACGGAGCTGAGTCGGGAGGCAGACACACCAGACAGCGCGGTAAGACGATGGTGGGCACACACACACACACACACACACACATACACATCACCTTTGCCCTCCTGCTGGCCTTCATTCATACCACGCACACTGAGCGCTTCAGGACAAAGACCACTGATGTCAGGCTGATGAGCTAAATGAAAGGCGTGGCCATGTTTCCATGCAGCGGCAGGGCCATTCAGAAGCACGGTTACCACGGTTACTGCGGGCATCATAACATCACATAAGTACCGAGGTGAGAGAAACATGCAGCACCTTTTTTGGCTTCACTCCTCGCTGCGTGGTCCGAAGGAGGGAGGGGAGGAGGGGGGGGGGGGGTAAAGGGGGGGGGGGGGGAGAGGGGCGGGCCAGGGGAAAGGGGAAGGGGGGGGGGGGGGCGGGTTAACTCAGCCCAACTGAGTGTGGTAGCTTTACACAAAATCATCTTCATTTCACATTGCTCTCATCTGGTTCATTTTCTCCCAGCTTGAATGTTTAAAAGATATTTGAGCTAAACTGGACTGTTTTCTATCACTAACTTAATTTACATGCAGAACATGTTACAATTCCATGTATTTTTAAAAAAGCAATGTCTTGTGACATACCCTGTAGAAGTAAATCCTTCACTTTAGAATTTCTACTTTTTTTGCTGTGGCTTTTGGGAAAATTAAAATGATAAATATGCACTTCCTAAATGCATTTACTGTATGTGGCACATCCCTAATATAAACATTGTATGTTTACGTTTGTTCCTATTGTTCTTAAAAACAGCCCTTTTTCACCGTCAGCTATTCATTCAGTGTGCCAGTCAATTGCTTTTACGTGTGATGTAGCAGCATTTTGACGAAAACTGTTTAGTAGTTGGACGGTTCAATTTAAAATACAGTGCAGCACCAAACAGCTTCGGTCATGATTCTTATACAAGTCAACATCGCCCTCTGCTGGATGTCGCATTCAGCTTTGGCTTAAAGACGCCTTAAAGATGCTTTGTCATTTTCTTTAACATTTTCTTTAGGAGAGAACATTTAACTCAATAAAACTGTGACATTTTTACAGTCTAAAACATTTTACCTATAGCTAAGCCATCCTTAGCACTTATCTTTAGTGTTAATTTATGTTCTTTTCTCAAACAAAAACACATGTCAGTGTTTAATCCTGATGAGAAAGCAACTCCTTCCATCATTGCACGGCTGAGGCCGAGTTCACTTTATCGAGAGCATATGCAGCTTTTAGGGAGTGTGTGTCTGGAGTGTGAGTGTAGTTCATGCACGTGTGTCCTGCTCCGGGTCTGCTGGGGGAGAACTATGTTAGCATGTTCCCTGACTCACCAGTTTGGCTGACTTGGTGGTCTCCAGGATCTCTGAGGACATAAGAGGAGAAACAGGGAGAGGGAAAGACATTTAAACCCTTAACCTTTACAAACTGTAAAGTCTAACTGGAGATCACAGTGTAAACAGGGCTATGTCAACAGGATTTATAGCCTTCAACCTGATGGTGAACACTGACCACTGCTTGAAATTACTGTACACACTTTCTGTGGTCATGTTGCCTGACTGTTCCACCTGTTTTGATGAGGCAGTTAATCATAGTACTAAAAAATCTGGTAATAGTCGATAGATAATAGTAAGCAGTGGAGCATAAAAAACAAAGTAAGACAATGACGACAAAAGAGCAGAAATGAACAAATGTATGAACTGATCAGGGATAAGAGGCCAATTCAGAATCAATGTCATGTGTGGATTTCTTCCTTAAGTTTAAACTAGTATTCATGTTATTTGCACGTAATAACCAAATGTGGAATCATTCCAGGATAACTTGGATTCTCTATGCTGTGAGCATGTTCGAATCCTTAACAAATTTCTGAGATTTTTGGTGCAGAGCTGCTCCCTTTGCTCAATGCTCAGCACCTCAATTTGGACAAAAATCTTGTTGCCAGGTAACTTCAAACTCATTGTCCTGAAATAGACACCAATCAACATTTCTAAATACATATGCAATGACTCAGCAGATATGTTTCAGCTCTCTAAGCCAGTGGGCTGATGTTGCTTTTACAGAGCAACGACCATCAGCTCGCTACATGACGCAGCAGTGAGCCGTAACCATGGAAACCGGCTCCAGCCTCTCTTTGACAAAATGCTCTAAACCAAAGTGACTTAGTGTGAATTGGTGTAGTCAGTGCATTACCCTCTATGTGACTAGGAGTAAAAGAGATGAGAAATTGCATCAGAATCAGATTTATTAACAGACGATTAGCAACGGGCCGTTGTGGTGAGACAGTCCCATTCTCTGGTGTTAAATCAATTTATTATAGGGTGCTAAACCACTGACTGGTTTTATATACCGCCACATATTTGATTAATGGAATTTTTTAGGCTCTGAAAGGTCCACATCAACAGGATTTCCCTGTATTATGTATGAAAGCAGCATGAGAAAGTGTCCGTGTGTGTGTTTGTCCTGACCTCGTTTAGGGACTTTGCCAGTGCCGGGCTCAGGTGTCTCTGGAGACGTTGTGTCGGCCCCATCATCTACCAGCTGGATCTGAGACGGAGAGGACGGAAAAGAACAGAAAGGAGCGGTCAGTCTTGACTTGCGATTTCTTTCCGGTTCTTTTATTTAATTGAGTCACAGTTTTATTCGTATGACATTTGCTCTTCCCAAAACATAAAGCGACATGATAAAAAGCCTAATAAAACCAAGCTGCTTTAATTATGCCTCGCAAAGAAGAGCAGCTTTAGGGTGGTGGATGGTGGTTTGTTGTTATGGATACATAACAGTGAAGAAACTCCTACACTTATCCCTACAAAGTCCCATGGCCCTCAAGCTTTACAACATATCTGTTATCTGAACATTTAATAAAGACTTTTAAAAAACTCCAAGATTTTTAAGCTCTTAGTAAATATGCTACTCCAAGTGATGGAGACTCTTAGACTCTGCTGGAGCCCATTGTCAGAACCAAAGAAGGTGAGGCTATGTTCACATTAAAGCTCCTAAAATCTGGAAAAGTGTTCCTGAAGAGTGAGCTAGACCTCCACTCTGAGAACGGTTCTGTTTCGCTTTTCATATGAAACCTGAATTGATTTCATCTGCAATCTTCACTTTCAGTTTGATTTATTCAATACATTTTTTTTTTTTAACTTAATTTCTGCTGTCAAAAACTTGCATTCGAAAGCATTTTTCTTTTCTATTCTTTTCTTTAAATCACTTTGAATTGTCTGGTACATGAAATTAGCTTAGCCTTGCCTTACCATGGTGATGTAAACAGGTCTCTAGCGGTGGACTTGGTTGCTACGCACCCAAAATGGTGTTTTAAAAAAAAGCATTTCAGATATAAACGCATTTAAGACATATTGCTGGAGATACCTGTGACTGTCGCACAAAAATCCCACGATTCTCTTCGCAGGTGAAGTAGCGCTTGCCCTGCACCGTGCCGTCGTTCTTCCCCTTGGCCTCGTCCAGGATGACCCCCACCCATTTCCCCGAGGCGAATAGAGTGTTACCGATGTAGGCCACCGTGCCACGCTGGCCCTTCCCGATCACCTCCACCAGGGAGCCCACTTTGACGGGCCGACCGCCCCCGTCTGAGCTCATCCTGCTGCTGCCACTGCTGGTGGTCTGAGCGGAAGAAGAAGAGGATGAAGTTAATGAGTTTGCTTTTGGGTTTTTGGGGTTTTTAAGTTTCATGTTGTCAATTCAAGCTTTTTTAATAATTTCCACATGGTTTTAGGAAGTGAATAAATTTAATTAACTATCTTTCCAACTCACACCCCTGACTAAATATGTTGATATTATACATAAAAGAGAGTAGAGTTAGTAAGATTGCTTCTGGTGAGAATTTAAATAGTCTTAATCTGTTTGAAAGTTTTATTCCCTAAAAGTTCATTTAGGTTTGTTTTGCTTTTCTTTTTTTGTGATGGTGTACACACTGAACTGGATTCCCTTCCAAATTCAAAATGACAACCAACTATATTACATTTATTCGAGTCTCAAACACTGTAAATTGTTTTAAAAAGAAAGAGGCATTGAATGAGCTCCTAAATGGATACATTTAAGACTGCCCTAGAGGAACACTGAACACACCTGAAATTACTGACACACTGACAGTTTTTTTCCCACTTCTGCTGTTGAAGCCACGTGTTTAGACCAAGGGGGGGGGGGGGGGGCATGCTTTAAGAGAGGTTTTACGAGGAGTTTGCTAATGATCTCTTATGTTTGTAGCCGTCACCTTTGTATTACACCATGCATTAAATGTGTGACACTGTGACTGATGAGCCTCTCCATCATTTGGAAAAACTTTTTTTTCTAACCTCAGTAAGTCATGCCAACGTTAGTTGGAAACAGTGCAGCACTTCCTGTACCCATATTTCCTCATACATGTTCTCACTTATTTGAAACACAAGTGGCATCTTGACTGCTTGTAATCACTTGACATACATAAAGTAAAAAGCGATTATCTAGCTATATTTATAGATTTCAAACGGGAAGGTTTAGGAAGCACACTCCCAGGTATTATAACTAAGGCTTGTCTCTACAAGTAGACATTCGAATAAAAAAATAAAGAGAAAATTCAGACTCATTACACTGAACCCCAACCACAGCCGGGTTAAAAGGGTCAGCGGAGGATTTATCGATGCCTATAGAGTGCTTCTGTTTAACAAGGCCAAAAGCAGCAGAAAAGACTAAATGGAGATCTGGCATGTTAAGGGGAATAAAACGCACACCTGAACTAATGTTCTGGCTGCTGCTGTATTTTATAATCTAATAATCCCTCATAACCCAATTTACAATGTGGTGTCCTAGAAGTGATGGTGACTCAGCAGAACAGCATGGAAAGGAGATGTTTTTAACTCTGCGAGGGAACAAGATCGCACCCTTCATAAGCTTAAAACACACACACACACACACGTCTGTGCTGCTGGTTTTTGTATCCCAGGTTCAAATCAGAATCCCACACATGAAGCGACATAAAGGCCCTTCAAATTCAGGTCAGGTTTGTTTAGACCATACAAATTCATCTGTCAGATCATTCTGTGAGCTAACCTGTGAGGATGTGCTGCTTCCAAGAGAGACTGAGCACAAAGGTATTAAGGGTTAATAACCAGGATTTGATAACCAGGATAAACACAACTGATCTATCTCTAAATTAATGGATCTCATAAGAAATAAAAACATCACTTTTATCCCATAGGAATCCAAAAGATATCAGTGGATCTTGATGCTTTTGCTACTTTCCATAGATACATTCAGAACTAAAATAACTTTTTTTGTGAGTGTGTCTCGTTTGTTCTTATGTGATCAAATAATAACCGAAATGTTCAACTGTTAACAAGTTTCTTAAGTGTCTGTAGGATATCAGTGAAATTGTGGCTCTATTACAATCCAATATTTCCCCAAAAAATCCTGATTTCTTCCAATTATGAAATAGCAAAGCTGCCAATTGAATTTGTCGTGGCTCGCTGTTTGATACCTAACCCGAACGAGCTGCTATTCCATCTTGGATATTTACACGCTCTGATCAGTTCGACATTAAAACCACTGGTGACCTTTCGAGGACACGCCAGGCGCATGGTTGTTGTCAAACTTGCTACAAAATATGATATGCTATGGGCTATGATAGCTATAACATTGTAGGCAGACTCTTCCCAGAAAAAAAAAAAAATTCTGGGTTGAAACAAGGATTATTTTCTGTGTTGATTTGATCTCCAGTACAAGCGGTTTTCAGCTAAATGTGTTAATAAAAAAGCAGAAGAAGAACAATTAGAGAAAGAAATCTCTTCAGCAAGGTTTTAAGGGATTAACAACTCCATATGGGGCCACTAAGTAGGAATATTTAAACTATCTGTATAATTTAGCTCCAATTTGAGCATGGCATTACACTCGTTTTAGCATGAACATTCAAAAACTAATTCAGGTCTTGCTTTCACCATGTTTGTAAAAAACTGGACATCTGGCTAAACCGCATACCTTAAGGTTTTAAACAGTCAGCCGCCTATATTCTCCAACATAAAGTGATTAAACCGGAGTAAAGCATACGTTGGAATGCAGTTAAATAAAGCTGCTTTTGTTCCTGTGCTTTCTGCAATAAAAGCGCAGAGATTTGGAGCGACATAAAAAAGTGTGGCGTTTGAAAAGAATCATTGGTAACATTGGCTTTTAAAAACACTGAACAATCGCAGATTAGATGTAGAAAAGACTAGACATATCGGCATCATATCATCACAGTCCAGTCATGAAATGATAAATTACAAAACGCTTAATAAAAAAACACAATGGAAAAGTCTTTAAAGGAAAAAGAAATCTCTCAATCTAGTTTTTGTTTTTCTCAGATAACATAGTCCATGTTTTTCAGCAGGAGGATAAAAAGTGTTTTAAAGTAGTTTTCCAGAAAAAATAACAAATCTGTTTTTAGAAAGGGTGGTTATGTGCAAGTAAATAAGCTTCTACTTTTAAAGCAAAAAACCTGTACAGCTTTGGTATATAAAGCTATCAAACCACTTCCGACTCTTCAGGCTTCATCAAAAACACCTAATTTATGCGAAAATGGTTATACTTTGTGTCCTAAAAATAACTCGCAATTGTAAAAAATAACCAAGTCTGGCAGTGGTGCCTCGCTTTGCCTCAAACATCTGCCAGCCGGCTGATATGATCTGACGTTATTGGCCTGTCACCGATGCTGTATTTTGTGATGGACTATTATGTTTGTTATTCGCTACTTTTGCAGTCAGATTCAGTCAAGTCCTTTTATCTGTTCCTTTTCAGAGGAATGTTTTCTGCTGTGCATTAAGCCACTTAGCCCTATCAATGCATACGAGTGCAAAAATGCCACCGAACTCAAGGGATGACCAAGAGATTAGTCTAATCCTGCAGTTGATCCATCCAAGCTGCATCAGAAATGATCTCCATGGAAGAATCTCTGAAAGAATGACTAAAAAAGAAACAGTGGCAACAGGTCCGATGGTGGGATGAATCCTCCCCCGAGCCTGGATCTCAACATTATTAAAGCCGTGTGGGATAATCTTGAGGGAGAATGGAACAAAAGGCAGCCGACGTCCGAGAAGAGCCGCCTTTCCAGAGACCTGGAAAACTCTCCCTGTAGACTGCTTCTTCAATAACGACGCAGCCAAGAGCAGTGGCTCAAAGTGCTCGCACAGAATTGTACACACAATGATATCAGCTGAAATTAGAGATGGTGTGTATGGGCCCTTTGAATTCACCGTCAGTCTCAGGTTGCAGAGCAGCTCAGGAGGGAGTCTGTTATAAAGTAGTCCATGTTGTCAAGTCATTGTCCCGACCTGTTTGCCATGTGGAGGAGTCAGAAGACCCGAGGACGGCGCGCTGAATTATTTAGCACCACTCGACTCTCATACCACATGCAAGCTCCCACCGGCCAAGCATGGGAACCAAGGTTTCTAAAAAGTCATCAAAAGGCTGCTGACTGTCAGCCCCGACAGTCACCTCTGTTCATCAAACCAAACGTGTGCTGATGTCCAGCACACTATAACAGATGTAAACAACAAAATACAAAACATACTGAGGGGCTTTTCTCTTCATTAGGAGATTATTTGTTATATGAGGAAAGGAAAAAAATGTAGGCTTCAAAGCCTAAATGAAGCTATAACACGTCCAAGATCAAACTGTGATGTCATTCTTCCCGGTGACAGGGAAACAGCCTGACTCAGACACGGATGACAAACAAGGAAGTCTTCTTGGGCTCGTGGACTGTCTGCCTTGCAGCTGCTGCCGACAAAAAGCTTTACGAGCTCCCAACTTGTCACCTAGCATCCCTCAGTTTGCAGAGAATCAGAGGGGGGCCAAAGCCGGGGGTCCCGACTCCTAACATGGCAACGGTAAACGATCAGCCCGGGGGGGGTCCACGGGAGCCACACAAAGAGGCGACAATTCAAACAGAGGACGGCGCCCTGGAATGGATTAGAAGCCCCTCTATTGAAAGCGATGACACGGGGGAACAAATCAAACAGGCACAAAGACGACGACAAGCGTGCTACCTGGCGCTTCTTTAACCCGACTGAGAAGATGGATTCACACTTTGTGCGCACTCACCCGGGTGTATGTGTTCCTTCTAGTCTGTGACATGCTTCAGTCCTGCCGAGCACCTCCCAAACTGCCTGCTTTGACTGAGGGACCGTGTTATTAGGGGGAGCGCTGGCTAGACAGAAGGGGCTTGAGCAGAGAGAGAGGGAGGGTGGGGGGTTCAGTGATGCTGCCAGAGCGTCTCCCTCTGTCTCTGTCTCCTCACTGGATTACACCATCCCTCACCCAACTCCTACAGTTTACACCCCGAGCTGGGAAAAAGGAAAAAAAAAAAAACTCCCCCATCAACTCCCCTTTTTGGCTGACAGTAAAGTGTCCCAGGAGCTGGTTCCAGACCAAAGTTTCTGACGAGGGTACGGATCCAGGGCTCTGACGAAGGGATCGGAGAGGAAACGGCAGGGCGAGGAAGGGGGAGAACGGACGGCCACGCTCGGTCTGCTGCGAGCGCATCAGCTGAGTGGCGGCACCGCACTGGCTTCTGCAAGAGGGAGGGAGGGAGGGAGGGAGGCCTAGGCCCAGACGGAGGTGCTGGGTCCTAAAGCCAGCTAACCCCCGTCTTGAAGAGATCCTCAGAACAGTTATTCTTCCCACTGCCCTCATTTCAGGATGGTGCGGAAGTTAAGACCTCTTTGGAAGGATTGCATTGTGGCTGGCCAAAGAAATACTGAAAAGGGCTATGGTTTTAACTGTTTATCCAATTTATGTGTCAAAAAGCAACTCAATAAGGAGATAGCAATGCAGCAAACAACAAAAAAAAAATCCCTGCCGTCCCTGCACTGCAGTCTCCATCAGACTTTAGAATTCTACTTGCTTTGCTCTGTCAGTGGGAGCTCTGGGGATAGGGAAAAAAGGAAACATTGCGGCTTGTAGAATTAAAGAATTCTGAAACACAGCATTTTTGCAGCCAGGGAGAGAGACGCAGCAGTTCAGCCAGTTCTGTTTCATTGTGCTTAGGCACAAAAGGCCCAGGTGATGCCCTGGAACGGCGGCGTATTGTGCCAGGGCCCGGTCGGACGTTGTGGCTTCATCACAGAGCGGGGCTTAACTCCCTTTTATCCGACAACTGAATAGCCGGACCTATTCAAATCTCGGCCTCGCTCGTTCCTGTGCCGTCATCTGTTTTTTAGCAGAGGAAGAGAGCGCCGTGGGGTTTCTGTGTCAAAGCTTTCGGCGTGGAGCAAAAGCGGGGCTTTTCAGAGGAGGTGGGAAGCACAGGGCGCAGGAATGCACTGACCCTCTGGCGCCGGCCAGCATGGTGCCGGACAGCTAGGAGCACACTCGTACGCTCAAAAGTTTCATTTGAGACCAGCAAACGGCCGAATGTTGGATAAGATTTCAGATTCAGGACACTTCTGCAGACTTTTGGATGTTTGGGGATGCCAAACCAAACCTCTGCAGTCTCTTTGCACCCTTTTATGCAAATGACACAGGCAGAACCAAAAATAAAAAGGGGGAGGGGGTTAAGAATCGGCAGGAGGATAGAAAAAGAAAAGAAGGGGAGTCGAGACGGAGGAAGAGAGAAATGACCTACAGATATCCCGAGAAGCAGCTCCGCATTCTGGCGGAGGACTATGACATGGCAGAGGAGGAGAGGAGGGAAGGCTTGCCAACGGGACGGCCGCAGGAACAGAGGTGACAGTCCGCCACGGCACGGGGAAACATTACCAACACAACGCTCCTCCGGGAGGAGCAGATCGCCGTCAGAAGATCACGACAGGTGGGAAAGCTCGTTTTATCGGGGATGACTTAGCAGAAGATATTCGTGAGTTAGAGGATATTTGGCAAACAAAGAGGAGGTGGCTGAAGGGCAGACTAGGACAGAAAAAGCCGAGTCAGTGACTTTTTTTTTTATAGTAATCTTATGAAAAATCCCATATTTCAAAAACTAGAAATAATGCTACAATGTTAGTTTCCGACTCACTGTTGCCAAGTGGCCTCTATAAAGTAAAGGATGAATCCTCAAGAGGAAAAATGTTCAACAAAGCAGGCAAAGAGAATTAATTTGTTCCTTGACAAGATCAGAGATTCGGTCTATCAATTCAAACCGAAATCTTTTCCTTTCCAGACAAATTACTAAAAAGGTTATAAATAGACATTGCAATGTGTTTCACTGTAATGTTTGTTATGAGGACAATCACACAAAAACAGCTTTGGTTTAATTTCAACTGCAGGTGGTGCAAGGCAAGCAGACTGGAAACTCAAGCTGTTCCAAAAAATAGAGTTTGATATTAAGTTTGATTTGTTTTTCTTGCACTTCTGTTTTCTCTAAGATAGGTCTCTGCTCCGTTTATTGTGCCGATGATTATCTGGGGGATTTTGTCAAGAAAACGCAAACTATTTTAAAAAAAAGAAAGAAAGATAAACTGACTGTAGAAAGCATAAAAAGAGGACAAAGATATTTTTGGACCTATCCTCCTCTGAGAAGACACTCAGAGGTTGGAGATGTGTATTGAGAAGACTCAATTTGTAATTTGCTGCCATCTAGAGTGACCATGCCTCTGTTCCAGCAAAATATTGGCCCTCTGGTTATTTGAAACCATGCACATGTAAGGTGCAAAGAAGCCCGTGAATGAAAATAAATAGGGGTTTTTAAAAAAGTTTTTTTTTTTATCCTAATAATAATAAACGCAAAATACCGAGTCGATTGTTAATTCTGGTAGGAATTAGTGATAAAACACAGCTTGGGTGTGTCGGTCCACTTGGCGTGACATCTCCTCCGAAAGATTACCCAGATTGAATGAGAAATATTAGCAAAAACGACCAGGATTAGAGATTAAATAGTTAGATGCATAATAAATCTTATTTATCATTTCATAGTCTGACCTCAGCGCTACACACGCAACAGAGAGGCGCTTCAAGCACTAACGACCGCTCCTTAAGATGTTATTTAAATAAATGTGCCGTATTTACATATATTTTTTTAATGAAATATGTAATATATTGCCATTTGAGGCCCGTAAACGCCTCCCTTTGAACGCTGGTAACTGCTGCTGTCAGCTGTCAGTGAGACACTCCCTTACCAGCAGCTAGCTACAGTAGCCATTAGCCCCGTCTGGCTGTCTTATTTTTTAAAAAACATATCTATATTCCTGTGTTAATTTAATCCAAATAATAGCATTAGCGCTTTCATATATGTTTTTCACGTATTAAAAATCCAAGCAGCATTAAATGGGCGACACATGGTCGATAAATCTCACCTGCTTGTGTCCTAAATCCGGATGGGTTTCAGCTTCGTCCCCTTACGACTCACATCCATCCATGGAGGTCTGACCGGACACATCCGTCCTGAGGTGCCCGAGCTGCTGCCTGACTCCGCCCGCCCGACACACACCGGGAGGCCGGGGGAATCTTTGAGCGGGACAGGATTAACGGTTAACCCACGTTCAACGCCCGCCGGTGGGTATTAAAAGACAATTCTACATTTTCTGAGAATAGATTTATTCAAACAAATGTTGCCATGTCAGGTTTTTAGAAATGAATAAATACAATTTGAGCTTTATAATAAAGAACAATCCCTTCTTTTATGTGCACCATTTTCCTCTCTATTTGCATACTAGCACTTTAGATTTTTTTTAAAAGTCCAAAGTTAAAATAAACTACAAAATACAATCACTGATAAGAATGAGAAGGCCAGCTGGTCAAGACCATAGGTTTTATAAAAAAAAAAATTCAGACATGTCTAACATAGCTTACATGCACTTTACACGTATCGACATCTTTTCGGGGATACCGGAATTTCCTATCTGTATTTAATCTACCTGATCTACCTATCCATCTATCTATTTCAAAACACGTGGAAAGTAACATTTAAGTTCCTTGCCTCCAATTCAAGGATACGTATGGACATTGGGATCTAAAAAATAATCACATTTGTGAACATTCAATAACAAAAATATAATGCAAGTATAAGATTGCAATTTTCAAAGACCCGTAAACATATTTATCAAAGTATTCTCAGTTTTTACTTTATAAATCCTACAATCTAAACCTGTAACGTGGAAATAAATAGATGTGTGGTGACATGATGCACCTGGCTTTAACCAAAGGGGGGGTCCTGGAATGACTTTTATTTTAGTAAAGTAATAGGGTATTTGCTCTCCCTGACTCTTTCATGGTTTTTATCTATGTAAAGCACTTTGTGTTGCACTTTACTTTGTGTAAAAGGTGCTTTATATAAAAAAGACTGACATATTGATTGAGGTTAGTGAATAATGATGCGCTACTCTGATGTTTCACGTGTGACAATGATCAGCTGAGAGTTAAAGATTCCTTTTAAATATGCAAAGATTTACATATTTACATTTATTTAACATCTTACAAAGCAATCGAATGTTTCCAAAAACCAAATCATCAAAAGACTCAACACAGTGGATCCACATGAAACCTTTCAACGAAGCCGATTTCCTTTTGCACCAGTAAAATACTACATTATGAAAGAAGTTATTGTCTGTGGTTAGAACATGAAGGTTAGAACTGAAAGTGTGTTAAGCAAAACTGCCCCCACTACGGGGGTACTGTGTCCTGGGCTTTCCTGAGAGTATAACTTCTTTCAGTTAAATCCACACTGGCAAAACGCGAGCAAAGCTAATGGATGGTACCATCTGCTTGAAAACTGTAGGGATCATGCTGGTATCAGTCTCTTTTTTCGTCCCCCCGCACGTCGAGTCTGTACTCAAACAGGGTGAAGTTCATGATTTTGGCAAAAAACTCGGGGACAACAAACTCCCTGATCTTCTTGTAACCCATGTGCTCGTACAGTTTCTGAGCATCGGTTTGCACCACAGAGGTGTAGAGGATGACGGCGGGGTAGCCCCTGTCGCGAGTGAACTCGGCTACCGTTCGGCACAGAGCCTTGGCTATCCCCATCCCGCGGTGGCTGCGCCGCACCGACATGCGTTTCAGCTCCAGGCACTCGGGGGCACTCTCTGCCGGGAGACAAGCCACCGTGCCCACCACCCGCCCGTCGCTTTCAGCCACCCAAAAGCAGGAGTCCTTCTGCTTCAGGTAGGCCTCGCCGATGTCGTTGAGGTCCTTCTTCAGGGAGACGTCGATGTAACTGTTGAACATGTAGACGACCATCTGCCGGGCTCCGGCCAGGAGGAGAGTGACCGCCAGGATGGGCAGCAGGAAGGACTTGGAGCTGGTCATCAGGCCACAGAACGTGCAGACGAGAAGCATCTGGGTCAACGGCTGTTTCAGCATGTGTGTAAAGGACGACGGCACATGCTCGCTCATCCCCCAGGTGAAGACATCCTTAACGCTCTCGGCGTCCTCATCCCGGTACTTCCTGATCTGAATGTTGGACATGGCTCAACTGCTCACTGACAGGGGGGTCAAAATATGAGAAGGACAATCACTTTGCGGCACATATTCACCTTTGAGTCTGTTTCATTGAGCAGTTCTTTCTCTCCCCTAAAAATGTAAACATATTCAAATGCTTAATGTCATGCTTGATCACCACTAACTGTAAACCTGCATGTTATTTTCAATAAAACTTATGACTATGCATTCTCCTTACAAAGCAGCCAATATGTTATTCTGAAGTTTTATAATAAAACAACATTGTACAGATGAAAAAAAAACCATAAACATGGTTGCACGTGGTTTAATAACAAACCAGTTTTTCCTCTTAGCACAATGACCCCTAACACCACATCACCTCAGTCCATGAATCAAACTGAAAGGTTTAAAATCAAACTGTCAATGCCGGCCAGCTACATCTGCATGCTATATGTAGTAGCTGGTAAAGTAATGATTGAGCACAAGCCAAAAGCTATGTTTATAGAACTAACTTTGCCTCGGATAACACACCAAACACACCAGTCAGATTAGCTAACTGCTAACAGAAGTATTACCTAAAAAGCATTGTACCCCGATTGCTTTAAGGTTTTTACAATACCTTCATTCTAGGGGGGAATTAAAAATCTAAATAACACTACTTACATGTTTCGTGACAACGAATGCGACGAGAGAAGAGAAAACGTTTTCTCTTGTCAAACTCCGTTCATAGCGTCTGTATCGTAGCCACTTCCTTTACTTTCCTGCTAGGATATGCTGCATTCAATGACGTTCAAACGATCGACCGCTGTACAAAGAAAACGCAGGCATCGTCGCACATGTGTAAGCATGACTTGCAAATTTGGTCCCGTCGCAGTGTCGTCCCAGAGATCCTTGTGTTTTAGCAGCGTTTCAAACAAGGGGGGATGCCTGCCGGTACTATTACCGGTGATGTTTCCGCCACTGTGGCTGTAAAGCCGGACAGGCTTTATAAACCTGAACGCCGCATTCCGGTCATCCTGTTTTACATACGATTGCGCAGCAGTGCTTTAACCTTGCGTTCAGTTACGCCTGGAAACTCGCGGTTTCCCACTGCTTAGTGGGGAGCAGAGCAAATCCGAAAAATTGAACAAATGCTTGGTTCGCAAAGCTGTGTCAAATGGTTGTTAATATAAGTTTACTAGATCCCCCGTTGGAAATACAGGAAGGCAAGGCAAGTTTATTTGTAAAGCATACTTCATACACAAGATAATTCAAAGTGCTTTACAACATAGAATCATAAAAGACAAAAACATTTTAACATAAAAAATAATAGCTTATTTATTTAAAATGGAAAACTGGAAAACTCAGCCTGGACCGTTCTCAGACTAACATGTCAGACATGTATTTTAACATGAGATGATGAAGAGACTTGTACACAGAGATGTTCTAAAGTCTATTCTCTGAGCGACAGGAAGCCAGAGCAGAGATCTGAGAACTGGACTGGTATGATCGCAATTCCTGGTTCTATTCGGAACCCAAAAACATAAGTATTTGGAGAAATATTTCAAAAATTTCTTTCAAACTAAAAAGAATGCAAATGCTAAGCACTGTATATCCCAGTGTAACAATATTGAGGCACAACTCTATGTTTAATTCTTCATAGTAGACTTATCCACTGGATGACAGAGGGAATTCATTGTAATCTGACATTTCATTTTAATGGCAAATTCACATTTTATATCTAGTGAGATTATTACAGTAACCAGTAAAACAACATAAGTTTGATTGCTTTTGATTTGAATTTAAAACCAGGACAAAGGCGTAAAAATATTCATAGCCTAAGTTCCTTTATCTTTTTGTTATAGCGTTTTGTTAAGCTTCAGTCTCTTTTTCCATCTTTTAAGTAAAGTCTGTACTCCAGAAGCGTGAAGTTTATAATTTTGGCAAAGAACTCAGGCAAAACAAACTCCCTGATCTTCGTGTAACCCATGTGCTCGTACAGTTTCTGAGCATCTTTCGCAACCATGGAGGTGTAGAGGATGACGGCGGGGTAACCCCTGTCGCAAGTAAACTCGGCCACCGTTCGGCACAGAGCCTTGGCTATCCCCATCCCGCGGTGGCTGCGCCGCACCGACATGCGTTTCAGCTCCAGGCACTCGGGGGCACTTTCTGCCGGGAGACAAGCCACCGTGCCCACCACCCGCCCGTCGCTTTCAGCCACCCAAAAGCAGGAGTCCTTCTGCTTCAGGTAGGCCTCGCCGATGTCCTTGAGGTCATTCTTCATGGAGGCGTCTATGTAACTGCTGAATATGTAGACGATCATCTGCCGGGCTCCGGCCAGGAGGAGAGTGACCGCCAGGATGGGCAGCAGGAAGGACTTGGAGCTCATCAACAGGCCACAGAACGTGCAGAAGAGAAGCATCTGGGTCACCGGCTGTTTCAGGATGTGCATGAAAGACGAGGGCAGGTGCTCGTTCATCCCAAGGGTGAAGATCTCCCTCACACTCTCAGCGTCCCCATCCTGAAACTTTCTGATCTGAATGCTGGACATGGCTCAACTTTTCATTAAAACAAAAGGCATACAAAACAAAAGAGAATCAGTTGATTATATTTTGCTACACAATCAAATACTACAAAATGCTGTACAATGAGTAATGCTGCGGCTTAGAGGCTCTCTGACACACCAGGGAGTTTACTGTAAACAGGACAAGCCGTTGCCGTTTTTAAAACTCTCGCGAGAATCCAGCCGTCGAACAAGATTTTGTCCAGTAATTAAAACCTCACAATTTTCTTGTAAGTAGATAGATTAATCCATTTAGCAGTGTGTCTGGTGGGTAGTTAAATAATTATCAGTGCTAATTTGATAAGCATCTACAATCGAGTGTAGGCAAAACCGTCAGACTGACAGAGTACCAAAAAAGTGCGATAATTCCACCTGAAATATGGTGAATATGTAATGATGCCAGTGTATTTATATTTATACAACACATCTGTAAATCTGCTTATTAAAATTAGTCTTGTAATATTAAACCTGAAGAAACATTGTGTTGAGCCTGTAAACTTAAAATAAGGTAAAGCTGTCATATTAACACATTTGTTTCATAAGAGCGACTTCCAACCGAACCCCCAATCTAGATCACATGAGAGTCAGGCGCCTTGGTTTAAACAAAGAAGTTGACTTTATCTTGCAATTCAACCTTCGCTGCCACATCAAAATAAAAACACACCCCACCCCACAACCGTCACCTTTCCTCATTTTGCATGACAATCAAAGCAGACAAGAAAAAAACTAAACAGGCTAACTGGTAGCAGCTAGCATCCGTGTTAGCCTTGCAAAGTTGCCGAGGATCCAAAACATTACATTTCTCCAGGGGAAAAAAATAATAAGTATGGGAAAATGTGTGCACGACTCACATAGTTCCCGACAACACAACGAAAAGGAATCGGGATGAGTCTGCTTCAACTAAAATCCGTTAATTTGTCTACTTTCTTTCACAGGTTTTCCATACCTCCCAGCTCAGTTATGGTACGTTTACGATCCGTGGAAAAATTAGGATAGCATTAGAATTGGGATTTGTTATCATGTCAATAATGGAGTTTTTCACATTTAACCTCCACCATGTTGACAAAAGTTGTTGAATATTTTTAACTTGGCCACATGCAGGACATCGCTAACAGATATTTGTGATATACTCGTATGTAAAAAGTTTTTGGTTTAGGCAACAATAGCCTAAGCAACGCGCCGTGAACTCAACTTGCACAATACACTTTACTGCGGATTGGATTAAGTATTTAGCAACCTTAAAATAAGCATATAAATCCTTACTGAGTCTTATTTTTAAAGCATAAAACATATTGATTATAAAACAGAATTAGATTACATTTAGATCCATAAAGTCTTATTCAACACACCCACATAAAAAGTTTTAATCGCAGAAAAGTTCCCAAGAAGAAATTACCTCCAGTAATTTACTGGTACTTCATTTTTAGAAACTATGTAAACTTTACTTAATGAAATGAAGATAAGATGTTTTCTGAGAGAAGGTGTTGGAATTATGATGCAGATGTAAAATTCGTTGACTCAGATGTTTTTATTACCAGGGTTTTGTTGTTTGACTTTTTTTTCTCCATTTCGTACTTTATGTACCTCACTGTACAGTCATCGTTTATACAATTTCAAAGTAAAACATTTCACAATATACAAAGACTGTAAAAATAATTTATTGTCTTCTTAAAATAAATCTTATTAGATTTGTATACAAGGTGATTGCAAAGATTTTCCCTTTTTACGAAGTAAACATTTCACTAAACGGATGGTCCAAAAGTACACCAATATACTTTCATGCTTTTATCTTTTGATTTTGTTCGTACAAAAAGTTCTGTTTCTATTCCTTTTCAACACAAAGCCCACTCGCAAGTTGGCTCTTCTTTCTAGCCCAGGTTAATCTCCCCCGCAAACATGGTGATGAGCAGTATGATGGTGAAGCCCGTGAGCAGCCCTAAGTTCTGGATGAAAAAGAAGATAATCTTCTGGGAAGTTTGCTGATGTCCCTTTGCTATGTTGTCCATTTCCGGAAACTGGAATTAAAGACAAAAGTTATTTTTGTCAGTCAGTAAAACTAATTCAGGGTCAGCTAATACACAAAACACAAAAAGTCTAAACTTCTGGTCAAATTTCAGTCTCATCAAAACCTTTTTCTTTTGGCATTATCAACTGAAAAAATCAAAAAATTGACTTATCAATGGACCTAGAGCTTGATAAACAGTGCCTCAAATCTATAATATTTTGCAGAATTATGTCACCAATGATAAAGGATATTTTCAAATTCCCACATAATTCGCGTGCAGTATATTTTACCACTAGAGAGCAGCATCACAACCTCAAAGCACATCAGCAAGAGCACCTGATATACAATACATAAAGACTCATTTAAGAAATACCAAAAAATGATCTGTTTGGAAATCCAGTATCAAATAAATATCATTATCGAGTTGCAGTTCAGCAACTGCTGATGTTTCTTCAGCTGATAAGTGCTCCTAAGTTGCTCCAACCAAATCTCCCTAGCCTGCAGCAATAAACAGCAAGAGTTTGGAACGGTTTAAACAGCGAAAACAGCTGCTGGTGAATGTTGCTGGAAACCACAACCGACAAGCCAAACAGCCTCGTGGCAGCAGTGCTCTTCAAATAAGTTTAGGTTGTCGAATTTTACTAAAAAGATGCAGGGAGGTGTTTTTTCCCCCCCTTTTCGTTTTGTTTTTATTCCTGAACATTTACAACATTCCCGGATCCCGACTCACCATGTCCGCCAGTGCAATGTACAGGAACATTCCTCCTGCGATGGCAAAGATCGCATTGGGGGCAAAGCTGCTGCCAAGCAGGATCCCGAACACGAGGCCGATGTAACACGACGCCGCCGACAACAGATTGAAGAAAATGGCCTGTGGAATGCTCATTCCGGCGTTCAGCAGGATGACAAAGTCACCTGCCGGGGGAGAACAGCATTAAAGCAAGCACACGGAGGATCAGAGGGAAAATATGAAACTCTGCTTCTGGAACCATCCATACTGTTACTTAAACTTAAAACAATATCATTTATGCCATGGTATAACTTAATTTCACCAAGAATGTTGTATGAAATGACTCATCCACACATTCTAATTCTTTTGACTCCTTGATTCACTGTCTAAATTTATTTATCTCTCCTAGACCCCTGACGTAACACTGGAAAAGGCAACTCAGGTTATTTTAACCTAAAATGAGTTTGACGAGATATGAGTTTGCATTCCTTCAATTCCAAATCTATCCACCTTAGGAAAGTCTACATTTTTGTGATGTATTGATTTTTTTTAAATTCTTTTGATGAACACTTTTTTATTTATATAGTCTAAATGAAAAATAGGTAATGGTTGGCTGTAGCCTCCTGTAAAAAAAAAGACTAACCAAAGTTAAGAAGAGGAGCAAAAAAAGTCACAAGGCAGGGACAAAAAATAGGATAAGTGAAAATATAATTACTCAAACCGACAATAACTGTTACAAAGAGCTTTCTAAAGAGTAGCCTCAGTCTGGCGATCTTCGACTAATTATCATATCAACACATCTCTGCATGCCTTATGAATTCAGTTTTAAGACATGACCTCAGCAGTTAAAGTCAAGCATCTATGGCACTAAATGTTTATTAAATGTTTATTTGAAAAGATTTTTTCCCCCCGATAACTCACGCAAGAAGTTTAGGGCACAGGTTTTCTTTGCCCAACACTCACCCAGCTCATGGGGAAACTCCTCACACACGATGGCGGTGGACGTGCTGAACCCCGTCAGTATGGACACGGTGAAGGAGGCGCCGATGGCCAGGCCATCGATGAAGTTGTGCAGGGCGTCGCTCAGAGTTATCATCCAGGCCACCGTCTTGATGTTGGTGATGCGCTGGCCGCGCAGCCAGTGGCACATCACGCCGGACGACTGGACATCCTGGAAAAGCAACACAGGACGGGTTAGAAAAGGCCACGGCTCCTCTTCCAGGGCCAGAGAGTCATGCGCAAACAAGAGGGATTCGGTGAAAAAGAAAAGAGGCCAAAGTTCAAACGCTCCAGAGAATAATAGGGTGAAGTTAGCAATGTCCGATGGTTGAATTTTATCCTGGGAATAATACAAATTAGAGGGGGGAAAAAAGACCAGTTTTACCTCAGAATGCTGCATCACATGTTCAATATTATCACTCCCTTATATTACGGAAAACTTTAAGAAATATGCATTCATTACCAACAGACATTTATTGGTCGTTTTGCATTGGCCAGCACTGCTCACCGGTCCACACGGGGATCTTAGCATTAGAAGTTTAAATGCTGAATTTAGGGAGGAATTCACCGAGTCTGGTCCATTTGTTTGTTGCACAAACTAGTTGGATTTGCCAAACAGATTATCAGCATTATAACACATTGAAAGACAGCTAAAAATCTGTGTCTATGCTTTATTTAACACTTATCCACCCACTTTTTGTGAAGAAAATTCTTTCAAAATGAATCTTTGTAAAATATGGACTGCAAGATGCAACCACAACTCAAACTAAAGACGCATCAAAGCGCTTTAATCTACAACACGTATTTCCATGGGAAGTCCAGCTAATGTAACAGATACTGATGTTTTTTTTTCTTCAGGAAACATTTTAATTTGCAATCACACACCTAAATTACAAACATAAAGGTCCGAGTGTTGCAAACAGGAAATCTGAGAACAGATGGATACAAATGGAGCCTTTGGCATTCGGGTTGGAGCTACGGACCAGAGACAGATCGGAGCTTTTACAGGACTTGGACAAAACAAGGACTCTTTGTGTCCAGGCCGGACAATCTTTGCATTTAGAGGGATGGGAGGGATTGGGGGGGGGGGGGGGGGGGGGGAGCTTAGTTTCCCTGCTGGATCCCACTGCATCGTCTGTTTGTACAGCGTTCTAAACTTTTCCTTGACACGACACAAGAACAGTTAGGGTTACATATTAACAGCTTCTGTAATCGTCTGCCATCAGCCATAAATTACAAGCGCTTACTGCACTGCTTAATTAACCTAATTTTTAAAAAATTTTTAATTGCAGAATGGTACCTGAGAAGGGGCCTCGTTTGCATGTGGTGCTGCAGGGTTGGGGCTGCTTCGATCGGTGGAGATGGTGGTTACGCTGGTCAGAACTATGGAATCCTTCTTTTCTTGTATGTCTCCATTTTGAAGGGAGGTTTCTAGAGGTGGCTCTGCAGGGGTGAAGTGGCTATGGCCATGCTGGAAAAGCAGACAGAAGTCATCTCACAAGAGAGCCGAGGCCCCGTTTCCATGTCAAAAAGAAGCTGATTCTTCCATACAGCACAAAAACTGTTAAATATTAGCCACACATTCTGTCACTGATAACGGTTCGATAAACTATCTTGAAGGACTAAACAGCCATTCCAGGAAAACCTGGCATAAGATCAATTATAATAATTTATAATAATTAATTGACCATTTCATTTTTTATAAATCTTTAGTAGAGATGTGGGATCAGAACAAAGTAATCACAGATTACCCCAGTAGTCGAAGTGACATTTGGAGACTGCCACTATTTTTTAATGCTTTTCCTGTTGGTGCATATCACACAGATATAATGTCCATGATGACATCTGCTCTCTGATAGTGGAATGTTGTGGACAGCAAATCTTTATCAAACACATGCTTTCGGCAGATAAGGAAAGCTCACCGTTTTTAATGAGTTTATCTTGGGATTGAGCTACTCATGAGATAAAGCCCAATTGAGAACAAGGTACACTGTTGTGTAGGTTAATGTGACAAGATTCTGCTTTAAATGTCAAAGAGTTGGAGGGAGTTGCCGTGCAAATCTACTTCTTTAGCTTATCAAGGGGGAACACAGTTCAAATGCACATGCTCACTGTAAGAATTTCATAACCTATTTTGAGCCTTCACAGAAAGAAAAATCAGGAAACAGATCATTTACATAAAATAAATAATATTAATTATTATCTAACTATTTCATGAAATAACATTTTTTATTTGTCATTTGAGTCTTAATATTTAACTCCTAGTAAGCTCCAATTTCTCAGAAAATCAGCAGTAAGATCCGTGAAGCAGTGCTTCAAAATATGTGTCAGTCGAGCTGGACGTTAGCGTGAAAAAAGGCTCACAATGACCATTATAAGCATGCGAATGGTATAAATAAAGAATTGGACCATACTAGCATGCTAATGATACAAACAAAGAAGTGGAGAATGCTGGTATGCTAATGGTACAAACAAAGAAGTGGAGAATGCTGGTACGCTAATGGTACAAACAAAGAAGTAGACCATACTAGCATGCTAATGTTACAAAAATAGAAGTGGACCGTGTTAGCATGCTAATGATACAAACAAAGAAGTGGCCCATACTAGCATGCTAAGGGTAAAAACAAAAAAGCGGACCATGCTAACATGCCAATGGTACAAACAAAGCGACTGAACCACTGAAAAGTCTTTTCAAGGTTCTGTGTCCAGTTTCACACAAGTTCTATGGGATGGGCATGACATGAACTGATCAGACTGAACTGGGGTTCTGGAAAAGATACCAAAAGAAATAGGCAATAAGGAAACAAGTTTTAATGGGATCGAATGTAGCTGGATAGGTTTTGAGAGGAGCACCAAAAGGCCAAGGGGTACCGAATTATAAGAAAACAATATAATATTTGGCAAAATCCCTGTATTAATGAGCTTTTTCAGCATGAGGGCATTTGCTAGCTAGCAATGAACCCTAAGAGCAGCTGAAACTGCTAGAAATTACCCTCGTTTGGCAACTCAATGTTTTGACAGGTCATCATAATTCATCCTCTGGAAAACTGACATGAGAACCTGATTCTTTATCTTTAATCGAACACGTTTCACATTTCTAGCTTTATTCACAGATTTTCATTATTATGGTTAAGGTTAATTTCCATCAACTAACCACCCAAATAAGCCTGCAGCCTTGACACACATTCACTGCTATTCCAACAGAAATGGGATAAAAGAGGATAAGTACAATAATAATTGCACTATAATCTTGGAATGTTTTCTGAATGGGTTTATTGGTTGAACTGGCCAATAAAGCAAAGATAGCTAAAGGCAGACATTTAACGATGATAAGATTGCTTTACACCTAATAAACTCACAAAGAGCACCCTTGTCTTACCTCATGGTCCATGCGGAGAGACATCTTCAGTATCTTCTCCACAAAGTAAAGGAGGTAAAAGCCTCCGAATATCCCGACCGCATTCGCCACATAGTTATCTGATTTTGGATCGAAACCCAGGGCCTGTCGACGAACAAAAACATTTCACTTGTCAACAAAATGGATCCCGATCCATGCTTCCAGTTTGGTTTTAAACTGACGTTTCTTGACTTGGTTGAAATGCCCAGTTCGGTCCACCAAGGACCTTACTGACCTCTGGTATAAGTTGAAGTACGGCATTGGAGAAGAGCGTCCCAATGGCTAGGCCAATGAAGTAGGTCAGTATTTTAGGGAAGTAGGACTTCTTGGTGAATGGGATCAGCAGCAGACCAAGAAGAGACGCCAAGTTGATTATGGTGACGGCCAAGAACCCATAACCCCACACTGTCAGACAGCAAAAGGCGAATAAACAGTTACGAAGAGTAATACTTATAATTCCCCCTTTGAAATTTCTTTTGGTTTTTGGAAATCTATGTGCTAAAACATAAGAATTAAACTTTAGATATTAAAGTTGAGCCTGTGGTTAACGTTTTTTCAGTTGTGGTCGCAAACTAATGCTAACTAAATGTTGTTGCAACTACCAGCTGTATTGTGCTTGACCTGGGCGTTGGTGACACAGGACAAAGTTTCTGGGCTTCATGTGCAGCTAGATAATGGATATCCGGACCAGCATTTCCTGGTCCGTGCTCTACTCATTGTTTGAATTCAGTTTACAGGCATGTGAAAAAGAAACAGAAGGTCGATCCTCTGTCATTTCAAAGGTCCCGCGTATCGGGAAATAACAAATAATAAATAAAAAAACAAACAGAAAAAAGTATATTTGGTCAGTATTGAGTCTTAGAACCGATTCAAAATAACACCCGGCAAAAGTAGAGGGTCAAAAAACAAAGACCACTCTTTCTGCTTCCCCAAGTACTAAGGAGAGTAAACAGCAGCCAAGTCCTGCTGGCCCAACTGGGCCTGCTTATTTGACCATCAGCTGGTGTGACGTCTCTACGAAAGCAGAGCGTTTGGCGGTGGGCAGATGTGTAGGATTCAGGCGTAGACCGAGACGATGACAACGAGGACAGACATCTTGTACTCCCAGTGCGTCTTTCTAGAGTGGGAAAGATGTGTAATGCTCAGAAAGACCACCAAAGGCCAAAGGCCACCCCCAAGCCTGATCACCATTGCAAAACTCTACAAAGGCGGATAGAAAAAAACACTTATATGAATCGTAGTGTCCTGAATTTCCCATAAATAAATCAATATCTATTGTTAGAGCCGGCGGCGTCTTCGACCTCATCCCAACGCTTGGTGGGGTCCAAATTCACGGATTGCCTCGGCTCTTAAAGCCATTTTTGTATTATAGCCACTCCACAAAGCAGCAAAAAGTGCATTGTGACCGGGGCATTCTTCCTCAGTGTTTACCTGCGTGCAGTCAAAGTACACCCAAAGGTTACCGGTCGATACGATGTAGACTACAAATAAACCATAGCTTCAGGCTACCCCGTTTGCCCGTTCCTAAAAATGTACAAATAGTTACCACCCTGTGTCCAACTAAAAGGCCCCATGGCACCAGGAGCCCGTTGGTATGCTGACTAAATGAACAGACCTGGCCTTCGAGAGAACAAAACCCAGTCTTTGGTTTGGTTTCAAAGAGGAGGATGAAGGGAATGCAGAATGGCTCTAAACCGAGCCCGTGACCTTTGTGATGCCGCTTTTTTTTCTTCCCCCAGAGAGGCTCGTTTAATATCATATCCCTGCAGTTCCCTTTGCTTTTCCTCAGTTTCTCCACCGTCTCCATGCTCTGCCCGAAGGATGGACAGGGGATAGGAGCGCGTCCCGACCCAATTGCAGAGAAGAAAATCCAACATTTCCCATTCATTTTCAGAAGCCGTTGTTAAGTAGAAAGTTTCAGAGGGGGCAGATGTGGTTTAAAAGTCGCAGCATGTCAGAGACTGAACAGGTAGTGTCGGCAGCCGGGAAACATACTTAATGAGATCACACCGGTGGACTGTCTTGGTAGATAACATGGATGGAAATAGACAGCTGTAAGTTCAACGTCCCAGGCACTGATCACTTATCTACTCCTATTTATCACTTATTCAATTTAGTCACTCATTGAATTGTAAATGTCATGCATCGACAACTCCCAGCCTCCTCAAGAAAGAGGCTTGTATCTTTGGAAGTCAGCCATCGTTCTGCGCTATTCTTGGAGTTAAAAGAAAATCCATTGTCAGATTAGTGAGAAACTAGCTGATAGGTGATTTTGTGATTTTAAAAAAAGGATCAATTGCTGGAACAGGGCATGAGTGTGTTCAAAACAAAGCAGAGTTCCCGTAGTCTGTTGCAAAAGAAATGACAATGCATTAATGACTAGTCATTTAAAATAAAAAGAAATGTTTTTTTCATGTGCTTGCAGAGCTGGCGGTTCAGCAATAGAGGGAATGTTTTTAGTACAGTTTCAGAACAGCATGTTCTGAAAGGATCCTGCAACCTCTGAGTCAACGAGCAAGACTTTTCATTTAGCTTCTGACTTCGGATGTTACTCTGACCACATGAATGGGTCATCCCAATGCATTCATAGGTAACCTGTCATCAGAGGGGGGCGGGTCTTGCCACACTTTAACACTTTACAACTCCTAAAATATCCAAATTTACAGAGTTTGGGGAGAAAAAAAATCCCACATTTCTCACTCATTTTTCAAAGAACGCTAAGTTCACGTACTTTACATGGTAGTCACTGCTGTGCAATGCGAACATCACTATTCAAACAGTTTTAAACAACAACAAAAAAAAGTTACACTAGGTTATGCAACCTTCACAGAACAATTTTATATATTGTTACAGCTGTTCGACATTTTCAGAGATTTAAGCGGAATCTTTGCAATTCGTTAAAGGTCTACGAGTTGAAGGTTAGACTGAGAGTGGGAAGCATTCCGGTCATCGTAGATCAAAGAGCTGAGTAGTCCATAACCTCAGGCGGAGGGCCCAGTGACCTAAAAATCAGCCTGAGTCACAGGAGTATCGGCCAACAAAGTCCCGTTGGGGTGAGGTGACTCACCAGAGTAGTCCGGCGGCGGCAGGACCTCGGGGTTGGTGTGGGGGCAGGAGGGCAGCAAGACCTGGGTCAGCACGGCGGGGCAGATCCTCCCCAGATGTCCCACGGTCAGCTCGGTGACATTCCGGAACCCGAAGTGGGTCAGGATCTGCTCCACTGAGGGACACTGAGAGGCAGCCAGATCGGTCAACGTTCCTGTTCTTATTGCATCTAAATACACAGTGCATCCTGCGGAATCTCAGTTTTAAAGACGCTTAAACAGTTTCAAAAAGTTAATTCAAATAAGGAAAAGCAACAACAACAACAACAACAAAAAGATAACAATAATACAAAAGGGGGGGATATACTCTTTATGAGTGTTAAAGTTTCACAGCTTAAAACAAGAAACAATATAATGTAAGAGCAGAAGTGGGCATTCTTTAACTTCTTCCTCTTATTCAACCATAAATCAGATAAAGGGGAGGGGGGGGGATAAAACTATATTGTCAACTTTTCATTAATGATAAGACATTCAAGTAATAAATAACCACTTTAAAATATAAAAAAGGATGTTTCTGTTGTTACTTTGCAAACATTACATGATGCAATGATAGAATATTATTCTAAACAACAGTAGTGCCTAATAACTTGATAAAGCTTCACATATCAAACCGTAACTGAGCACCCACCTCTTTGTTTTCCAGTGGATTTTCTTCTCGTATCAGGTCAGATCTCCTGGCTGAGATCAAAAGCAGCAGGTCTCCCAGGTTTTCCGTGGAGATGGACGCGTTCTCGCCGTAGTAGTGCAAGATGTTCTCCAGAAAAACGTGTCCAGCAGCCTGGTCGGTCGCCCTCACGCTCTGGGAAGCTGCGACGAACGCCAGGACGCACGCTGCAGCCCATTTTAGCTGGCACATCTCTGGAGTCTGGCCGATGGATTTTTGTCCTGGAAAGTAGTGATCTGCTCGTGCTGCATTCAAAGCATTTTCTGAGGGGGGAGAAAGGGATATTCAAAAAATCACGACATCCGTGGGGTTTGGATGCAGCGCAGAGTCACTTCCATGACAGGACAAGAAATCGGATTTGGGGGGTTTTTAATAAAAAAAAAATATATATATATATCTTATTTTGTGGCGCCCTTCCTGCCGCCGTGCTGCTCCGCGTGCTCCAACGGGGCTATCTGAGGTAGGAGAGGTTCAAAGATCAGCCATGGAGTAAAAAAAATGGAGGTGACCGACCGCGTGCGTGAAGCCACAGAGTTTGGGACTCTTTTCTGTACACGCAAACGCAGCCGAGCGGGGGGTGTTTTGAAGGGGGTGAGGGGTGGCTGTGTGTGATGTAAAACAATTTGGTAGAAGAGAGAGTGCGGGATGTGCGACTAGCTGCTGCTCAGCGTGTTATAACAGCTGGAGGAGGGTTGAGGGGGGGATGTCCTCCTTAAGAGGAGGACAAAAACATAAAACTTCTGTAGGGGGAGTGTGAGGGTGTGTTGCCCCCTAGTGGTGGCCGCTGGCCAATGCAGGAAGAGATTGAACTGTGTGTGGCGTTCACGACCGATAGATAGATAGATAGATAGATAGATAGATAGATAGATAGATAGATAGATAGATAGATAGATAGATAGATAGATATAGTTGACAGCATATGGCAACATGTGAAATAAACAAATAATTTAATTGTGATTTAGCATATGATATCTTGGGCACTGTCCTGTTCATCTATCCCATTTTTTATTTGATAAAAATAATTATACCGTAATTGAAGGACACAGTTTCAACACAAAAGGCATCTGTGAGTTCTATTTTAGTTTAGTTTTTTCCTGGAACACAAAAAATATCCTGGAAAATAAACAAAGAGGGGAATTGTTTATTCAAATAGATAAAAAATATAGCACTTCACAGTTTAATTTATTTTTTCAAACGTTCAAATCTATACAAATGTGCTAAACATCCCTGGTGGCTTAGATCCAATAATAAACATGTGCAAATGAGGCAAAGGAAATCAACTTCAGTGTACATTAAAGACTCTTTTAGTCCCAGAGCTTCCCTGCTGGTGCCTGAATACATATTTTATATACTTCACCTTGCTCAGATGATTTCGGAACAGATATTCCACCCATTGTGATGATCGTGATGTTGTTTTATAGCTTTTAAAAAACTGCCATGAAAAATAACGGTCCCACAAGTGTCAAACCTCTTCTGCAGCCAATGTGAAAAGAAAAGACCATCTCCCATCTGTTACCTCCGCCCTTTTTTCGGAACTCGGACGGGAAACTGGCCCATATCAGGTCAGTAAACGTCCGTCAGAGACGTGACAGTGAGAGATGTGGAGAGCTCGGCGACGCTGGTGGGGCGCCACGCGGCAAATTCGACCGTTTTGTTGCGCGTAACCATCAGGAAGCCGTTCGAGCCGAACCGCCCCGGGATGCTTCCCACATCCAGCCACACAAAAGGAGCCACGGCGGCGGAGCGGAGGGTCACCGTGAAGCCGCCGCCATCCTCCTGGACCTTTGCCTGCGGGGAAAAGGAACACCTCATCAGTAAGCCGACGTGCTCTCCTCCTCAAACTGAACTCTCAGCTCTTAATTTAGTGATCAGTTGCCTCACTGATCCTTCAGCTTTGTTCGATATTTGTGTGAGGTTACTCTAAAGGTGGATAGTTACTGTAATGTTAGGTTTCTGGAGCCCCTGGGCGTCTTTGGGGGAGCAGAGGAAGTGGTGGTTGGATGGACCCTGCTGGTTGCCGTCGCTGTCCTCCAGGTGGAACGTGAGCAGGCAGCTGGAGCGGGAGCAGCGTCCACAGCCGGCCAGCAGGGCGGCGGTGTTGCGCTGGTAAACGGCCACGGCGCTGCCGCCAGGAACCAGGATGACAGCCGAGGTCAGGCGGCAGACTGGATCCAGATCAGCCCAGGAGTGCACGGTCACCTATTGCACAAGAAGGACAGCAGTTAGATGTGCTTGCACCGGGAACATTCACAAAAGCTGTGAAAACAAAAAGCAAGCCATTTAAAACCTGTGACACCTGGAGCCCTGTGGTCAGAGAACGTCGTTCATTTCTGCTCATGGCACGTCACACCGCTACATTTTCACATATCCAACAGCAGCTCGCTGCCACCTTAAGGTCTCAAACATTATGAACAACAACCATAACATCACAACTTGTGTTTTTTGTTTTTTATTTTGCTTTGCAACTGAAGTTTAACTTGACTTCCTACCACTTTTACCCATTTTTGAGCTCCTTAAAGCGCAGATAGAAAAGGAAAACAGGTTTTATATTCATTCAGCACCAGAAACTTTAGATGACAGCCGTTTGAGCACCATGCGAAAAGAAACTAAAACTCCAAATCATTACGAGTGGGCATTTAACTTGATATTGCAGCCTTTAAAAGGGATTTTACAAGGAAAAGCTTACTTATGTGGTGCATTATTGGTCATGAAGTAAATAAAAGAAGATTTTTCTCAGTTATATATATGAGACACTTTTTGTATGAATCTAAAAAAATTATCATGTTCAAATGAAAGAAATGACTTGCAAAGCCTCTCATTTTGTTTGAATGAAACATCAGCCTATTTTTTTCAAATGGTGTTGAATGAAACACGCAATGGGGAAAAAAAAAAAAAAAAGAGTCTAATGGATGAAAATGGAGACAAATCTATTATTCACTACTCGGAGACGTGTGGTTTCCGATTAAAAACGTACCACTGCTCTTAGCCTCAGGTCGTGACTCAGGTCTGAGACGGCGTAGATGGACAGCATGTCGTCATCCTCAAAACCGACAGGAAGGACGGAGGAAAAGAAGCTCTGCGCAAAATAATGCAGCATTTTCCACTTCCCACCGAACTCTGCCCACAAGTACAACAAGGAATTATGTATAGCACCGGCCTCTAGGCTAAAAATCTGTCCAAGTAGGTTTTCACTCACCAACTGATGACCAAGATGGCGCCTGCCAGATGTCATTGAGCTGCCAGTAGAGTGCACCCATGGTGCGACCTTTGCCCTCGGTGATTTCGCTCCGACTCCGCCGATAAAACTCTGTCTGAGTCTTCACACACTGGGCCTGCATGACCTGAACACAATTATTTATGAGCAGTAGGAAGGTTACCCCAGGTCAGGGGCTGGTAAGCTTCACGTGAGATTTTTTTCAATGAACTTTCTAAAGACGTGTATATATGTGACGGCTTAGAAAAAATGCTTGTTTGCAAATAGCTGGCATCCTCCAAAGAAAACTTCCCACAAAAAAAATATCTTGTTTAATCAGATCAAAATTCAAAATATTGAAAACACACTCAAGGCTTTGTGATTATTAATTTGTATTACCAGCTTCCCCCTTTAAATTGTTGGGGGGGTTTATTAGCAAATAAAATACTTTGACGCTCTTTGTTAAAGTAGGACAGAGGCTCAGGATCTTTTTTTGGGGGGGGTCTTTAACAAACACCCAAAGCCTGTTGTGGTGAATTAGCAAGTAAAATATTATCATCTTTTTTCAAATACATTCTAAATAAATAAGTACACCATGCCCTAATCAAATACATTTATCTTTGCTTTGTTATCAGCTAACGGTTTAAACCAGTGGCTCTCGCTTGATGAATAAAGAAAAAATAAGATTTCCTTCTCCTCAGCTACTATTCTTGTATCTTGGCTGGGAGTGAGCGAAATCTGAGAAGAGAAGCAGACGCTATCTAAACCTACAAGAGATAATGGGACAGTCCCAGTAAGCTAAGACACTGAAACTTCTTGGGACACATAAAGGAAACTTCTGCAACTTTTTTTTGCAGGGAAGACGGTTTTGGACAACAACAAAAAGGAAGATTTTGAAAGGACACAAACTGTTTAACATGCATTAGCGATGCTCCGGCAAAAGAAACCTGAAGTCACTCCCTCCATGCTCAGTGTTATGTAATCCGCAGCTCTTAAAGTCCATTTCAGTCTATTTAAAACAGTTCTAAATACCATCAGGTCATATGTCTCCTCTAAAGACTTGGCCCATGTCTCTTTTTTCTTTCTTTTAATAGGCGATCGTGTGTTAGATGGGAAGCGATTTTTGGTGTGCGCACTTTACCTGAGTGATATAAAGAGTGTGTGTAAATCTTTTCAGGGGATCTGTGGAGTTTGGCAGGATGAAGTGCAGAGCGGCCTGCTGCAGCATCTGCTGGTTTCCACCCTCGTGGTGTTGACGATGAGAGGTGAAATTACTCCCGTAGTGCCAGTCTTCTTGAACGGACACCTGCGATTAAAAGACACAAAACAATCTGCAGGCTCACTCTGGTTATGTTTTCCCGCCTATAAGGTGTCCAAATTCATGGTCAAGTAGCAAAAAAAACATAATCCAGAGTCTTGTTTTCTTTTTCTTTCCACACAAATAAACCCCCATCTATTTTACGAACTATTTAACTTGAGTTATTAAAATTAAAAGCAGTTGAAGATCACAAAAATATCCAGGTGGTGAAGGCTGACCATGGCATGAAACTGACATTCATGCCAAATGTCAGTAAATCGATTTATCTTTGGCTTTTTTTATCCCTTGTTTCATCACACAAACGTTCGGTTACCGGCTCTAGTGTGGAAAAGGAGGGCCAGGACTGGAAGCCGTATTCGGAGGCGAAACGCGTCCGCGGGAACGTCTTCCAGTCCCAGCAGTCCAGGCTGTAGCTGTAGAAGTGGACGTCTCCATAATGAGGGTCATAGGGGTTTGCCGCCACCCAGCCCTCGTGCTCCGATTCAGCCCCGTTTGTCGGACTGGAGACAAGAAAGGGACGACTCTGGTCCTCCTGACAAAAAAAAAAAAAGAAGGAAAGTACATAAACCAAATGAAAGGGAGCGATTAAAATAAAGATTCCACTTTTTTTTTTCTCCATTCAGCAAATATAACCTTGTGTTGACAAATATTTAAATGTTACATGAGTGGACTCTGACCTCTTGCACAATGAGCTTTATGTTGTTCACATAAAGCTCCACATAGTCCTTCACATAAGTAGGTCTCTGGGAAGTTGGGATGTTGAACCAGTCGGTTGCCAGAGCTGCTTCATTTTCATTGTTCCCACTCCAAATGATTATAGAAGGGTGGGACTTCAGGCGCTGAACCTGGCAGGTTAAAAAAAAAAAAAAAGGATCAGTTTGAACTGACTTGCATCCGTGTTCTTCTTCTCCATTTTCATTTCCAGTCGCTGACACTCCCCAAAACGGCCACTGAGCGATTACACAGCGGCCACGCTCCAGTCCCCACTCACCTGCTGGATGACCTCTTTTCTTACTGTCTGCAGAAAGCCATCCTCAGTGGGATACATGGCACAGGCGAACATGAAGTCCTGCCACACCTAAGGAGAGAGGATTCCACCGTTTGAGTCATGCAATTTAAAAAAAACTTACATTCAAATTTTTTTATGCTAAATCTGAATACATCTGACATGTCACCGGGACAACATGTGGAAGAGACTAGCAGAAAATTAACTCAACCATCTAACAAACCGATACTGGTTGGACCTAAACTGCATTTCGTTGCCTTGTACCTGTGCCTAAAGTTGAATCTAATCTAAAATCTGATCTAATCTAAACCGATACTAAGCAAACAAATAGAGCGGCACAAACATGATTACACAGCAGCAAACTAAGGTCAGAAAGCACAGCTTGGTCATTTCAAAGAGAAAGTCCACACTCAGATCAGTTTAGTTCTCTGTGTGTTCTGGTTAATCTCAAATTGTATTGAAAGACTAAGACACCAAAACTCCTGAACCATGTGGGGGAAGTAGTCCATCCTTTATGCTTCTATGTGAATTCAGAACACCAGTAGAGATGCAATATGATGAACTGATCATCAGCAAGTGAGAAAAGACCATCCATAAAACTGACTGAAGCGGCTGAGTGCGTGTCGTAGCTCAGATGGGAAGGGAAGTGGACTGTTAATTTCCTGTATGAGAGATGGATATACATGTCTGCAGGTTATCGCAGAATTCTCTGAACAGTGGTTAAAATTGACTATGAGCCCATTTGAGCCAACTCGAGTGTATGTGCCGGGGCGATTTGGCTCCCGGTGAGATGGTCCGGGTGTGGTGGTCTGGCTTTCAGAAGCTGGATTTTGTACCAGCTCATAAGTAATGCTGACGAACGAGTGCGGCTGCAGGTTACCATGATCCCCATCTCGTCGCAAAGATCGTAGAACAGATCCTGTTCGTAGACTCCTCCTCCCCAGACCCTGAGGGCGTTCATGTTGGCGTCCACCGCCGATCGCAACAAGTTCTTTAAGCTGGTGTGGCAAAACGAAAAAAGGCCCATCGATGTTTAAGAAGAATTATTATGGACAAATACACTTTTTTTGTTGACTGTATATTATATATATATATTTGGATTTCTTTAATGTCAACACATGCTTCGACCGGGGTAGAAATAATTTGAAGGGGAAATAAACATAAAAAAAACTGATTTGCTTTCATCTATGAGTTAGTTTGACTATTAATATGTGTCATCAAGGTCACAGGAAATTGTGTCAGCTTAAAAAAAAAAGGGTGGGGATGGTAATAATGTCTCCTTTGAATTTGTCATTCAACAATCTAAAAAAATAAAGAAGGTTTTTGGTTCAGGAAAAAAAAAAACTAGTTATAAAACTGGACATGAAGGCGTAATAATGTCTCTGTTAGTCAAAACAGAAGCCGGGGGATTTTTCAGGAGCAGCTCCACTCACATGTCGGGGGTGACTTGGTCCTGGAAGGAATGCGCTGGGATCCAGTTGGAGCCTTTGAGGAAAACTGGCTTCCCGTTGATGCGGAAATAAAAGCTCAAGCCGGGAGATCCAGTAATTGGCTCCTGGACGAGTTCCACAGTGCGAAAAAACACCTGCGGCGGAGACCAGAGTCAACACAGACATGCTCCAAAAAAACATTTTGAGTCAAGAAAATATGTTGATGTTTAATACTAAGAACACAAGCTAAAGTGAAACGTGGGGAAGATTTACATTCTTAGGCAGCCAAGTCTGACCTTAGATTCTGTGCTAAGGACTAAAAGTCCATCCTGAAATCCACTGACGGTGAGACGGTAGAAGGGCTGATTGCCATGTCCACTGGGCCACCAAAGCTTTATTTGGGCCCTCTGGAACCAAATAAACCACAAGGAACAATTTTAAAAAGCTCATAAAATTCTCCTTTTTCCACACAATAGTTTCACAGGAATATTTCAAGGACCTGGCTGATGTATAGGGTGAAGTTATACTTCCTCCTCCCCGGAAGAAACTGTGCCTCGAGGGTTTGCTCTGAGGCCAAGTCTGGCACAGAGAGCCTGACCTGGCCATGCGTAGTCTGAGCTGCCTCAACAATGAGCTCAACCTGAAGTCTCCACTGAGAGCAGCTGGAATCTGAAAAAAAAAAAAGAAAATAAAAAAAGATGACATAAAAATAAAGATAGAATTAGTTTAGATAAAACTAAACTAAAGTTCAGGGGAAGATCAAAGTGAGCATGCAGGAAGCGGCAGGAGTTTTGTACGTCCACAAAACTCAACCTGACTTAAAACCGTCTTACTCCTTTCTGGCTTCTCTGAAAATGTAAAACCTTCAGCGTCCTGGGGAAGCCGCAACAGTACACAAAAACAATAAGAGCGTAATTCGAAGCAATTCTCACCGGAAAAAATTCAATCTGCATTTATTTGTAGAAATGCCACATCTTTCACAGCAGCACTTATATAACAGACAAATAATGCAGCCCATTCTATAGCATAAGAAATCTTCCAACAGGCCTTTACGGTAATGAGTATGTCTTACAGTATCCTCTGTTTACCAGTGTGTGTGTGTGTGTGTGTGCTGCTGTTGTCTGAAACCCTTTCCTCCCACTCAAACATTGTCCAACAGCAGATATTTAAGTCAAAGTGTTCGCTGTGGTCAGCTGAGCCTGACCCTTGACATTAAAACCACGCCAAAAAAAACAAAACTTGCTTTTATATTTTGGCATACAAAAAAATAACTGATTTCCCACTCTGTGTTTTGTGTGCGTGTTTTATCTGAATTCATTTAGCTACAATCCTGTTTTGGCTCTTAGTCGTACAGCCTTTTGCTCAGTGCTAGCGCCCATGAATAAAGTGACTGGACTTCTGGAGTTGATGATGAAGGCTGGATGGAACGTACTGTACAGAGGAAGGGAGGAAAGCTGGACGAGCTGCAGGACATCAAACGCCTCCAGTCGAACTCCTTTCCACAGCCCTATCGTGGGGAAGGAAGGCCCCCAGTCCCAACTGAAAGAGCTTTGCATCTGCACGAAGAGCGGAAGATCCACAGCTTTTCTTCTTTTTTTTTTTAAATGCAGAGGATTTGAGTTTTTGAAGATTAGGTTTAAATTGGCTAAAGGCAACATGTAAATACACTTTCTGCATCCAGCATGACGCTTAGCTGGCTACACACCCCAAAACTGTCTTTCCATTTGGGTAAAAATCATTCTGTTAAATTAAAACAGATCCAAATCCTAATAACTGAACTAAACTAACTAACTACAAGTTTTTCCTACGGCACTTTTCATATGGGAGGATATGACACTCTTACTTTTCTGATGAAATTGACGTGACATTCCCCCTTCTGGACATCTGGAGGACACTCGGGAGGGACTCTGTAGGATGAATGAGCCTTCCTCTGCTCAGAGGCAAAGGTAACTGGGGACAGGAAACTAACCTCCAGCATGTTGTCCCCATCCCTCAGCAGGTCGCCGACTGACAAACGCTTCACACCAGCAAAGAAAACCTTTTTAGAGGGGCTCACTAATACAAAGGGATTGCGGACATGCCTTTAAGCTCTTCACATACATATCTGCGAAACATGTTGTCCGTTTTTGCAACTGAGACCCCATTTAGAGAAATGGATGCGACTGTGTCCACACCGTCAAAGACAAGGAGCACCTTCTGTTTGAGCCTGTTGGTTCAAAGAGATTAATCAACCACATGGCAGTAAAAAGCCATTACACACACACACATATATATATGTCAGCACTGACCTCAGCTGGACTGGCACAGTAAAAATGGTCGTGTATGTCCAGTTGTCAAGTGCAATCCACCGATATGAGACGTCATTAAACCTGAAATATGGGTTCTGGAAGACAAATAAATGGTGTTTGCTTTTTGTTTTTGTTTTGTTTGTTTGTTTTACTGTATAGAAAAAGAACATGGAAACATATGCATCTCTGGTGGTAGCTACAATCCAGAATTTCTAAAATTAAGTGTAGCTATTCACACAGATTACCTGTTTTTACAATTACAGGAATAGCTTATTATCATATGCATGGCTTTGCTTGCAAAGAGATGATTAATGTTTGCTTAAATTGTCACAATTTCAAACTATTACGAAAACATCGTGTGCTCAAGAATTTTTCTTTGTTTTCTTGCAAAGATGAATACGAGGAAAAACCTTTGAGGTATAAATCCACTAGAAATAGACATTCCCTGAATTTAATTGGAGCCGCCACGCAGCCATCATGAAATTTTAAGACATAGCCGGATGTGGAGAGAGCTTCCTGTGACACAATAGTGGCCATTTCCTCATTAAATGTGTTTGCTGGTCCTACCGGGATGTATCCCTGTTGCTGCAGGGCTGAGTGGACGCAGCCGGGCACCTCTGCGGGCAACTTCAGAGACCCGTTGGAGTTTGACAGCCTCCATTTGCCGTTCAGACTCAGCCCACGTTGCTGCTCCGTTAGCGAACAAAGTCCGGGCGAAACTCCGGAAAACAGCCACAGCAGGGACAAACACACACGACTCACAAACGGCTCCATGTCTCCGAGATTGTTTTAAGCATTGTGGATAACCGTGTTCTGCTTTCAGTGTTTTTGTTTGCCTGTAGCGGTGGACCGAGGCAGCGGTTCCTGGTTGGTCATGTGACCCACGTCAGCCAGTCAGCTGACTGGAGGGCGGAAGTCTTGGCGCGAAAGAATTTCCGGATACAATTGGGAACAGATTAGGTTATTGCTGAAAAACCTGCCACAGCTGATTAAAAGTACATGTTTCGAGGTTCTTGTCTTTACGTGTGATTCAACGGTTGACTTTGATGTCATTTGGTACAGCATCATTTTCCAGTTCACGTTAAATCATAAGAGTCCAGGCCCATATTTTCATATATTTAGATAATGAACGTATCTCATAGATCACATACACATTTCTAGATAAAAATTGGTGCGCGTCACCAGGAAGTATAAAAGACCTGTAATGTTGAATACATTACCCTGCGCTAGTTTGCATAAGTTGTTTTGCATTCGATTATTTTTGCATTACCATGGGGTGTCTATGGGTTCATTTTCTTCTATTTAGGATAAGCCAGTCGACACATGGGAGCAAAAATTTAACAATTTCGTTTATATTAAAGTAATATGTATATAAACAATTTTATACTTAACTTTAAAACATGTTAGCAGTGCAGGGCCACACCTGAATACCATGAGACATCTTTCTATAAGTCACCTAGGAAAGGAGAATATTAGTGTGAGATTATTATTAATATGAGCACCATCCTGAGATGCCGGCATTACCAGGTGCAGGTGGTAAGAAGATGAAGGCTCACCTTCCCTCTCCCCATAAATGTCACTGACTCCTTCAGAAACCGGTTGCTGCAGTTAATTGATTTCTAACAGCGTTAAACATCCACACTTGGCATCGTTTGTACCATTTCAAATTTCATAATACATCAGCTAAATTGAAGATTACTTCAATGTCTAGAATAAGAACTTTCCTTAACATTGTTATAGCTGTCAAAAACCTCCTTGACCGCCATGAAAGACCAATTTCAAATTAACTTTCTTCACCTTCAAAATGAGGTTTCTCCCATGATATTTTTATCAAATGTATAATGATCAAATGAAAAACCAAATAAATACATACAAATTCTTTACATGGTTTAAGTAACTTTATTGAAGGGAAACTAAAAAGAAACAGAGCCACAAGTTGGTTTTCAACCATCAGCTTTGCATCAACATTTTAGGGCTACAAGAAGACAGTGTTTGCATGGGCATAAAACTAACTGCTCATCTACTGGCTTCTAAATAACAAAAAGAAATGGAAAGCTTTAGAGGGGAACCAAATTTTTTTTTCCAACTGTTCAACCTTACAATCCACTTAATCTGCAGAAACATCAGATATAATAGCCTACCTTTATTAACATGCATAAAATACAACATTGAAGTTTTTATATTTTGTTTCCTTAACATTGATATATACTGCTGTGCTTCTCTGTACACACACTTTGATAGTGAAATAAGATACACTTCTTTCCTCAGATAAGAAATTCCTATACTATTGATCAGAAGAACATACTGATGTTACACCAGTCCAGGAGACAGATAGGAGTCACTAACCAGTTTCCACAAATTTCTATTTTCCAAATCCCTGTCCAAATGAAAACACAACAGGATTATTCCAATTTGAAACTTTAAAATTGACGGTTGGGCACAATGTTGGCTTCTGTTACAAAGTCTTTGAAGCCCACTATCATTTTCAAGTGTCCCCCGATAGCTGTTCATAACTAGATATTGAGAATGTTTCACATTTGGTGTCAGGAGACTGAATTACAGAATGCATTACTGATATTACCAATTTGAGGCTGAAAAACACTTTTTGGAGCACTCTTAAGCCAAATGTTAAGAAACAAGTATATTATTTTACTTCATACAAAAAAAGCAAAATAAAAAAAGCACAGGTCTAATTTTATTTTTTACAGAAACTGGCATGTGACCTAGAGAGAAAAACACTATCTTCTTATGAGCGCACAGGTTGGGGTGGGTGGAGAGGAGAAAAAAAAAAAAAAAAAAAAAAAAAAAAAAACAGGGGGAAGGGGTAAAAATGCTTTGATTAAACAAAAAGAAAGTGAAAAAGAAAAAAAACAATCCCATAATTTTAAGTTTGAAACCAGCGATATTTTTAGCCTTCCAAATGACGCCATCACATTGCGTACTTTTGTGTCCATTCTTTTGCCATTTTGATGTATCTGCAAGGAACAAAACAAAAGTGTAAGTAATATTCAGTAAACGTTGGAATTTTAGCCATTACTTGTGTGTAAACCACAAATATCCGGCCGACTACTCAAGATAATCCTGAAAGACATGCACCTTCCCTCATGTCCCACACTAGAGACCAGAGCAGGCCGAGCTGCATCCAAATAGAAAGTATCAATAAGAGCTTAAACAGCGTCCATTTTATTTTTCAAATTGAGCCTTTCTAAAAATAAAAAAAGGGGGAAATATTTGCAAGGGAAAAAAAGAGAAATTTTCATGCTGACGTTAGTTATGTTCACATGCAAAGTCGATCCCGCCTCAGCGCTTGTTACCTTGGTGGTGTTGACCAGGTATATATATATATATATATATATATATATATATATATATATATATATATATATATATCTCTCTCACTATAAACAATTCCCAAACATCTAAACAAGTGGTTTGTACTTTACAGCTATTATACCATCATAACTGACGTACAATCACGATAAAAAAAAACAACATCATGCTTCTTCAAAACTAATCTTTGACGTTTTAGTTTAAGACATAGTTTATGGATCGGTTATTGTTTGAAAATAAACTATTTCCAGGACTATTTTCATCTCGAGTTTCATCCCACTTTTCTTAACCCTTAAGAAGGACAGTAACGGAGCACACGTTCAGTATGTTGGTCAGTCTGTTAAAAAAGTACAAATAAAAATCTGTCTGCAGGGAGTCAAGGTGCACATTAAAGCCTGAAGCAAAAAACCAGAGCCTTGAACATCCCGGAGGTTCCCGCATGTACAGAATTCCGACAGTTCGCTGCAGCAGCCGCATGTTTGACAACACAGACCCAAGACCTCTGGTTAGGCCAGTGAGACCAGATCATGGCAACACAAGCAATCCCATACCATTAGCCAAGATGCAGAGCTGGCTCTTAGCCTTACCCTAAAGCATGGCATACTTTGTTGTCCACTCCTGAGCTAGTTTATTGTACCTAACAGAGTGGAACTCCATTACATAACACGCCTCAGGCCATAATACAAGTGGATTTTTGTTATCAACTTCTGTTATTTAAAAAAAGGTCACACATACTGTTGAATAGCCTGAATAAAATATGCATACGATTATTTGTTCCTCTTGGAGCTATAACTGGTTATTTTGCATGTTAATGAACATTCACTTACTTCTGACTATCTGTTTTGTAGATTCGTGCGATCTCGGGCACTAGTGGGTCATCAGGGTTTGGGTCACATAGGAGTGAGCAAATGGAGAGAAGAACTACAAAGGAACAAATACAAACAAAACTACCATTTTACTTTACATTTTACAAAAACGTCAAAACTACATTACACCCCACCCCATTTTGAGGTCAATAAGGGGCAAACACTGAGTTATCACTCATCTGGCCATATAGTAATTACTTTTTACAACTTTGTTAAAAATCAACCAGAACGGGAAAACAAATGAAAAGCAAAACATAAAAAAAAATGTTGCAAGTTTCCACATCCAAGATAACTCAAACCAGTTCGTTGTCTTTCTTAAAAAAAAAATAAAAAAAAGTACCAGTCCTACCTTTAGAAATAGTAAGTGCAGGAGACCACTGTGATCTGAGAATATCCAGACAGATACTGCCGTTACTGTTAATATTTGGGTGGTAAATTCTCGTCGTAAATGCAACCTGAGGGACATAAATAAATAAAAAGACAATATGAGGGGACGTTAGGTACAATCGCACAGCGCGGTGGCGTTACATAGTTCAAATTCCTTGTCACAACACAGTGCTTCTGGAATGACAGGTTCATGCATGCTTTGGGGCGGACAAAACAAAGCTCATGGTGGAAATATGACAGTGCTAGTGTCAAATGGAAGAAGAATTGTTCGTGTTTACAAACTGAGGAGTTGCTGAAACTAAAAACAAAAACGAGCTGGTTGTGTAACGTCTCCGTAACCGATTGTGTCTATTGCAAGAGTAGGAGGGGAGGGTTTGATCAAAAATGCTGAATTTACCTTGGGTGGTTTGAAGGGGTAGTCTGTTGGGAAATGAATTGTCAAGAAGAAAACACCTCCCTGATAGGGACTGTCACTCTGAAAGAGAACATTTATATTTCACAGAAGGCACTTAAAAAAATAAAATCAATAAAAAGAAAGAAGAAATTACTTACGGGTCCCATGATCGTGGCTTGCCAGTGAAACACTGTGGAGAACACAGTAAATGTCAGAAAATGGTAAAGGTCACAGGTATGCAATCTGACAGGAACTGAGCTTCTGAACTGTCCTCGCAACTTTCCGGGAACACCATTTCCTTGTTTCCTTTCAGAGTTTGTTTGTTTTTTGTTTAGTGTTTTTGCTCCGAAACTTCCCTTCCTCCCTCATGCAGTTATAATGGCTAAAAAAAATAAACAAAACGCTTAAAAAAAATAAAATAAATAAGAGTAAAAAATATCAAATATAAAACCTTACTGTCATCACCCACTGGGCCAGCCGAGCACTGTGCTGGAGGGTCACGAGCCAGGTCATTGAGCTCCTGTCATAAAATGGGGAGGAAAAAAAAAAGCGATCTTTAGACTGAGTTAAAAAGTCATGTAAATGAGTGGTATGGATGTTTACAATTGATATTCGGAGGACACTTTTAAACTTTACTTCTCACTTTTTTTTTTGTCGAATATAAATCCTTCTGATATTGTTACCCCACCACCCCCATCCTTCATTACATCTCTAAGCCAGCTTTAGGATGGGGGGGGCACATCAACATCATCAGTAAACAGCAAGACGAGACCCGTGTGTACATTGTATACCATGACCTGATATTTTTAGGTGTACAGCTATTTTGAAGTGAAGTAGAGACGTAGCCCCACCCTTGTCTTCACACAACAATTTTTTTTCCCTTTAAACAAGTCAAGGGATTTCCTTCCAAGAAGATTCTAGACAAAAGCAATGTTAGGCGAATGAAGCGTCAACAGCTTGGCAAGTTTTTCCACAAACCTGTCGGGACACACACACGCCATGTGTACAAAAAAGAAAAAGAAAAAAACCCCAATACCGCCACATACCGAAGAAATGTATCATGAGAGAGCTGCCGACTGAGGCAGATCCGGCGTCTGATCTAAGTCATGGCTTCTGGTGACACCGAAGCCTTTAAATGTTAAAAAGCGGTGTTCAAAAACTCGCATCGACGTGAAGCCCGAGTAAAAGTTCAAAGTAATTAGTTTTTCAAGACCGTTTTTTTCCATGTAAAGGTATGAAGTGTTGGGCAGACCGTGCGGCCTCTACTCGGCGTTAAACCGAATCGATGATCAAACTGAACCTGTAAGTGAAACTGCTCACAAAAGCTAACGACTTGGATAAGGCTTGCCGTCAGAACGGTGGAGCGTGTTCGACGGAGGTGGTTGGGGCCGACAACGGATAACTGCCTTCGATTTACTCAAAGTACAAACACAACAGATGGTCACTCGTTAAGAAGCGTAAAGTTGACACTTCTTCGAACACGTCTCGTCGCCTGGTTTCAGGATACAGCTGCATTGTGGGAGGCTAGCCCAGCAAGCTAACGTGGTTAGCTAACATTTACGATGTTATCTTACCTTGTGGATCCTTTTCAAAGCCATCCTCTCTCGATGTTCTTTTCGTTGGGTTCAAGATTTCGCAATCCAAGTACTGAGGGGCAACTATAATATGCCAGGATGATTCGCTCTGTTAAATAATTGACGCTGGGTCAACTCGACGGCCTTTCTTCTCTAGCTAGCGTAGTTAGCTTGCTAGGGAGCTAAAACTACGTATGCGCGAACTAGTTACCAAATTAGACGTTACGCTCTCTTTCGACAAACTCTCGTTTTCCGGAGTTTCAACGTCTAACACAAAGCTATTTGTTTCCCCCCACTTGAGGTGGAATAAGTGCGTAATCCAGGAGAAGTAGCCGCGAACGACAATGCTCCTCTCCCTTCGGTTTCGGTCGATGTCGTTAGCCAACTAGCGGCTGTCTACATATAGTGAGGCTTTATGACGTGAAGGCGGTGTTGACTGCTAAATGACGCAGCGGATGTGATGGCGGATTGGATAGAAGCCTGAAAAAAAAAAGATAGAAAAAAACAGCCACAACGCCAGTACAGCAAGTATTAAATAATAATAATAATATTATATATTTTTTGCGTTGTGAAACCTGTAGAGAGCTCTTGGATAAGTCGCTAAAGCCCAAATACCTTAATGTTTGTACGGCAGCTGTTTAAGTCACACCTCCTTGAGCAAAAACATGTAAAGCATTTTAAGAGCACGGAGGCCACAGGTGTTATTAATAATTCAGATAATGTTATGACCCCGTTTAAATACCCCCAAATGGCTACAGGGACATTGTAATTTTATGTAGTGTTAAATGACAAGAATAAAGATTTTATAATAATTCCAATACATAAAAACTATCAATGTATTGGAACATGTACTTTACATGAAGGTTCTCTTAATCTTCTTTATCATTTTTTGTGAGCCTTATTTATGGTTTTAGACTTTTAAAGAATAGATCATATACATCTTGGCCACTTAGGCTTTATTAATTAAAGAAAGTTTTTTCTCCTGTAACATAACAATGGTTTTATTATTGCTAACCATGCTGTGAGGTGTATTACAGAAGCCATAGATTCAAGAAAATGCAGCCGGAGAATGCCCTTCAGTTACCCAAGCTTCTTTTACATCAAACAGGATTATCTGAACTTTTGTTGCCTAAGCCTAATTTTCAAATATGAATAGTTTATTACTCTGCCAGCAAAAATTGGGTTTATTTGGAGTGTTTGGCAGCCAACCTGCATCCTCAAACTATTCTAAATTTAAAGTAATAACTATTAATTAATTTAAAGCAATCATTAATATTCTTTTTAAACTTATTTTCTGACATAACATTTGAGAATAGAGAAGTTAAATTGGAATCCCTTCGTTACCAACCGCTTCAGTTTATCTAAATTCTACATGAATGTAGATGCCACAAAAGAAAGGTGTCAAGTTTGGTAACTCTTGTTAACTCTTCCCCATTTTTTCCATCACTGATAACACTGACAAGGCATATTTTTAATATGCTATGGTAAATGATGTAAGAAAAACAACTGCAAAATCATTTCATTTTGCCATTTTTCCCACAAAGTTGCCACACATCAGAAAATCAAGGGACAAGTCCAAAAAATTAATAATAAAAAAATAAAAAGATTCAGCCAAGTCAAGATATTCAGCTCAAACCAGCACAGTGCAATATTTGTTTACAGCTCAGAGTTTTTATTCACTATAATATCATAATATTCCTTGTCTTCAAAGCTGTACAACGAGTCAACATGAGTAAATCTGATATTCAGTTCTGGCATTTTTATTCTTTTTTGGCTTATTTGGAGCACATTCGTACAACGCCTGGTAAAGGATTTGCGTTTACACTGGTTCACATACGGAACATAAGTGTGCTTAATTCCCTCATACAGAGAAATCTCAAATTTTTCCAAACTTCAAGGCACTGAAGCAGGGCAGTCAGTCACTGCAGTCTGTGCTTCTGCCAGGATGCCTGGCATCTGAGGAGGACAGCTGATCTTTGAGATGGGTCGAATCTCCCTGAGCCTGTCCAAGCATGTATGTGCGCAGTTACCATTAGGACTTTTAAGACAGTCCCTTGCAGTTTCTGAGTTTTTGTTTTTTCACTGCGTGATTGACGAGCCTCGTGCCACGTGAGGCAGCCTCTTGATTTGTCAGTCAGCCTCTGGTGAATCAAAACTGTGCTGTGATTCAGACGTCACAATATAAATAAGATGCAAAGCAACTTTGTTCTTGAGCCCTTCCAATAGGGGGTCACACAGGCCCTCCGCTGACAGTTCATCTACAGCGTTTGGGGCTGAAAGCAGAAGAGTGTCTAGGCCGTTCACCTCACACACAGCTGTGCGTGTTAGAGAAGGCCCTGTAAAGACGCTTGGCTGGCAAACAAGAAAAGTCCCTCCGGTGGAGCTGAAGGGGAAACCTCGGGCAGTCTCACTGAGAGGCTCTCCAGGCTGGTCTCTTTTTCCCCCCCTCCTGCTCGGTTGTGTCGCCACTCTGCGTCTCCTCTTCTGCCCTCGCCGTTTCCCGGGTTTTGACCTCCTCCTCGTGCAGCTCGGTCCGGGCCTGCATCGGGCGGGAGCATCGGCTATGTCGGCCGGACCGTCTGGTGACACATGGGGCACGTTTCCTGCACGTAGAGCCACTTGCGAAGACAGTTGCCGTGGAAGAAATGTCCACAGTATGTAATCACAGCAGAGCTCATTTCCTGTGGACAGACACATTTGAGTAAGAATATGTGTGACCCGGTCCAAAGATTATTTTACACCCTGTTTTAGCAAACTATTAGATTTCTTATTATTGTAGAATAATCTAACAAATGCTGTATCTTTTTTTAATGAACATTTTAGCATTCACACAGTTCATAAACCATAGCTGTGAAATGTCCGCTTAAGAATACTGATTTTGATGTTATCGGTTAAGAGGAAACAGAAAACAATTCACTGAAAAAATATTCACAGACTGGAAATGAAGCCATCATGAGCAGCACTAACAAATATCAAATATGACATTTAGAACTATGTGACCCATTTTACACTGAATCGGCTTTCAGTTAATTGGTGAAAATACTAAGGTCATTAGGAAAAGGCTGAATATCAATAAACAAACTAAATAAAAGACTCATTGTAAGTGAGCGGTGAATGGCTTTGATCTGATCTTTCAAACTAACACCGGTGATGTCTTGCGTGGGTCCAGATCCTGAAGATGAGCGTCCTGATTGCTTGCCTCAATCATTGAAACAAAATTCATCAAGAAATGTAATTATTAGCCTGTTTGTTGTCATCACACATTTAGTCCAGTTCATTCAAATCCAATTGAAAGGTGCGTAGATATTTTCCAGTCAGTGACTAATCATGTCAAATAGTAGGGAGCTCATTTGAAAAACGGTTCCAAAGGGACTCCAGTATGATCTAGGTGTGATTGCTTTGGGTATCATTTAGCACAGTGAAAGACTGACTTACATTTAAAAGATTCAGTATCGCCTAACACGAGCTTCAACACGAAACTGGCGACTTGGTCTGACAGCAAACCAACACGGTCATGGTTAGGTGCAGCTGGATGAGTCAGTGACAAACACAAAGCTAAAACTCCAATAGAACTGGAGCTGCTTTCGAATGGCGGTGAGTAATATCTTTAATCTGCCAACACCTGTGACCGTCTACCGCCTGTGCTGTGTCACCCTGTAAACATGCCGTGATCTTTATCTTTATATGAGGGCCGAAGCGGGCTTACAGTGCCCTGTCGAGTCGTCTCCCAGCCTTGACTACATCTGATAAGTGATGTCGTGACCTGCTCAGCCCCGGCACGGCTCCACAGGGTTTGGATGGCTTTCCATTACAAATTATGGCCGAACATAAAGGGCTCTCCTACTCAGCCCTGATGGAACCCCGACAGAGTGGGTGCTAAAAAAAAATGTAACTGTTCAGTGGGGCCCGGCCCCTAGCAGAAATGCCGAAGCACCAGAGGCGAACGACCTGGAAGCAGATGGAGCAGACGTCGTTGAGCTGCTGCAGCTTCTCGGCCGTGGCTCTGGGCAGAGAGTTGATCTTCTTGGCGGCTTCCTGCCTGAGCAGGAAGCTCCTCCAGCCAGACTGGGCTCTCAGCCAGACGTTGAAGTAGGAGTGGATGATGATGACGGAGGCGCCCATCCAGCTCCACTCCCCGAACAGCGACTCCCAGGTGCCGTAGGCCACCACGCACAGCGCCACCACGAACTCCAGCACCCTGCTGACGGCGTTCACCCAGTAGATGACCTCGTCCAGGCTCTCGATGGGGTCGCGGCGAAACAGCTCCACCATGAAGAGGAAGTAGATCAGCATAGTGCCTGTAATCTACAAAAAAATAAATAAATAAATCACAGAAATGTTAAAAACATAGAAATAAAACATAGATTTTTTATTGGGTACGTCTGTCTGTCACTTGTTTCCTCTCAGGCACAAGAAATACCCAGCTTATTGGTCCCCATGTCAAATATGACACCCTCTTAATGGGTCTCCAAGCCTGCGTGGTAAAACCATTGCAGGTAGGCCAGGGTGTCGTGTTGCTTTTGGTCTTTTGGTGCACTTTTCAGAGTTAATGGAGCGCTCCCAGATGTGCAGGTTACCTTTACCATAGACACTAACACAAACCTATACCCGACTGGTTACCCTGCTATTTCCATCTGGGAGACTTTTGGGAATGCTCCTTTTCATATCAAATCACGACAATTGCCCACATTCACATCTCCTCACCTGTGGAATGATCCAGCAGGCGTTTTCTATTCAACTCTCCCTAGGTTTTTGTTGGTCTTGTTTTAAGCTTTTTTGTGGAACGAGTTGCAAGAATTACCAAAATTTGCGATGTAAAAAAAAAAAGTCTATAATTTTGCACTGGACATATGTCTTTGTTTTGTTTTTAGCTGAAAACAAGTTGAAAATAGAAACAATTTATAGGGTCATTTTCTTGACTATCATCCAAACTATCACAATTAAAATAGTTACATCAATAGATTAAGAAAATGTTGGTAAAATTGTTGAGGAAGGCGCAGTATTACATTCTAATAATTTGCCCACTGGAGGGCACTAATAGCTGGAACATTCTAATTTGACACCTCTTTCAATTCAGCCATGAGCACAAAGGACACACCTTGTAAATACTCCTTGCTTCCATATAAGCGTTTTAAATATAGTATCAATATGCCTAAAACATCAAATTACTCCATCACTTTGACATATTAACACCATCCTTACCTGAAGGGACGTGAGCATGCAGCTGGACACCAAAATGAGAAGCCAGAAGTCCATGTGGAAGAACTGGGAGATTTTATAGGCCATGATCACAGGGAACATTAGCAGGATCAGACACATACTGAGCCCTCGGAAGTGCTTCCACAAACTCCTGGAAGAACAAAAGGGAGGGAATCTCTTGAGCGGGGGAGAAGCTTTCTGAAAACGTTCACACCGTTCCGACAGCTACATTTCCCAGCCCCTTACCTGTTCCGTGATGCACCCAGAGCAAGAATGACTGGATCTGTTATTTCAATCATCGACTGCAAAGTGGAGGTCACCACGATGAAGAGGATGATGCTGAGGAGGAAGGTGCGCTGCAATGCCTGCATGTCCAGCAGGCCAGTCTGAAGGGCGAGCAAGAGGAGGGTGACGCCCTCCGTCACCCCTCTGGCAACAAGGACCAAAAATGCTTAATGAGAAATCACCAAACACAAACAATTCTCCTGCACAATTCTCTGATAATCTGTAGGCAACCAAACCCATACGGCCCATGGATCAGAGACGAGCGTGTACCGTTATTGTGGGTCTTACTCGAGTCTCGTCTTTATCTCATATGAAAGCGAACAGAAATAACCCAACATTTCCGATGTATCTCACCTGTGCATAACATTCTCATTCTGAACGGCTGCGTAACCTCCCAGGTAGAATTTGCATAGGTTGAGAAGTCCCAGAGCCAGATAGGACACCACAAAGGTCAGGCCCAGAAGAGAGTACGGCGTGGCACAACAATCAGAAACACTGCAGAGAGGCAGCAGACACAGCAAAAGAAAGCACCAAATTAACAAACAAGAGGTAAACACAAAGCAGGGGTCCAGAGAGAAAACGCAATCCATCACACCTTGTGAGCAGGAAGAAAATGATTCCCTGATGGGTTACCGGGGAGCTGGCCGACATGGCGTCTGAGCACAGCTGGACGACGAACAGAACAAACCAGAACACGCTGAAGAGCAGTGGCACGGCAAACTGGTTCCACAGGGAGATTCCCACCGCCAAAAGTCTGTACAGCTCCATCACCTTAAATACAGGAAATATTCAATTGTCTTCCAGGGAGAAATTTTTGGAATGCAACCAAAAGTAAGAAGCACAGAAAACGTTCCATTATATCACTTCTTAAAGTACAACACTGACATTTTTAATCACAAGACAAGGTTAAAATCCCAGTCGGAAAGGTTGATTTTTTGGATTGAAAATAAGGTGGGGTATAAATACTTCAATGTTGAGCAGCTCGGAATAGGCTGCCTTGGCAAGTCGATATGGCACAAAGAGATTGGAGAGGAGGAACACGGCGATGCCCGCTCCAGTGAGGCCCATGGAGAAAGTGTTGACAGCTAGCTGAGTGGTGTGAGGGGAGGAGCAGAGTCGGGCCAGCAGGGGGAGAACATGTGCAGAGAACAACCACACCTTTCTCGTCTTCATCAGAAAGGCGCAGAGCGTGCTGAGAATTATTTGGCCTGGGTAGAAAAAAAAACATTTAAAAAAAAAAAGTTTCCAACGGTAGAAAGTTTGGCTGTTGAAAGCACAGATATGGCCCTAAACTATCCCGTGGATATAATCAGGTTATAAGACTTTTACAGCACATCCAACTCTTGGTCCAACCGGCCACTGACTGCATGAAAGGATCAGGAAAAGCTAGTTTTGGTTGCCGAGTCATACCATCTAAATCTTGTGGTGGTACTCACTAGTCATTGCGGAGACAAATCTGTTGAAGGCCAAAAAATCAAGATACACTGCCCCCTCATATCTATACTGCAGCTCCTCCTGTATATAATCCCTGAAAAAGTGACAGAAAAAAAAACAAGACTTGAACATAAAACAACAGTTGATAGCCTGAGTTGTGATTAAATTAAAGTCATTTTTGTTAGATGCTTGTTTCATTGCAAAAATGTAAGTATGGTACTACATTTAACCGTTAACGAAAATAATTACATGAGAAAACTCAACAGCAACCATTGGACTTTTTCTTAACAATAAGAAAAACATGCGGTGACTCTGCTAGAGTCCAGAACATGCATGAGCCACCCCATCTGTTGTACAGTGCTGCAAAAGCTCCACCATTTCACTTGAATATGACAGCACAAAAACCTGGATTTCTTCTTATTCCAAACACGAACGTGTTGGTGCTCGGAGTATCACTCTTTACGTAAACATCCCCCACTGTGATCGGGATTTGTCAGAGGACAAATCTGATACAGCTACATCATATATTAACAAGTCACAGCACACAGACTCACTTGGAAATCTGATGCCCCATGTATAGAAGGAGGGCAACAAGGACATGGAGGTAGAGCGTCACAACGTGTTTCAACGGCAGAATTAACACCACCACATTTATCAGATGGCCTGGAGGACAAAGAAAACACTCATTTTGTTTAGTTATTCGTTTTATGTACAGTCATATATGCAGACAATCGACGAGGAAATGGAATAGAAGCAACATTAAATTACACCCGATGCTTTTTCATATCGTTCTGGAAAATCTGACAATGGTCTGTGACCACAGTCTCATTCCATCTGTCACTCGTGAATATTTTTCATGAGATTTGATCTACTAAGACTATGTTGGAACAGAACAACAACTTAAAAGTTTCACATTACAAGCAAGATTTTAATCCTAAGAGGATGGAGAAGAATATATCTTTTTCAATTTCATTTTCTTGGAGACCAAGAACTGAATCTTCAACACCTACCATCACTGCATGACAGCAAAAAAAATTAAATCTACAATCATCTCAGTCACATGGAGCCAGCAGCTTTCAAAAAGTCAATAACTCTTTCAGGGACAAAATCATGTCCACAATCCTGACAGAAAAAAAACAACTCAACTTTTTTTATTATGTGCATGTGGTTTAAAAAAAAAACTATATGTTGATTGGCCTACTTACCAAGATAGTAAAGGTTCCAGATGACATATTTGTATTTGAAGAGCATGTCCTCGTTTTTAGCCTTGAGATGCTCCGTCAAACCTTCAATGTCATATTTATACAGCAGGTCCAGGACCAGAATGCTGGGCACCCTGAGGGCAATGTTCGCCACCTCTTCCAGGCGAGGCATCTCGATTGCCACCAAGTTTGCGGTCAGCACGGAGCTTGTGTGTCACATACTGGGTTTTAAACGTTTCACCGCACAGGTCACAGGCTCGTAGTGGCTGCGTTCCGATTCCAGTCGTTGCGCTGTCATCTAAAAACACAAACACGGCGATTCCACGCCACGGTGAGTTCACGTTACAGGTATTTTAGCGGCGATAAGCGCTCCCTTTAAAACCGTTTTAAATGTTTTGGGAGCGAGTAAGCAAATATAAACGGTTCACTAAACCAACGACCTGCTCAATATAGTTAAAATGGCTAGAATATTTTAAGTACAAATGGTTTTCTTACTTCGTACAGTGGCAGACATCACAGCCGAGCAGCCATTTGCCACCCGACGCTAGTTGCTGCAGGAGGTTAGCTTTAACGGAGAACGTCCGCATATTTTCATCGCTCTGACACACAAAATAAGCTTTATTGTCACTTTCGCCACTTCAATATTATTACATACAAGTGTCACGGACAAAACTGAATGAGTGTGTTACATTTGACCAAGTGAGGTTGAGTAAAGAGACTTCAAATGCAATAATATTATGATTCTCACCCGCATGAGTAGCCATTTCCTGTGTACACGTAATGTCTAAACGAACCAATCAGCTTTGGGGGTTTTAGATTTCAAAATAATAGTACTGCCGTCAACGTTTAAGTTTAAATAAAAGGTAAAGCTTAGATGCACAAAATATAACAGCGAGTCAACTTCGGATAAATGCAAAAGATGCTCTAAAGGGCAATTAGTGATTTTGTTTCCAACATAACTCGCTTAAACTTCTTATTTTTTGTTGTCAAAAGTGAGCTATTGGCAAATAAAGAAAAAAACATAACAGGACAAAAATGAGTAATCAAAATTGAGATCAATAAGTAAGAAAGGCAAATGCTTTCCTAACACAATACACGATCCACAGAAAATTAAAATCTGAATTCATGCATCTGTTATTTTTTAATTATGCTTGCCACATTTCAAACCATAATCCATCTATCACAAAGGCCTGCTTGACTGCTCTCAGTCCCCAAAGATCCAAACAACTGTCTTTACCCAGGCTTGTTCATAATCAAGAACATCCTGTCTGCATACAAAGACTAATGGGAGACTCAAGACAAAACAGAGTGCAGATGCAACTTCTCATAAAAAGATGACTAATAACAAGAACGTTTATTTCCTGCCTATGTTGCAAACAACCTGCTCACTTATATGCACATTATTTTTTTTCTTTTACTCCAATAAATCATCATAGTCACTTAGCGGTTCGATTCCTCAGACTTTTCTTCTTTTTTTCCTTTTTTTTGTCTCGCTGCGGTTTACACAGGAATTAAAATGTTGGCAACAGCCATTAAATGCAGTATTTGAAAAGAAAAACTCCACTGTCAGGATAAATTATGTCCTTTCTAAACCTAATTTCTGTTTAAAAACTGTACAAAAGTTGAAACTTTTAACATCAGCAAACCCATTAATGTGCAAATTACCAAGTGAGCTGAATTCTGATGCATTCATAGAAAAGGGGTCATGTGTTAAAAGTATTTAGATTTGCTGGATGCAGGTCATGAATCTTATTTTACAGCCTCATTAAGTCATACTGTCATTAAACTGAAACCACAACATTTTCTTTCTCCAAGTTATTGCACTATTCCTTTCTCCCTATACGATGTATCACTTCCTTACAAACTTTAGAGCACAATCTGGGAAAAACAAATCGATGGAAAAATTCATTCCAAAGGATGAATGAGTCAAATAAAATTAAGTATGAGGAGATGCTGTGATAGATATGTGCGCCTTCTGTAGACTTGTATCAAAATATAGTTTAGGATGTGTTATTTTTTAGAGTTAGCTAGGCTTAAGCTGGTTTGAATTAGATATTTTTTAAATTTTTGTTTCCTGACAATTAAAAAAATAATTATCTTTAAAAAAAGGTCTGATCATGACTTAGAAGGAGGAAGAATGTGGGAGAAAAAGAATAACAGCCAGAACTGTAGAGGGAAATCTAAATTGTGGAAGATGATTTAAATGGAAAGATATTAGAAAAATGAAAAACATGAAGCCTGAATGTAAACACATTATTAAATTTGATTAAACAAACTGGATAAAATATGGACAAGATTATTAAAAGCCAGAACAACCGGCACATTCGTTGAGATGAGAAGATGGAAAATTATGACTTACTAATAAAAACCATACTGGTTCTTGCAAAACAAAATGTTGATCTTCAACGATTTACATTTCTTATATCAGAGAAAACAATGAAAACCATCTTGAGTAAGCATCTATCTTTCTTAACCATCAAAAACTGGGACACTGACAATTTCCTGAAACATCAGCAACAGGATGCACCTGCCATAAAAATTACATTCTATATGGCATTTAGACATTATCTGTTTTTTCCCCTCAAAAACTATATTTCAGTAAATACAGGCATAGCGGATACAAGTATTAGCTGAATACATACATTTAAATGTAAATACAAAAGAGAGACAGTGTCTCATTGGCTGTAACTGAAGCCAGGTGATACATACATCACACGTTCAACATATTTCTTTATTTTTAGCAGGGAAACTACTTCTGGGTGGTTTCGTTAAAATAATTGGAAAGCAGCAACTAAAAACAGTCTCTAAGGACGACATAGTCTGAGTTGGAATTTACATTTGCCATTTGCCTTTGCAAAAGAAAAGTGGCAGGCATGAGTGCACATCTGTTGGCCAGATTTCGATCAGTTTTGATTGCAATTAACACCACATAATTTGTCAATATTTCGCTCATTGGCTCCAGCAGGGGTCTGGAGCCCATCCCAGCTGTCTTTGGACGAGAGGCGGGATGCACCCTGGACAGGTTCCTAGTCCAGAAACGCTCATAGCGATAGTAAATATCCTTTAAAACGAGACAGCAGAACAAACTGCATGAACAGGTCCTGTGCAAATCTGATATTTTCATGAGAAATAGGCTGGGATTCTGGATGGGAGGGAAAAGGGGGAGGTGGAACTGAGGAGGAGGGATAAAGACGGAGGCTTGGCTTTGTCATCATGACATAAACTAACCAGGAATTTTTTTCCCCCCTGTGCACTCTGCAGCAGCAAACAAAGGGAAAGATGGTAAAGCCACCGTGCGTGTTGGCCGCTGCACTTTTTCTGGGAGTTTTTTTACACGGGTCGGGACAGCTGCTGAACAATGCAACAACTCAGACTTTTTCATCGGCCAATTTTACCACCCCAGCAACTGTGAAGTGGACAGAAGCCGGCGTTACTGTGGAGGGGAAGGGGAGAGACGGAGTAACTCCAGAGACAGAGCTGCTCACCAACACTGTCAGAGAGAAGCAGCCACACACCACAGACATCAGCAAAAGCAGCAAAGAAACCCACACCCAGAAAGAAGAGAAGGGAGATGACCGGGACGAAGAGGATAAGAAAGCCATACTAAGTAAGGAGGGAGTTCCAAGAGAGACTTTTGCTAAATTTAATTGAATCCCATCAACGCTAATTAAAATAGGCATTTCATTAGTGATGCCTTCAGGGACATGCAGAGCCTCTAATTTCCTGCAAAGTTGTGTCTTTTTAAACCTCAAATCAAGTCTCTGCTGTTCCAGCAATTGAAGGGGTTTTTGAGGAAAGCATTTGTGATCAGAAGCAATACTGTCTCTGACAGTCTTCCTCAACTAGTTCAACTAGAATTGAAGCTAGAAATCATAAAGTTAAGAAGTAACATAAACATAATTTACCAAACAGGTTTGCAGTGTGTTGCATAGGCATTGAAAAATTAGAAAACCAATTGAAGCTGATGTGGGAAGTCAAGCTAGTCCAAAAATAGTAGAAAATGCGCCGGCTTTCCAAAATTTCGACAAGATATGCCTGACCAAAAGTCCAAAACACATGCGTATTCACTTTGATCTCTATTGCTAGTTCGGTCATCGGGCATCAAACAATTGTCTCAAACACAAACGATAGTTGTTCTATTTTTCCATTGCTGACCATTTCAATTTGATTTATTTCTTTAGTGTGTGCCAGCAACATTTCACTGGGAACAGAACAAACTGAGCAGTGTTCTGTTTGATAATGATGGGAGTGTTGCTGGTCGTTCCCAAAACCATAAACTACCTTGCAGCTGTAGCTTCCCATCCTGCTGGTCCGTTGAACATTTGACTTTACCCTCGAGAGCGTCTCAGATTACAGTCACTTATCTGGTGCTTTCTCCTCTCCCTAAAGCAAGCAGAGACATTTGGGAGGGGGGCCTCCGAGCTACCACTGAACTGCCCCAGAATGATTACAGATATCCACATAGCAAGTACTGGGACCTCATTTTTCATCAGCCATGTGTTTATTTACTCAATGAAAGTAGAGAGCGTTTAACCCTTCAGGCATCAAATCACTTCATGAACTGTTCCTGAAAAGAAGCACAAAGATTTGAAGGCTTTTTGCCATTGTTTTTTTACCTAAAGATTGCCCTCCCCTTGGCCTGGAGTCTCTGCGCGTTGATGACAGCCAGATCCAAGCCTCCTCCTATCAGCGATCGGGCCTAGGTCCTCACAGGGCAAGGCTCAATATCCAGGTCAGTCTGTATCAGAGTTTACTTCAAGTACCAGTCACAAACAACTGTAAATGGCTTCAGAAAGTACCTAATTTAAGGTGCAACACAGTTAGGGGAGATCATAACTTATCATCCTGTCTGCTGAAAGCAAATATTTTCCAATTAAGTCAAAACCAAGCTCTCATGCAATTCCTAAAATGGAGGAAAGCAAGCGCTTAGTTCAATGGATTCTGCAGCTGTAACACACAAACACACACACACGCTTTTTATTTTGTTTATTTCTTTAATGGTTTCTTTCTAGTCTGGCATTGAGGATGGAGACCTATATGATGGGGCTTGGTGTGCCAAGTATGAGGACCGGCATCAGTGGCTTCAGGTGGACAACAACTACCTCACCTTGTTCACAGGAGTGATCTTGCAGGGCAGGAACTCCATCTGGAGGTCAGGTAGTCTCAGGAGCAACACGGACTGGCAACACACAGAGACAAGAGAGCTATTTGTTTAAAGCTGAGCAGCGCGTTTGAAACTTTGTCACTGAACAGTTATCCGCGGCTCTCAAAGCAGCACATCTGTAATAGGTTGTTTAAAAGAACGAGCACAGTGTTGGATATTTGGCTGTTAACTCTGCTGTTCTTTTGGGTCTCAGCTGGGACTGGGTCGAGTCCTACAAAGTCCAGCTCAGTAACGACTCTGTGAGCTGGCAAACCTGCATGAATGGGACCGAGGAGGCGGTAAGAAAGACTTCCTGCATAGTTTGATTTTTAAAAATGTGCTGGGACCTCAAAAACGGTAAACAAATCCACAACTAGAGAAAATTGTTCACATGATGCTTCTATGATGACTAAACAACTTTAAAAAATCACAAATACATGCAAAGAAAATGAGGATTTGAGCCTGTCCTACAGCTTGAATGAGAAGCTTTTTTTTTGTCAAGCACCACATGCGAGGTTCATATTTTGGAAAATCCCTCCACTTTCCAAGGAAATGTGGGAGACAGAGAACAAAGTCAGCACATTTTTTCATTTAATTTCAAGCCAACCCTCACTGCCAAGGAGGTCATGTTTTCATCTGCCTCTGCTTGTTATTGTTATCATGAAGACTTTCCGAAGACACAAGTTATTATGCTTGTGGCTGAGATCAGTGACCGTTGTGAGCATCTTCACTCCCACAAGCTGATTAATCTCCACATTCCAACGTGGTCATGCAGATTTGACAACTGTGCTTTGATTCTGATTTTCTTTTTCTTCTTTTACATGAATATGACTCTAAATGAAAATGAGTCATCACTCAGAGCTTTAAGATGCCCATTAAGCAATAATTCTCAGAGATAAATAATATTTTTTTTAAACTAAAGACTGAATTTTTTAAAATGTTCTATTCTAATTTTATAGACACTTCTCAGGGAGACTGACAGTTATCATTATCTTTCATGTATGAGCTGTCACAGAAACTGTCACAAAAGTCTCAAACTCAGACCATGTTGTAAATATGTTCACACAGTGAGGCAAACAAAAGTTAGATTTTTATCAAGGACCCACAGATTTTCTACCCTCTGTCTCAGATATATTCACAAGTAGCCAGCTTCTGTGTTTCTGTAGCTTCAAAACAATCTTTTTTCATCAATTGTCGCACATTGAACACTGAAGAGACCATGCACATAAATGCCTTTGGCTGTTATTGCTAACATGTTGAAATGTTTGTAACATCAAAAGGAACTATTTGCAGATATTTGAAGGGAACCAGAATCCAGAAATTCCAGTTCTTGGACTCCTGCCGGTTCCCACTGTTGCTCGCTTCATCCGCATCAATCCCCAGACCTGGTACTCCAACGGGACCATCTGCCTCCGGGCTGAGATTCTGGGGTGCCGTGTGGATGGTGGGTACACAGAAAGCAGCGCAGAGCCACGGGGCAAGACTCACTGACATGCACTACTTAAAAAACAGTAAATCGGTCTTGAGTACTATTCGCCAGGAAAAAACAGGAAAAAGCATGTTACCAAACACCTCATGGGCTATGTCCTCATAGATCCAGATGATTTCTACGCCTATGAACAGGAACAAGGATCAAAGGATAACCTGGACTTCAGACACCACAACTACAAAGAGATGAGAAAGGTTAGAGACAAGCACGTCATGAGTAACTTTTTTTGTTTCCAGTAAAGCCAACACCAGGGGTTATTACTCACACCCATAACAGCTTGCAGATTCGCTCAAAGTTTAAAAAATTAACCCCTCGAAGGGTTTGACTCCAAATTCTCTTTGAGGATATCCCTTTTTTTTCTTACCCTGAAGCTAATGAAGTCTGTAGCCGAAGAGTGTCCGGACATCACCCGCATCTACACTATAGGGAAAAGTTATTTGGGCCTCAAGCTGTACGTCATGGAGATGTCCGATAACCCTGGCAAACATGAACTCGGTAAGAAACAACCAAATATTCCTCCTGTAAACGTTTCATTCAGCATGCCCTTTCGGAGGAACTCATTTTAGCTGCTCTGAGAGCCGGTTCAGCGTCAGTGTTTATACAGCCTGGTTTCTGGAGAGGCACCGCGCTGAGAGGCAGGGGTGTCTCGCAAAGAAGGCCTCCCTTGAGTCAACAAACTGTTTGAATTGATTTTTTTAAGATCTTCTCCTGTTTTCTTGGTGCTTAGAAGTAAACTGTGGTCGCTCCACATATGCCACAAAAGCATAAATACATTAAGTGGGGTCTAGGATGGCTTGCTTCTTCTTTGATAAATGGCATAAACACATTTTAAAATTTCTTTGCCCCAAGGGAGGGTGATGGGAATTTCTTTTCTTTTTTTTTCCTTTTTCAATGCAGCAACAGCTGCTATTGATTTGGGTGGTTTCATGGGTACGAGGACAAACCTGGCAATTTCAAAAGGAAGTCAGGCAGGCATAACACATTTTTAGATTTCTTTGGCCATTATGAGTTCTTATCAAATACAGATCTTAGGCCTTTGGAGTTTTCATATCCAGGAATGGCTGCCATCAAGTCTGGCCAATATGCCTTTGGACCGGCACCAGGATGTTGCTTAACACTGCACAGTCAGAGAAAAATCAATGTGCTGTGCTGCCTTTGCCCTAATTCTTCCTTTTTTCGTTTCCATTGGCAACGATGCGACCTTCTGAACTCTCCTCTTGGCAGGTGAGCCCGAGTTTCGCTACGTGGCTGGGATGCATGGCAATGAGGTACTCGGTCGAGAGCTTGTCCTGAACCTCATGGAGTACATGTGTAAAGAGTACAAAAAGGGAAACCAACGAATCGTACATCTGATCACCGAGACGCGCATCCACCTCTTCCCATCCATGAACCCCGATGGATATGAAATGGCTTATCAGAAGGTGAGTAATGCTTTGACTGGCTTACATTTGATATTTCTATATTCTTTACCTCAACAGGTACACCGAAAGCCATTCACTCAGAGTATTGACTGATCAACTGATTTGCCACAGGGCTCAGAACTGGCTGGCTGGGCTGAGGGACGATACACCTATGAAGGAATCGACCTGAATCATAACTTTCCGGACCTCAACAACATAATGTGGGACGAGAAGGAGGTTGCCGTAGAACCATCCAAAGTCTCCAACCACTACATCCCCATTCCAGAATACTACACTCAAGAAAATGCAACAGTAAGAAGACTCTGTGTCTTTGTGGCATTTAGAAATGCCTTACTTTGGCACCATCTGCTGCTTCTATTTGTAAGGACAGGGTGGTACAGAGGCAGCTAGTAATAATATAGATGTACATTTTCTGTATAAAATCATATCGTTTTACTATGGAAATATGTTGACAATTATTGGACTCTGTATGAATACATTTAAGTGGAAAAAAATATGCACCATGTACTTTACAACCTCAGTTCTTAAAAAAAAGTTTGTATCCCTGTACACAAAATAATATCCATTCATTTTCTATACTCGCTTACTATTAGTGGGGTTGTGGGGGGAGCTGGGGCCTTTCCCAGGTGTCATTGGGCAGGGCAGAACAGGTATCCGGACCATTATAGGGCCACACAGAGACAAAAAGAAAAACCCAACACGCACTATTATATTTACGGTACTCCTGTGGGCAATTTAGTGGACGTAATATGCATGTTTGTGGACTGTGGGAGAAAGCTGGAGTGCCCAGAGAGTACAATTACACTTTTAGTTATTTGACCCAAACTTGTGTCAAAGTCCCAACTTTATTAGACTAAAAGAAATCACTGCTCAGGTTGCACCAGAGACCCGTGCCGTCATCAGCTGGATGCAGGACATCCCCTTTGTGCTGAGCGCGAACCTCCACGGTGGAGAGCTAGTGGTCACCTACCCTTACGACTGCACCCGGGACTGGGCCCCTCAGGAAAACACCCCGACGGCCGATGACGCGTTCTTCCGCTGGCTGTCCACCGTCTATGCGTCGACCAACCTGGTGATGGCCAACCCCAACCGCCGCATGTGCCACTACGAGGACTTCCAGCAGCACAACAACATCATCAACGGTGGAGCCTGGCACACAGTCCCTGGCAGTGAGTCACTTCTGTAAACTGTGATTCCTTAAATCAGTGAATGCATTAAAGTATCAAATACATGATTTGCTTGCATGTAAATTCTGGACTGTAATGTATTTGCTGATGGGTGAAAAATTCAAACTTTTCATGGATATTACTGTGTCCTACCATTATATTCTTATGCTCATAATTGGCTGTTTTACTCAAAAAATACTTGAATATTCTTTCAGTATTTCTAGACATTCTTTTAACTGCTTATTATTATTATTATAAATATTATTTTAACTGCTGAAGCTTTTTATTTTGTCATAAAATAGATTTTATTTTCTAGTATCAGACATGTTATCCTTATTGAATGATAGAATGAAGTGGCTTTTCATCCAGAAAATTGACTTTAATTGATTTTTATATCATATTAAGATTAAAAATAACAAATAATAATGTAATTGTTAATCTAATGGTATCACATGCAATTGTCAGCATCACATTTAGTTTTGTAGTTGTTGTCCACGTTGTTCATCTTTTGCTAGCCACACATCATTAATATTTAAAAATCATATGTTCTTTTCTAAGAGGAACTAAAACGGGAGAAAAAACAAATATATAATATTTAAACAAAGATGAGTTTAAATATTTTAGATTTCAATTGATGATTCATTTCTAATTTTACACGGAAATTAATGTTTTTGGCCAATAGAATCTTGTGAGGAAATCAGACAGAGCGATTCTCATGATGATTCTTATTATAATTCTTATTCTATGAATTCATTCTCTGCCTTTTACAGGTATGAATGACTTCAGCTACCTCCACACCAACTGTTTCGAGGTGACCGTGGAGCTGTCCTGTGATAAGTTCCCTCACGCCAGTGAGCTTCCCATCGAGTGGGAAAGCAACAAGGAGTCTCTGCTGATTTACATGGAGCAGGTCAGTCTTAGTTATCTACTGAAGGAACAACATCCGTTATAAGCCTTAACGCACTGTAGTTAATTTCCTTTTACTCTACAATTAGGTTCACCGAGGCATCAAAGGTGTCATCAGGGACAAACTCACCAAGCAAGGAGTAGCAGACGCTGTAATCAAAGTGGAGGACCACGACCACGACATCCGATCAGGTCGGTCGTATCTCTTTGTCTTATCTTCTCTCTCCTTTCCAACGATCAGGGAAACGGGGGGGATTTTTAGCAAATTATTTTGACATAGACCATGACTTTTTTTTTCTCTGTGTAGTCTTTTCTTTTGGATTTCCAGCCTTTTAGCTTTAGGGAGCAGGGGCCCTTCAAAATGGTCATTTGGGCCTGCAGATTCCCATTTGACCTAATCAGTAGAGTCTCATATCTTACCAGGCCAGTTGAAAGAGGCCTCAGATCTCCATGGCAGAACCTGAATGGAAAGGAGAGGACTTGACTTGAGTCTATTCTGAGGTTAAAGAGACTTCTTTAGTCTTCAGTGTTGAGATGAAGTGAGGATAAACTACCTGAAAGCCAGGAGTCGGTGGACCATGCTCTCACTTTCAGTCTGTACTCATCATCAATTGGAAACGTAGCGAGCCGGAAGTAAAGGATGTTTAAAAAGAATACTCAACTGTCCAAATTTGCTTTCAGCTGCTGATGGGGACTACTGGCGCCTGCTGAACCCCGGCCAGTACAAGGTGGTGGTTTGGGCCGAGGGGTACTTCCCATCCATGCGTCACTGCCGCGTGGGCCTGGAACCGCGTCCCACCCTCTGCGACTTCACCCTCACCAAGACGCCCGTCCAGAGGCTGAAGGAGATCCGGGCCAGAGGCGGCAAGATCCCGCAGGACCTCCAGCTGCGGCTCCGCGCCCTCCGGCTGCGCAAGTTACGCGCCAGCACCAAAGCCATCAACCGCCGCAGGGAGGGCCAGCGGCTGCAGAGCAGGAGGGCCCAGGGGGCATGACATGGGGCAGTGATGGGTCCGACATGATGAAACTGCCTCGTGGGTTAAGCGAAACTTGTCTTTCGCCAATGGACTTGTTGACTTATTTGACAAACGCGGTTTTATCCGCTGACGTTTGAGATCTTTGTTAGGTCCTTCCCACCGATGTCAATGTGAGCTTTAGCATTTCATTTGGATGCACTGATATTTTAAGGCATTTTACCCCTATTAACGAAGGCTTACATATAACGGACCAGACACTAAAAGCAATCACGCAGCCCTGACGTACGAGTTAGTGTTTTTCTTTTATTTGTTTTGCACTGTGCATCAACTTAGTTGGACGTTTTACCATCAGCTGGTCTGATCTGTCACATTTTCTTCGCAGTTTTCAATGTCTTGACTGGGGTCCAGCAGGACCACAACCCTTTGAATAAACGTGGTATCAAAGTGTCAGAAGGTGTCTCGATAAACATTAAAAGGGGAAGAAAGTAAACGGTGTGAAGGGCAGGAATCATGGACCTATTAGGCTGTATGTTGTCAAGATGCTGAGGAATTTGTCTGTTTCTTAATTGAATTTGTTTATGTTTTCTTTTTTTTATATTGTCCATCTTAGATAAGCTAATCATAGTGGCATTACGATGCGATTTGTTTTTCAGTTGCTAACTGACAAAAGATAATTCACTGGCATCAAGGGGATATATCATGAGAAAATTCCTAAGAGGGCCACTTCATTTTTACTTAATTATATGTCAAAATGAATGGGCAGAATTGAGCTCCCAACTAAACATGATCATAACTACCTTTAATTTCATCCTCCTCCATGATCCAAAGCGCTCACCATCTTCCATGATGCCAGCTGTTACTGATTCCAGCAGTAGTAAAAGCACAGAAATCTGAACGTGATAAGAAAGCTGAAGATTCTTCAGCTATGCTTTACCTTTTGTGAGCTCCAGAGAGCATATCACAGAGGGGGAGCTCACTTATTGGTTTCACCCGAGTAAGGATATGTCTTAACGGTCAACAAGCCTCTTTATGTTTTTGCACTCAAACCAAAAAGATGAAAAGTCATGGAGCTTCTAAGCTGTGCAAAAGTCTGAGTGCCAGCTATTGGTCAGCTCTCACCATTCTGATGTTTGAATACTCAAATCTCTCAGAGTTAAAACTACAAGAGTAAGGCAAAAAAGTCCAGTTGACCCAAACGTTGACCCATCAGCGGTATAATAAAGCTTTAAAAAAAAAAGGCAAATGTTCTATTTCCATGAAAATACCGACCAATTTTTAGTGTCACTGCAGGTAGTCTTTTACTGAATAGACTCAAATGGGAAACAACAACAAAAGTCATTTCTAATACAGCACCAAAATCAAACTAAAACTTACTTTAATGTTGACAATGGTTCTTTAGTTAACGGGAGTAAAAATAGCAGGTAAAGACTCTTGGTCTTCAAAGACCTCGTGAGTTTAACTGAAATGAAACAAGCAGTGAGTATACAGCATCTCAACATTCAGCTCAGCTGGTTTTTTTCCTTCTTTCCACATACTCATAAAAGTAGAAATCTGCTCTGTGAATGTCCTTGACATGAGTAATCTAAGTCGTTCAATAATAAAAAGTCACGGCATTGACTCGGCTGAAGATGAAGCGGACTCCGTTTGTGTGTCTTACTCAAAAACAGGCAATAAACTGAGGTACAAAGCGTTAGAAAAACAAGAAGAAAAAGTCCTTTCGTGTGATTTAGAGGCATAGTGTGAGCCAGGAACTATGAGATCGCATCTGACAGCTTTGCTTTCACCACTGACACCTCTCACATTTGAAAGTTACTGGGGAGCCGTTAATGGGCTCTCACATGGAGCAGGTGGGTGTTAATGTAACCCGGCCTTTTAAGAAGGCGAGTTCTTAAACTGGAAAAACACCCAAAAACTCACTCTGCATCTTTGTACTTTTGGACTTCTAGGCTGTTTTAATCTCTGAAGAATGCTAAGAAGCAGCCGGTTTTGGTGCCACGATTTTGGTTCCAGCCGCAGATCCACAACACAGCCGGAGAGGAAGCGCGATCAGCATGTGTTCCCAAAATGGAAAACTTTCACAAATGTCCATCCCAACCCAAAAATTCACAATAACAAGCAGATGTCCTCTCGTAGTTCTCGGCTCAGGTTTCACAATCAGACAGCCAGAAGAAAAAAAAAAATCATGATTTGGCATCCGACACCTTAACGAGGGGCGGAGATCATCACTGTAAAAGGCCAGTATGCATAGTATGTGCTTGTTTGTCTATTGTAATCATCTATACTAGGCAAGTTCTCACAGCAGCCAAAACGCAGCAGCAGGGAACACAGGAGCTC